CCAGTTGCAATTGATTATTTCTGGAAGCATCGATGGGCACAGATACCTTTTGTGGTCTTCCGATGAAATTCTCCACCTTTGGCACACATGTCCCATCCCAAGGACGCAACCCCGAAGCCGTACGAGTTTCGGTTTCTGGTTATCTACTATCTGGCCTATCAATCGGTGTGTCATAACTGCATTTGGTTTTGTCAGTTTCCGTACGGTTTACTTTTTTCCTTCTTACCGCTTATCAATTTGCTGCAAATCTGGGCTTTGTTTAGCAAGGATTCGCAGGGATTAAGCGCACTCAGGCCCAACGATTGCAATCTCATTTGTTTGCGACAATTGTTCGGATGTCGATGGATCGATGCTGATTTCCTCGATGCTTCGATCGTTCCGAGCCAAATCTGTTTGCCTTGTGGCCTATGAAATTGTATCTGATGTTTATCCAAAGGGGAGAGTGGGAAGCCGCGCGCGGAAGAGGGGTGAGCAGGATACCTTCCTTCAGAAGTCCCAAGCGGTTGCCAAACACAACCGAAAATTTGAATGATTTTCCTCGAGCCCTCTGCTTTTTGATTAACATTAATGAGCGACAAAAAGTGCAAAAATTTACATGGCAACGGCGACGGTGGCTCGGCGGCTTCTCTGCCCCCATTGTTGTCCGGGTCTTTAGAAAAATTTCCATTCAAAGTGACAGGAGCTCGTCAGGAGTCGTCGGACTAGGAGATGGAGTTGGAGTTGGAGTTGAAGTGGGAGGGAGGAGTGTGTGTGTGTCTCATCCACCTCGGCAACCTATCCAAGGGCAACAATAGCGATTTGGGCATTAGAGCTCCATTGAAATATTTTTAGCTGCGATTGTCGAGTTTCTTTCTGGCCAAAGATGGGCTCAACAAGATGGCAAATCCCCCATCGGCCTGCTCATCACATTGTTCTCTATCTAACTTGCAGTAGGTGCATTGTCAGCGCTTTTTGTCTAACTACTCATTAACATTTATTTGCAAGTGCAGAGAATGCCAGAATGCCATGGCAAATGCAAAGCAACTGCCATGATAAATATGACAAACAGACAATGCCCAGATAGACAAACAGAAAACAGAAACACACAAAGGCGAAAATGCACTGCAAAAAAGTGGGTGGACCAGGTGAGTTGACGGGGGAAACTGCAAAAAAGAATAGTCGGAGAAGCACGGGGATCCTGGCTGGTTAGGGGTATGGCTTAGAAATCTAAATACTCTAGAATTGAGCGTGTTAATATATATTTCTATTTGAGTATTTAAATATATTTTTAGTTATTACAATTGTATACACAATTTATATCACTTTTTTATAATAATACGGAATAAGAGTATTATAAAGTATAATAATATATTAAAAGTGTTTTGATTAGAAATGCATTTCAGTTTAAAATTGAACAGAGTTTATAACTGTACCTACAAAATACAGTTAACTTTCTTTGCTTCAAAATAGATATGACTACAAAATGTTTATTTAACATAATAATAAAAGGGCTTTATTTAAATTAAGTAAGAGCCTGAGCTTAGGGAACCAGATATTGACGATATTTAAAAACTACAACAAAATACTACTTTAATTATAAATTAAAGTAAATCAAATTAAATTAGGAATCTAATTTACCATATTCTCCAGTAATCTTAATTTACTAAATAACATGTTTCAAATACCAAATTCCCCTCTCTTATCTAATTATCCCTTTCTACTATATTATCCCCCAAATGGCAAACCCCTTCCCATAGCTATTACGGCCATTTTAGGCATTCAGGTGAGTGCAGTGTATAATTACAATGGCTGACTAGCGTAGAAAGAGAGAGAGAGAGAGAGAGAGACAGAGACAGGCAGGGAGATAGGGATGGAGACAGGGCGAAAGACAATGGGCACAGCCAAGTACATAAAGTGCGGGAGCGGTGGTAACAACGGGGAAGCAGAGAGCGAGTCCAAGTAAATGGAACAGTTGCAGTCCATCCATCCATCTGTCCATCCATCCATCTCGCCTGCTGTCCCTTCGTCACTCTCTCAGTTCGTCAAGTCGGGGCTGTGGAGCTGGCAGAAGCAGAAGCTGCAAAAATGTGCGCCATTGTTTTCAACTTGCAATTGTCAACTGACAATTGGCGAAAAGGCAGCAAGTACTCCCATTTCTTCCTGCCTTTCTCCAGACCATCTTCATCTCCATCTCAGAGCTGTCGCTGCCTCTCGTGTTTTCCTTGGTAAGAGCTTAGGTCATTAGAGTCAAATTAAATTAGAGTGTTAGAAGGTAGCTGCAGCTCTGTTTGCATTTGTCATTAGTTCGTTGTTAATTAAAATGAAGCCCAAGTGCTAGGCGACATAGCTCGACTTGCCGGAGTGAATGGAAATCAAAATGCGCTAAAAACCGCCCCGAAACAATGGCAACACCTGCGTAATGCCCCCGTCCGCCCAGAGCCACCCACAGCCGTCATTCAAAATGGTCTGAAACAAAGCCCCAACCGAATGCAGAGTGGAGTTCAGTTGGTTGGATGACGTCCGTCCGGGGGCTTCGTGTTCCTAGACCGTAGTCCTGGGCTGTTGTCCTGGCAACGAGACCAACACCAGCACCAACACCAACACCAACACCAAAGCGAATTAACAAAACCATAATGTAGACATGAGAAATGCAATGGAAGGCACTTGGAAGGACTGCTGGTTGTGATATAAGGCTAATATGAAGCCCTTTATTAAAGGGAATTTGTAATATAACATAAACTAATATGGTTCAGATCTTTACTACATGCTGAATTAGCTTCTTAATAATTATTTATTTTCAGATAAACTATACTGTAATGAAAACTACGTAATTGAGTCATCAATAGTAAGAATGGTTTTCAAAATAAAGTACCAATATTAACGTTGCACATAAAAACTATATAGTTATTGAATCCCCGGGTTATCCAGTATAAATGCAAGTTATTAATTAAATGCGAAACGAATAAAATTTGTTATTGAAGTCCAGTTATCTATTCGTTATTGTCTATTTGAGCAAAATTGGAAAAAAAAAATACAATTTCATTATATTTAATTAGCGTATAAGCGTGTTGTCTAACAAGTGAAAATAGATCATTTTGGAGTATTAATATATTACCATATCTTTAAAATTAATTACATTTCATATTAATATAAATCATTGAATAAGCCTAAGCTTTAGCTTAAGTCTCTTGAATCGTTCTTCTCTTCGTGATTTAACTTTTAATTTTATTAAATTGATCTCAGATCTGAGATTTTAGCATTATCTTTTTAATCTTATTACCATTTCAGTATATTTTTTAATGTTAAATATAATTTAAATCGTAAAAAAATAAAACTAACTAAAAATTACCCCAAAAAACACCAATCTTTAACTCCATTCCAACCGTGACCAACAAATCCACCATTTTCTGATCAGAAATTAGCCGGAGGCGGATCGCAGTGGCGGTCGAGAGGTGTCAGGCTCAGATCTCCACGGTTCGATTCTGAAATAAATGTCCATTAAGATTAGTTGATTTTGGCTTCGATAGTTTGCTTTTCCCTCCTTTTTGCGAACTCTCTCCGCCGGTCTCTAAGCAAATGCGGTAAATAACGGCAAGCTCCCGAAAAGCTCACTCCAATGGGCCGAATCCCCAACCCCCATTACCCCACCACAAGTTTCCACTTGGCATTTAATGTAACACGAAGCCTGCCCCAACCAGAAGCATTCCAATTGGAAACGCCCATCATGGAACCAAACGGGTCCGAGTGAAATGGCCGTAGCCGCCAACAGCTAGGCTGGTCGTCTCGCTCGCACGCCCACGCAACACCTGCTCGTGTTTGCTGCCCTTCCTCTCGGTCGCTCGGTTGCTCTTTCTCTGTCGCTCCAGTGGTTGTGTTCTTTTTTCTCGTGGTGCGTCAGTTTTTTTCCTTTTTCTTTAACGAAATGTCACCTGGTAGTCGGGCCTCTCTCTCTCTCTCACAAATACAAGGAAACATGGGCGCTCTCTTTTGGCTTGTTGTGGATGTAGTTTCTTTATGAAAAATATTTAACAAACCAATAAGAAAGAAAGCTCTAATGGAAAAAAACTTTTGGCCAGAGCGAGAGAGAATGCAAGCTTTTGCAGAGAGGATTCGGCTGCTTGTGTGTGTGTTTGTTTGTGTGGAGCGAAAACGTTATATAGCAGCTGTCTCACGACCCCACCTGCCACGCCCCGTCGCCCGAAAGACCCGGTTTTTGGCTCGTGGGCCTCTGAAGAGAGCGCGCGCCAAGTTTTTAGTTACGCGTCGGAACGGATCCGTTGAATAGCCGCCAAAGCGCGCTTAGATGCAGCCACCAGCCACAGCTACAGCCACAGCCAACTTGGCCAACAAGAGCCGATCAGCCAGGCAGCCAGCTAGCGACGGTTAAGCCCAAGCCCCCTCGTGGCAAGAGGCAGAAATAACAGTAGTAGCAGCCGCACCGCAAGGAGACACAATCAAAGCGAAAACTTTTCGCGGACTAAAAGTGAAAACTGACCATCCACGAAAGATAAACCGGAATAACTCTTTTAATAACAATATAGAGTGAATAAAACAAACAGTGTGCTTATAAGATATATTAACTAAAGTGCTCAAATTTAAAACCTACACAAATTCAAGTCAACATAATGCATAAATCTATTAAATTAAATAAATCCCCCGTGAAGTCTTAAAATCCTAAGCTACTTATGTACTTCTCTCGTTAAACTTGATGTCAACCGAGGCCCCTTTGTCTATAGAATCGAAGAATATAGAAGGCTGTATTGGTATCTTATCAATGAATGGAAGCAAACAACACAAATCAACATAAACTAGTGATATTCAATATGTAAAGTGTGTTCGGTTACAAAACGGCAACGGCTCAGCATCGTAAAAGTCAACAAATTCAACATTTTATGGCGGATCGTAGAGTGGAATTCATAAAACGCCAACAACAAACCATAAACATATATTAACCAGATGATTCGGTAGTATATTACATATATACACAAACATACCTATATATGCCGACATCGAACTTTTGATTTCAAACGCCGGAAATCGGAAAAGTCTAAGGAAATGCAGAACTTTTCAAGGTCAGTTAAGGATAATTTTCAATATAATGATAAAGAAAATATAGTAATTATATATGGGAAAGCGTAAAATACCTCTTATACTCAAGTCAAAGCAATGCCTTTTGTTAGGTATTTTAATATTATAATATTTTGTTCTAAATCTTTTATGTTGAAATTAAAGTTGGAGTAGCAAATTCAACTTTAAAGATTATTTGTGGTATCATTGCATATGAAGATATTACCCCTACTAAATGGAACTACAATCATAATCAAAATTGATTTATTTATTTTCATAAATCCCGTAGTAATCAAAATTAATTCGCATGTTATAAATCAATTATGAAAACCTTGGTGCCTTTTAAGGCTGGATTTAATTCCACCATTCGAGGCGCAATTTAAGCAACTTTTCTCGACCATCAATTAGGTAAACATGGAGAGAGCAGCACAAAACGAGTCCGAGTGCCTAAGATACAAGAAGAATCAACAGATTTTATTGTTTGGATAATTTCAGGATTTTCCTCGCTTTATTTTCTGCCCAATCATTGTCGGAATCTTTATGCCGCCACTCGAAGTGTGTTTACTTTTGCTTTCGATCTTCCACTTGAATTAAAGCCAACTCTTTTCCTCTCTTCCCAAGTGGGAATTGAGGCATTCAGAGTTGTGTTTGGTTAACTTAATTTCAAACTATAACTGAAAGCCGACTCAAGGAATGTGAAAAAGCTGCATTGAAGAGAGTCAAAAACCCCAGAGAATTGGAAATGACGCAATTAGAGCAAATAGGAGTCGCAAAAACAAGGGAAAACAAAGTATGTTTATTAATATTTACCCAGCATTTGTGACAACATTTGAATTGTTTGTGACGTGCCCCCCTCACATACATAGTTATGTATATATAAATCGACTTTGGACCAGAGCACACAAAAAACTGAGGCAATATCTGATGAAGGCCAAACACAATTGTGCAAACAGAGTTTTGTGAAATTATTTTGCTACCAAATGGAAACAGAGCCAGATGTCAATCGAATATTTTAACGCTATTGTCTCGGCAATTTTATTTATTTATTAAATTTGCACAAAACGACAATTCAGATCAAACAAGAGTGGGGTTGGCCAAGAATTCTAATTAATATTCGGTTGTATCGGACTTTTGGTATACCTTATATGGTGTTTTGTAATAATGGGAATTTAAGAGAATTCATATATCTCTAAACTTTGAACAATTTGTGATATAATAAGAAAACATTTAATATGAATAATAGTATTTAGAAGTCTTTTAAGATACATTTATTAGAATATGCCCTAAGTTTATTCTTCCAATGGATGAGTTTTTATATACCATAAGGCAGTAGTGCCCAAGGATCTGATTTGGGAGTCTTTGCTGTACGCACAGAATGTAAACATGTACTAAAACCTTAATTTTATTACTAAAATAACAATATATTTATGTTCCAATGCTACTTTTCAACTTCTGTTAGTACTTTCATTCCATAATTATTAATTGGTTGATTAACATACAAATAAAGACATAGATTTGTATGTAACATTTAAATAGCAATTTCATTTCCATATTTACATTGTTGAGTTTCTTACTCCCACAATATTTGCTTACAACGTTTAATAATAAGATGAGTAGAACCATTAGATACATTTTCTGCTCATAGCTCTCTTGAAAATTTTGTTCAAAAGCCAGAGTGAGTGCTCTGATTATAGGCACTTTAATTTATTACGTTACCAATAAGTCTCTGTATTGCCGGGTCATGCCTGTTCAGATGGTCAAAATGGTTATAGTTCGAAACAAAATACAGTTTAAATCGTTGAACGTTATTTCAGTACAATAAAATCGATAACATTTAGAGAGCAATAAGTAGTGCTATATACTTTTCAGAAATAATTAACATACGTTCGGTAAAATATTTTAAATTGAGATTCTTTATTAACGATTGCTTTCCTAAATGTTTGTCTCTTATTTTGATTATTCTTTCATATGACAATTGCGATAAGATGTAAAGCTGATAAGATGATATTGTAGATATGGTACATGTGTTACCATATGTTATATGCATATTTGAGAACTTGGTTCCTGAAAACTTCGCTCTATATGTGGCTGACTTTGTAACATTCCCTCTGCATTGCCCTTGGCACGAACTTGACACTAAACCGGGGAAGATGCTTGGATATACTCGTACGTTTACGAGGCGATTGTTGCGAGTGTGAAAGTTCTTAATTACAAACATTAGGGGGCCCAGCGGCTTAGGGCCCTGAGAAGATCCGATCCCAGCGGGCGGTCAAGACGACACTTTTGAATGGAGCATCGGCTGGGGAATGGATCCGATGGATGCCCAGAGAAGCGATACATTTCAACACAAAGTGGAGACACTTAAAGCTCTACCTGTATTGAGAGCCCGAAGATCGGGGACCAAAGACTGCGGAGACTGCGAGACTGCAGACTGCGAGACTCCTCTCCTCCGGCGAGGAATCTGGCCGGGGGAGAGATCTCGAGCTCAGCATGTGGCTAAGCCGATCATAATTCTTGTTTGACACACCAACAAACGGATGAACAAATGAACGAGGAGCAGCAACAACAAGGCCAACTGGGAGGGGGCTCCGAGTGGGCTGGGGAATATGCATTGGCATGGCACCCGAATCCCAAGTGGCCGGCGGGTTAATTTCGCTCCTACTGCGATACGAAAGCAGAGGGACGGATCGACGATCGGCCATGGGCAGGGATTTCCATGAGAAAGAGTCGGACATAAGGTGTCTCTGGTGGGTTATCTATTAAAGCTACTACTACTAGATTAACACCCTGAGAAGACCCACGCACTTTAGGCTTAACGGGTACATTTCCGTTACGCATAAATATCTGGGGAAACATTTTGTCTATAGATGTTGGAGGGACTGAAAACTGAAGACTGAAAGGAGGAGCTGCCATATTCACAGCAAATAAAAATATCTGGAGTGCAATTTGTGCACAGCTGGTGGTGCAACCGTCGAATCGGATGGGGGCCCTGTGGTGCAAATGAAACTGCAACTGCCATCAGATACTACACTGAGGGAAAAATGATACTATCGAGTCTAGATTTTCTTTAAAAGCAGTTGAAAATCGGTCTTTATGTTATCTTTGCCTTATATTATAAGCCACATAAACTGCACATAGTTAGACCTTTTCAATATGAGGGAAATTAGGAATAGGAATTAGTTAAAATAGTTGCCTTTCAGTTACTAAAATAGCATCCTTTTTGTCTGCTAAATAAATGTATAACTAAGGTATTAAAAGTATACATAGTTTAATATCTTAAATGGGTAAGATAGTTATTAATTTGAGTTACTGCTGCAGTAGAAAATCTAAATTGATCTAAATCGAATTGTATATTCATATATAGTCATCAACCAATCTGATCAAATTTTCTCTCTCTGTATCAGCCTCAAAGCCGAATTGAAAAAGAGGAGCAAGAGTAAGTAAGGCAACTTGACAATACAGAAATTTGTTTGCACTCCATAAGGATTACAAATATGCGTGTCCCTTTCCGCTCTCAGCTCCTCTCTCTTTCTTTTAAAATAAATTTCATGCTTAATACGCATGCCTGGGCAATTTTTACTTTAACACCAAGTTGGAATTGCCCGGAAGCAGTGCAGATGTCGCCCTGCATAGGGCAACGCAAGTTATTGACCACGTTGCGATGCTTGGACCATGGAGGCCAATAAACAGGGCCAAAATGTGAGGTTTGGTGGAGAAAATGGAAAAAGTGCGGAACTTGGCAGCAAAATATGTGTAGGATCTGAAAGCCAAGGATAAATAAGTCTAGACCAAGCTTGGTCAGCTTTGAAGGTGGTCAGCGATTAGTTAAAATATGTTATCAATATCTTCCACAACATCCGGAACCGAGACACTCTTGGTACTAAATTTAAAACTATATGTGTTATATATATATAACTTTCCATATAATCCGTTAATATTATGTAAAAGATTTGTGCTGTTATTACAAACTCACATTTTAGTATTACCATTTTATGACACAATAAGGTATATTTAAAGCCCCTTTAACGTGTTATTTTTATGGATTTATTTATTTTTAAAATTGTAAATATATCTCTTCATTTTCTTGAATAAATATTGAGTCTAAAAATACAATGCATACAATTAAATTTACCGCTTTCTTTTACATTTAAAATGTTAAGAAAAGAATTGCCTAAATGAATGTTAAATAATTTTCAATAAAACAGATGTATTGAATATAATGGGAATCAAATTGTCAACTGGGTTTTTAGAGTTTTTATATTATACCGTATATAAATATGTCTAACAATTAAGTTACCCAAAAGTATCTTAAACACTTGGTTAAATTGGAATATTTGTCTAGGAATTCCTATGTCTCTAACAATAATACAGCTGAAAACTTCGTTTAAAGAAAAATGCGTTCTTTAAGTGCTAGGAAAACCCGAAACAAAGGCAACACACCTCTCCAAATCGCCTTTAATTAGCTGGCTAACCACAAAGAAATAATTATAAAATTAATTATTCCTTGGCTGCCCTTGTCTAATGGGGCATTGTTAATCAATTAACTAATTGATTCGAGCTTTTAAAAGTATGTCGTCTGTCCCCATTCTTCGGGGCCAAACAAAAAACAATGGAAAAACAATGTGAAGTGGAGTCGTGGACTCCTGGCCCAAAGACCACTTGCGAGCAGCGCTGACGGTTGCCACCTCAACTCGACCGAAATGGAATGGAATTCGAAGCCGGCTCACTCCACTTTTGGGAACTGGGCCCATTGTTTGGGCCAAATGTCAACCCTTAAATCGGGCGGGATGCACAATAACAACAACAAATGAGACGACTACCACGACGTCGTCCATCCTTTTCATTATGCGACGGAGCACTTGAAACCCATTTCTTTCCCATTTTACCATTTTACCATTTTACATTTTTGTGTATTTTATTTGCACCCAAGCCCGGTGTATCGGACACAGTGGGATGAGCTGAGCCGGTCATGTGGCGGTTGATAGGCTTCAGCACTGGGTCCTTTCAATACCACATGTGCGTGCATTATAAGCGGGATTTACGTGGTCCCCTTGATGCCCCAGCTCCTTCCGCAACGTGTTAAATACGGCGAGAAGGCAGGGAAAAGGGTCAAGAAGCCAGCGTCCGGCTAAACGCTTTCAATTTGTTTAATGGTCCCCTTCGGATTCGGCTTCAGATTCGGATGAGGTCTTCCCCGTCTGGCCAGGATCTCGAGTGCAATTGAGTGCGGGCGTGCCGGGGACATATGCACGATGTGAGTCCGAGTACTTCTCCCATATGAACATACTCCATTTGGGTATTTGGGCTATTTGGCAGGCATTATCCTCCGGCAAATGTGTCATCTGCAGTGGATATTTGCATGGTTTGTATATCGCTGGTCTCTTGGCTAGATTTCCAAGCCATTAGGTTAGCTGTAAGTATAAAGATTCTATAGAGAGTTTTTGGGGTGGTAACCTTAATTAAAATTTGAATGTATCTAAACATTGAAAATGTGGAATAGTGATAATTAAATATAAAGATTTTTTGATTCCGATTTGGTATTTATCGTATTAAGAGTACTTCTTGTCCCAGACAATATGTTTATAAAATATAGTCGATTAAACATTGTCAAGCTAAAAGTCCTTAGGAAAACCGTGTACACTTGCGCTTGGTAGTACAGGTTGCATAAGTTAATACTAAATATAAGATACTATAGATTTTACAATTAATGAAACATTTAAAATGTAAATTTAGTTTCATTATTAGTTGTGAAATATTTTAAGGACACAAACAAGAATATTAGCTTATAATCTTTGGCAAGTTATCAATTTTAAAAGCTATTACACACAATATTCTAACCTAAAGTAATCCTAAAACCTCCCATTTTCTCCCCCAGCTCGACGCACCATAAACTTAAAACCAGTTCCAGCTCCACAAGTTCCAGCACCACCCAGTCCGCCCACCGGCTCGAGGGCCACAGATTGAGCCACCGAGCTAGCCCGGCTCCGTCTCCGTCTGCAATATGATGGAACGTCTGTCCACGCACCTGTCGCTCACCGGCCTATCGCTCGCTCACCCCCTTCAGTCGCACCTGAGTTCCGGCAGCGGAACGCATCACCTTGGACAACTGGCGGCGGCGGTGCAGCAGCACCACCAGCACCACCAGCAGCAGCAACAGCAGCAGCAGCAGTCGGAGCAGGTCCTTGGTCACTCGCACCACCTGCACTCGGGCCAGCAGCTCTCGCTGGGCCACCACCACGCCCACCAGTCGCCGCAGCACCAGCAGCAGCTCCAGCACCACCCGTGCAGCAGCAACAGCAGCAACGGGTCGCCGAACGGTTCCGCCGGCCTGAGCCTGCACCCCCACTCGGCGCTCCACCTGGCGCACCACCACCCGCAGCTGCACCAGCACCACTCCTCGGGCCAGCAGACGCAGCAGCAGCAGGGCAGCCAGCCGGCGGTCTCCTCCTCCTCCGGATCGCACCACAGCCAGTCGCTGTCGCTGTCCCACCAGCCGCACACCAGCAACGGAAGCTCACAGCTGGGCGGCGTAGCAGGCGGCGGAGCGGGCTCCGGCTCTGGAGGATCATCCAACAGCCACCACAGCGCTCCGGCGTCCAGCAGCGTGATGGCCGCTGCAGCAGCCGCCCATCTGCACCACAATTCGCAGGCGTCGCCCATCAGCAATCTTCATCAGAACATGGGCAGCCTCATGAACAGCGGCAGCAGTGCCAGGTGAGTGTCTAAGATGAAGTCTAGAATTGAAGTATTATCTATAAAGTTTTCGATCAGCTACACCAGAGGAGTCGATTTAGCCATTTTCTGGTGTTTGTTTGTCTGTTTTTCCATACGAAACAACAGGTTCTAGGGATTATTTGACATACGTAGATATAGAAAATTTGTGGAAAACATTGTATCTTTTAAATTCAAATCAAGGTTATTTTTGACAGCACACGAAAAACTGATACAAGAACTATTATTATTTTAGTGAAAATGTAAATAAATAATAACCCAAACTTTTTTGGTTTTTTAAGAACAATCGGATTATAAACATATAAGTAATAAAGCAGTAAAGTTGCATCGTTCTATTTTCATTTCGTCTTGTATGGTTTTTCGAGCCTCGAGTAGTTTAAATAGGATATTTTTGATGTAAAAATATTTAATTTTAAAGGCATTTAGAGAAATCGTTTTTAAGCATCTTAGGAATAAAATTCTTTAAATTGATGCACAAAGCTTTGGTTATCTTGAACCTCAAAGTCAAGGACACTCGACTCTTACTTTCTTACTTGATTTTATTGAAATATCATTGTTTTTATTATCTTGCAGCGATGTATTTTTCAGCCTGATGATCCAAAACACAACGAAACGTCAGAACGAGGAGCACATTAAGAGACCCATGAACGCTTTTATGGTGTGGTCGCGACTCCAGCGACGCAAGATAGCTCAGGATAATCCAAAAATGCACAATTCTGAAATATCTAAGAGACTGGGTAAGCTTTTGTTTGATTTTATATAATTTTAAAGGATGGTCTTGTCTCAATATTATAACCTTTATAATATTTAAACAAAATTGTCCATCGAATTGTGTTAAAGAAGTATAAACAAGTATGAAACTTTACAACTTGAAAGTAATATGGGAAAATGGTTAATACAATCCAAGGTTTCAACTTTATTACCCTTATAAATGTATTATTACTTTTCAGCTAGTTCTGTTTATTTCATATCCACTTCATAGGGTTCATAAGTTCACAAGAAAACTTAACCACACACACTATAGTAAATGCCACAATAGTTTCCTCAAAAGCTGTTATATTCGCAGAACAAATAAACTATTCAAGTCCCATGCAAACCCACTTCAGTTTCTCTTTTTGTGTTTTATGTGTAACAAAAGCCACGAAAATCTCAGTTATCTGGTGGCAACGTACCATTCGGAATGTGTATAATCTGGGCACAAAGGATGGGGCAATACGAAAATAGTATTTTCCAAAATACAAAACGAAATTAAAATGCGGCACACGACCTGCCAATCTCTCGCACCCACTCACTCCTTCGCCTTCGCCCCTCTATCTTATGCAAGTTAAACTAATCAACGTAATACCCTACTGTACAATGACAATGACAAACCAAAACGCCCGCCACTCAACGCAACTGTCAAAAGTGACAAGCGGCTGTCAAACAATGAGCAGGAAGAGCCGCGCAGGAAGCTGTTGATTACGCCCGAAGAAGGGGTTCGGCTTTGGTCTCGGCCTTGGGCCTTGCGCCTTGCGCCTTGGTCCAAGTTCAGGCCACCACCCATCCGATTAAACTGATTCGCCAAATCACGGCCGGCTGTCTGGTGGCTTTGTCTCTCACCCGCTTAACTAGTTGCAAAGTTAAGTAGTTTACTTTTTCGGAGGGCTCAGAACGGCGTCGGATAATCCCACGCAAGTCTTATCACTCTTTGGGTTCGGGTCTTCTGGTCTTTGAGCGGTTACACTGAGAAAAATGGGAAAGACACGACAGCAATTGATTTTATTTTAATGAATGATTTAAATGAAAAAATTTCCCAATCGGATTGAACCATTTTCAAGATGGGAAGCTGTATTCAAGGACCTATTTTTCCGTGTCTTCTATCCAATTCTTACCCACACAACCATTGCTTTGTCCGTGGTTTAGTATAGGGAACATTCATTGAACTAAACTAACCTTCAGCATAGAGTATTTGAAAAATCATATTCATCAAGTTACAAATTAGAAATCCAAAATTTTAAAGATATTATATATTAAATGTGTATAAGTCATAGCTTAGAAATAAAATACAGAGATCAAGAACTATGTTTTTTCCAGTGCTATGATGTGTAGTAAATTCAATTTCAATGCGATTCCTCGACACGTGGCAGCTGACAGGCAAGTTCTTTAGCATAACAATGCCTGTTCTTGGGTCTACCTTTTCCGATCGGCTCATGCATATTGGATGAGAGTCCTATACTGAGATTGGGGGACTAATCAGTGGCTTCTGTCATAACAGTGATAGCAAAAAATCAAAACCAAAAGACAAACTCATCTTGGCCATTATCGATCTGAACTTTGAGGGGTTTTTCCCTTCAATTTTGTGCAATTTTTTAATAAAAAGCCAACAGGAGCTGGAGTTACCCCGACAAGCAATCCGCCCTCCCAGTCAAGCACTCGTTAAATGACTTTTTCTTGCATTTTTATTTAGCCATTGTTTGTGGCGAAACAAAAGCAAATTAAATGCGACTCACTTGCCATCCAGTTGAGCGAACCAAAGAGCAACAACGGGGAAACTCGCTGCATCTGAAGGATGCGAACAAAGAAAGGGGTGTACTTTTGTGGGGGAGTTTTTCAGGACTCTCGCAGGACTCCCCCTCAGCCCAACTGCTCCGTTTTCACTTACCTTTCTTGCTTTCTTTACAATGAGTAAACATATCGATGGGAGACAGAAAACTTAAATACAATTTAGAAGTAAACTTGAATTTCGAATTATTTTCCTTCGATTTTCCCTCCTCCGTTGTTGTTGTTGTTGTTGCTGTTATTGTCGAACTGAAAGCCTTTGTTCGCCTTTCACATTTTTTCTTTTTAGTCCGCTTTTTGGCAAATCCATTATGCGAATTGACAGCTCCTCTCGCTCGTCCTTTCGTCCTCAGGATAATATTTGCTGTCAGTTGCAGTCTTTGTTAAGTTTGTTTAGAGCGGGTGGAAAGTAGGGGCTGAAGGGGACGGGAGCCCGGGAAATTCTATTGTGGCCAAAGGTGGAACTGGGGCAGAGTGGGACCACACAGGATTGGCAGTCATCCAGTCAGGATGCTGAAAATAATAAGCGGGGATTGTGCTTTACAGGTCTAGTTTTATTCCATAAAAATATTCTGTATTGTGGCTAATAATATTATATGTTATTTAAAACACCATTTTCCCTGTTAGATTTATAAATACTTTGGAATAAGCAATCCAATCACCTGACTTTACACTTATTCTAGACCATAAATAATCCCTAGAAACATTTTTTCAACTTTCCTTACGCCAAAAAAGCAAACAAAAGGCAATTTATTTAAATAAACAAAGCAAACAAAATGAAAAAAAAAACGGAAAGCAAATGCAAACATTTGCCACATTTACACAAAAATGTCAAAGTTTTTTGCACTTGAAAAAAGTTAAGGCAACATTCAATTAAATGAATAATTCAACGGCATCAAGGACCTCGCTCATTATGAGAAATTGCCAAACAGAAAAAGCACAAAAAAAGCAGGAAGATGTGATGGTTGGGGAGGCGGAAGCGGAGGAAAAATAACTGTGGCATAAACAAAGGCACCACAAAAAATGGCGGCGCGAAAGCTACTTTTTCACCACGGCCGAGTGCTGGAGCGATAGAGACGGAGCGAGTGCGCCCGAGAGAGACGGGGCTAGCCGGTGCGAGCGAGAGGGTGCGACGGGGACTGTGGCAACTGTGGAGAGGCTCTTCAGTTTCAGACGCCGTCGCCGCTGGCGTTGCCATTTATTTTATTCGCCAAACAAAAAACAAAGGCGGAACAAAAGGCAAACAAAAACAAAAAATCCCATATATATGTATGTTTGAGTGGGGAAAATAAAATAAAATAAAATAAAATAAAAGTGAATGTTATAGAAAACAATTCTGGGCTGCGCGCACGGGCTTAATTGAAATTGTAACTGTCATTAATTACTGTCTGGAAATTTGAATTACCAACAACACAGCGCGAACAAAAGGCGACAGCAACAAACAATAATGCTCGCAGCTTTTCGAGAAGATCTCCTCTCGCCGTGCTTGTTGTGTATTCTTTTTCTTTTTTGCAAATAATTGAAAAACCTGTCGAATCGGCAATGCTCCTTATTTTTAATCAAGGCCCCCGCGTTGCTCCTGCGGGAATATGAAATAATGGCTGACAAAGCCAAGGAGCGACGGATGAATGAACCGTTAGACTCTGCGGAACAAAAGGGACAAGGAGTTCGATGAAAGAAAACAACAACAAAAAATACAAATCACAAAAGGTCGAACTCAAGCCTTTTCTTTCTCCCACCCCCCTCAATCACCTTTTGTTGCTCAATAAAATGCAAACAATTGATTAGTTTGCAATTGGAAAAAAGCTTTCGAAAGGAGTTCGGAAAGGGGGAGTGAATGTTATGCCACCCATTGGGCTTGCAATTGACAGGTGTGCGTTGGAGCTGCGTTTGGTGGTAAACTTTTACATGAATGAATCCCTGAAAGTTTGATAATATAAGAGGGCTTAGAAAATATATATCTTAATAATTTTGTTTACTTCTCTACTCGTTATGGAAAATGTAAAGTAAAGTTACAATAGATTTAAAAAGTTCTAGTTATTTTCTATTCAAATTTCAATACTTCACTTCGGAGCCTACCAATTGAAGTCCCTAGAAAGCATAGGAAAATTTAAGAACTCTGCAATGTCAAGTTTTCTTAGCAATACAGGCTGATACTGTAGAAAAATTTAAAACAACAGGAAAATAGAGGGTTTGTATTAAAAAGAACACTGGTTTTGATTGGAGGCACTACAATGAGCCTCACCACTTAGGCCACCACTTAGGTTTCAAAAATATCACAATTTTCTATCCTTTTCCCTTAAAGTATAAATAATATAAATTTACAAGTGAAAAGCCTTTCTATTTAAAAAAAAAGAGATTTCAAAAAGAAACTTATCGTAAACATATCGTTTTCCTGTCATCCTAAAGAATATATATACATAAAAGAATAAGAATTGCCAACTATATATATATATATTTCCAACTACACATATATGACTATCGAAACCATTTAAACCATTTAAAACAACTGTGAGCCACCTGTTCTTTACCTAAATATCGGAAATTTATGTTATTTTTTCGATCCGAAATAGATTACCCTTTACTTTACACGACAGACAACCCGAATATTTATCTGAATGTCAATATTGTAAAAAATTTAATTTACTTTTTCCTAAACATTTTTTGGGAACCATTTTTTGTATAGTTTTTGAATATGAATCGAATTATTGGGTCATAATTCATAAACCTTCACCTTGCCCATCGATCACCAAAGACCAGTCGAAACAAGACTTTTAAAAACTCGGATTCATACTTGGATCCCACTTCTGATTTAGCCATGGATCTTAATCTGAATCTGTTTTTTTCTGTTTAAGAGGTTCTTCTCACGACTCTCCCAAACAAAAGCTGCACAAATAAGCCAGATTTCGACTGGTCAAGCACATTTACCCATTGTAAATGGGAAAACTCCCAGCGCTCCAACTGTGGGCATTAAATTGCTGAACAAACAAGTTAATCTCTGGTCGAGTTATGAGTGGACTTCAACCCAAACGGAAGCTAAGTAATCCCATAAGTAGCACGATTGTGTTCGAGAAAATGGGGAAAATGTAACTACAGACCCCAAATCCGCGCCACAAAAAAAAGGGAAGAAAGAAAATCCCAACAGAACCAAGTAAACTGCAACTGTTGCTGGCCAAATATTTGCTCTGTGGGTTAGGCGAACGTGCAACGTTTCCAGGCCGGAAAAACTTGTTAATTGTTCCAGAAAGAGTCTCGGAAACATCTCACAACTGCCAAGTGCTGGCTTGTTTTTCCTATCAATTATTAAGGAGAAAATTCTCCGGCTGCCTCGGTTCGATGTGCCCTGTTTGGCCAAGGGGCGCCAACATCATAGACATTGGGCAAACATAGACATTGTCATTGTCATCCCTTTTGTGGGTCTGGTTTATTCAACTGCTCAGCTTGTACTGCTGTCTTGTTTATTATTATGTCCCAAGCACCTTTCCACATTTCCACCTCCTCAACTCCCTTCCCACAGTCCCTTGGAGCGATGGCGCTGCATTCTCTTGAAGGTGTCGTCCCCAGGAGGAGTGTTGCTCATTTGCCGGCCAGAAGACCAGAAGGGGCTCTGTCAATGTATCTATAAATTAGTATTTTACCATTATAAGTGGGTGGAAGTCAGGGTTGGGGCTGCAAGAAGCTCTGCCAGTCTCATTGAGCCTTTGTATTGGCCTTATTGTTATAGTTTTTGTGGCCTGTGTGGGCCCCAGTCAGAGTCTGGCTCTGACACTCGATTCGCTTCCTCTTTGGCCAAAAGGGGAAGTTGGAGTTGGCCCTGTCTTCGTTGTCTGTCACAACAATAAGAGAGAGGCTTTGTGGCCCGTTGTGTATGTGACATTATTCCGGCTTTGTGTCCGCATGACAAGCCACTAAAATTACACGTTATAACTAATTAGCGACTTGCCCCCCCTTACACACACTCTCTTAGCAATTCATCAACTAATTCACTTACAATATGTCCACATTTTGTTGGGTTTTCTTTAGTGATTAGGGAAATAAAATTGTTTTCCTTAAAGAACTAATACTAGCTGCTGGAATTTATCCTTTTGAGTTATCTGAATTATCTATCATTGCAAAATAGTTTATCCAAAGGCACCCCAACTGAATGGAAAGTCCTCATTATTTTCATAAATCATTTATGTTGGCTCCCCCCAATATATGAGAAGTCATCTGACACATGTCATTATAACATTTTACATTAACTGAAAAACATTTGCAATTTCCAAACACACAATGGAGGAACCAGCGCCAGAATGGAAGCGAAAGCAACCCCTGTGCCACTTATAGGATGTGTCCTTGCTGTGTATCCTATCATTGTGGCACGTGTATTTGGGTCTGTGTCTCTCTGTGTGGGGGGAGTGTCTTGTACATACATATCCTGGCCAACGCCCACAAGAACGTACCTCCCGCGACCCCTAAGCCATTCCGAAAAGTAACCCGATATCACCTGCTGGGGCAAGCTGAAAACCCGTCTGAATCGAAGGGGAACCCCGAACAATGGCGGGGCAGAAAGAGACGGTTTGTGGGGAGTGCAGAGTATAGAGTGTAGGGTGTAGAGTGAGGAGAACAGTGCTCGACGACAACGACATTGTTTGCTGTTATCCTTCTTGCGCAGACAAGGCAAGACAAGAGGTCCTAAGGGGATCGGGGTAACCCCCATTTTGCGACAGCTTCTCCTGAGTGCACTCCAATGGCTGTAGCCAGCTTTCGACAAGAGCTCCGAGTGCCTCGAATGTATCTAATGGATTAACGAGAATAATTTCAATTTCCAGGTGCCGAGTGGAAGCTGCTCACCGAGGAGGAGAAGCGTCCGTTCATAGACGAGGCCAAGCGCTTGAGGTGAGTCTACCGAGTATGTTTCGGGTGCAGGTTTCTGTAAGGACCGTTTATCCGCAGGGCCATGCACATGAAGGAGCATCCGGACTACAAGTACCGACCCAGGCGCAAACCGAAGGCTCTGAGACGTGATGGCTATCCCTATCCCATGCCATATCCTTCGGTGCCAGTGGAGGCGTTAAGAGCGGGTAAGTTGGTTATTTAACAGAAATTTAAATAAAAACATACTAAAGGTGACATAGTGACATATAAAAATATATGTTCCTTATATACTCAATAAAATAATGTTATTTTATATTTTGAATCAGTTAGGTTTGACATATTTTAGTTATTCCCAAAATATAGCAAATCACTCCTAAGATATTATACAAATTTAATTAGTTTAACTAAAAGACAACTAAAATCTAAACTATATGGGAGAAATTTCAAGGTTATTCGAAAACAAGGTATATTATTACTTAACCATTTTATTGGTAATCAAAATTAAACTTACACTTCGAAAAAATAATATTGCAGTGCTAATATTTTTAAATGTTATTTGACAATACTTTTGCATTAAGTATATTAGAAAACCAACTCTGATAAGGATGAAAATGATGTTTCAAGTTTCCTTAAATACATTATTCTTTCTAAATAATATAAGAACTCATAATTATTAGCAAAAACCCACCATATTCAATCAGCCTAAAATAATATGCAAGAGGTTTATGTACATATATGCTCCTATGCAAATATCCTTTTTCCATAGTTACCTGACACGTAAATTCCTTGGGTTAAAAGCCAACTCCACACCAGGACCCTTGAAAATCTACGCGAAATAATAATCAAGTTTTCGGTGGAGTAGATGGCAGGAACTCAAGACAAATGCAAATGTGACACGAAATAAACGGGAATTGGGGGTTAGAGCTTGAGGAAAACAAACTATCCCCCCCACTCATACCCAAAACGGGGAACCACCCATCTTTGGCTGACAAACTGTGAAGTCATCATCCTCGCTTAGCAACTCATTCGAGTGACAGGAGCGGTCCCCGGAGCGGAGGAAGCCAAGCCAATCCAAGCCAGACGCCAGGGAAGAGCCATCAGACATGAGGCCATGAGCGCAGGAGCATAAGTTTCCATTCATGATTTTCTATGGTCATGAAACGGGGAGTGGAAGTGGGTGGTTGTATGTAGTTTCAGTCTCTGGCTGGAGGTTTTAAATTAGCATTTGTCACGTTTTTTGTCTTTCACCCCGAGCCAATGGTATCCCGCTCGTGATCCCGGGCGCTCAATTTAACGCAAGTTTTCTCGGTTTAAGTTAGTGCCAGGACCCTTTTCACTGTGTGCTCTGTGTCCTTCGCGAAGCAGGATGATTTATGCCAGCCGGAAATGATAATAAAAATGCTAGGAAATGCGTAATAAATAAACCGAATTAGTCTATTTAGCTTGCTCGTGGCTTTCCCCTCACTGCACTCTCTGAAAAGAAAGGGATTTCGAGAGCAGAAAGTGCACTCAACTGTGGAATTAGTAAACCTAAGTATATTTTAGCGATTTTATGACGTGGATTTTGAAATATATTCTAAACTTAATTGGATTAGCGGGTTGTAAATCTGTCTAGTTGGTTAGTTTGATGTAAAACATAAGCAAAACGCTCTCTTTTTACTGAGGAACAAAGAGTTATAGAACAGAAAACTCTTCGCTTTACTTGTATTTATTTTTTAGGAATAGAAGAACATAGCAAAAAGACTATAAATATACCTATCTATAAGAAAACAGTCATCTCTAGACATCCAAAATTGAAGAAGACCATGTGAGCTTCCGTTTGTTTACTGCAACCGGTCATTACAAAAAGATCCACAACAATGGATCAACTGCCTAATCCGCTATTATAATAATAACAATGATGATGGCATCCGAAACCGTCGCTACTTGAAATCGCCAAAGAGCTGAGGAATCTTTCGGTTAAATAAATTGTTATTTTTCGTCTATAGAAACTTTGTTGTCTAAGCGAATTTAATTGCTCCGGCGGAGATCCCAATTCGGCGGGACTCTCAATCAAGTCCGTAGCGCCATCAATGAAATAAATGTTAAAGTTTCTCAATAAGCGGCGCCTGTAATTATCAACTTGGCCACAAAAGGCCGCGAGAGCAGATGGACGACTACCGTTTAGGGCAATTGGTAGTGGCTTCCAGGCATCTATCAGATACGCAGATACTCTCTCCCGGCTCCGGCATTATCATTGCCGCGTAAAATAGCTGATTCAGCGCCCAATTAAATAGCGCTGGCGACCCCAAAAGAAGAAATTATTATTTAAACGAAATGAAAGAGTTGACCGAACAAAGAGCGCAAATATTTCGAGTGGCAATTATTTTAAACACACACCAAGGTAAACTCCAGGCCAAGCCGGATCGAAGCTGCAGTTCATTTTCTGTGATGCACAGTGGTTTAAGTTCAATTGAGATCTTGTATACAAATATGTTTAAGTATGCGGTACAATTTTCGTAGATACCAGTTATATCAGTTAAAATTTGTTATTCTTTGTTCAGAAGTATATTTTTTTGCCTAATTTTGTACACATTTTTAGGAGCTTGAAACCAGTTAAATGTATAATAAATAATTAGGATTTTTCATTCATTTAAATATGTAATGATAGCTAACAAAAATAATACATTTTTAAGAAGGTACTATATAGTTTATAGTTCAGAAATCTGTAGGGTGTTTAAAACCCCTTTAAAAGGTGTCTTAAAATAAGAAATGGTTTTCGGATACATCAAATTCAGGGTAAATTGTTTTTGTTTTGTTGATGTAAAATTTGTAAGCATAATTTTAAACACCCTTTTATGCGTTTAGGGACCCTAGTGGGTTCTGTAATATCCCGATTAAATAATAAATTTTGAAGTTAAATATAAAACTAGTCTTAAGATAGTAATTTAAGTATCATCACTGCCTCCACACCACTGTGCAGTGCTGTAATTGTTCTAAACTCCTTATCCTTAACCCTATATGTACACTTACCCCCTCTAAAAAGAACTTAACCGCACTAAAAAATTGAAAAACTGAAAACTGAACACCACCGAACTCATCTCATTTTCCCTTTACCGTTCGCTTCACTTGCAGGCATTACGCCCGGTTACTTTGCGCCCGGTCCCACAGCGGCTGCCTATCACCTGGGCAGCCATCTCGGCCAGACATCGACGCCGACCACGACGCAGGTGAGTGCCATCATACCCTTTCCACCTGCCCCTTGCCCCCAGTCCCAGTCCCAGTTCCAGTCGCTGTCCAACTGAGGCTCAAGTGCCAGTACGTCCATCAAACAAGGCTGAACGGTAGCGCAGACCAATTACAGATGTATATATAGTGTGGTGTGAGCACATGGGCGGAGGTTACAGCGGGGTCGCCTTAATAACATAATTACAAACTCCTACGGGGGACGCCCACTTTAAAAGGCGGAAAACATTCAGTTTGTTGCACAGAAAACAAATACGAGCAGCTTCTTGGTTAATTTGTAAATATAAATTACAAAAACATTAAAAGAAACATAGAGGGAAAATCTGAAAATAATATTGAAAATCTTAAACATGATCATAAAATATCGTCAGTCGGATCAAAACATCAATAATACAAAAAATATTTTACGAAATAATTTAGGTTTTGAATAAAAATTCCAAACTGATTACACTCCATATAAACAAATTGTAAAATACATATTTTTTGATAGTTAAAAAGGTTATTGGAAGAGAAATATAATAAATATAATAAAATATCCTATGAAATAAATAATAATTTCATAATAAAGGTTAACATTTTTTCTCCGTGTGGTCGTGACTAAGCGGCGAAAAAGCGGTAGATCCTTGCCCAATTGAGTTTTCTGACATGTCATGCCAAAGGATTTGGCCAGCAAGTTGTCATTACATGTTTAGCAGGTCGCAGTAGCGAAGGGACAACCCCCTCTTCGCCAGATCGAGTTGATAAACAAGGGCAGGACACACACAAAAACAAACAGAGCCGGACAGGTGGGATAAGAGAAAAAATGTCCTTAATGCGGAACAGCTGCCCGGCGAAAAGCTGCAAGAGAATGCCGGGAATGGCCACGGAGCAGGCAAAGCCAAAGCCATGGGCTTTGTTCCTCCATCAGGTGGTCAACTACCCAGGCGCAGTACCAATTGATTAACAAAGCCCATTAAAAGCCATGACTCTCGGTTCGTGGCCATTGTGTGTCATGTTCTCTTCAGGGGCACACAAGTCCCTGGACGATGCCTATTTGGATCCGTGATTGATGTGGCGTTGCAGATGCGATGTTGCGGGTGTTGAAAACCTGGCATTAACATTCGCCTCGGTAATAACACACCTCGTGCCGCAGCGATAATAATAGACTAAGTTTAAGCCAAACACCATCTCGATTGAGTGATGGAACGAAGGAATGTTTGGAGCCTACAAGAAAATTGCATAGTGGGCGGGATTCAAGACTCTGACAGGGCAAATTGCTGACAGCATTCCTGCCCAGGCCCAGCTTTTGTTTGGTTACTAGCCTTGGCTAGAAGACCATTGAAGATCATCAGGTTATCATTAAGTTAGGTTGACTTTGAAACGAAAATAAAGTTTATAATTTATGCTAATTATGACATATATCTAATATGATTAACTTTTTAGTTTACATTGTTTTAAATACTTTAAAAGCTTCAGAAATTTGATCCAATATAAAAATGTAGTCACCATATAAGCTTAAAGAAATTCGATTTCCCACTATCCTGTTAACTTTACTGTTAACGATCGTTATGTGTTACCGAAACCGCTTGAAACAACTGTACCTCACATTCTGTTCTCTTTTACTTCATTGAAAGAAACCAGTTATTCATTTCACAAACCGATAAAGAGTTGACAGCTACTAAAGTTCCTGTCAGTGTCAACTGTCCCTTTTAAGGTTATAACATTGGATTTAAATAAATGTACTCGTAGATTTGTAGTTTTAAGACAATCGCGGTTTCGTATCCTTGTAAATCCAACTTGACTTCTTCCAAGATCTGTCTTAGTATTTCCCATTGAGATCTCTGCAGGATAAATATATTTTATTTAAGGTCCTTCACTCGTTCAATTAACTGCATCCTCAACAATTGAAAAACATAAATATTGACACAGCTGCCGCTGAATCCTTGGCTAAACACCGTTCTGTGTCGTCATCATCATCTGCCACCTGCCCCAAAAGACAACATTGCATAACCCACTCAACACGGCAACAAGGAGTTTTCAAATCAATTAACAGCCACACGGATAAGTAACCGGAACCCAAAGAACCGGGACAAACAGACTATCCACTCGTTAATGCGATGGATCAAAATATTTACGAATCCGCACTAATTCCCAATTGGGCGCAAATCAAATCAAATTGTAATCCAAAACGCTCCCGGCACCGGAGACAAGCCCAAGGGATGTTCGGGGGGGCCAGGTCGTCATCCTTGCAGCGTGCTGGTGATGGCCATGGCGATGATGATGTGTTAACAACATAATTATAGCCCAGAGCAAAGTGTTTGCTTCGGGGAAAAAAGGGGAGCGCACAACCCCTCGGCCGAGAGCAACCACTCAAAACAAAACGGAAATGAAGCAAAACAACCCTCTGATGTGCTTAGTACCCGTTAACATTCCCATTCCCATTCCCCCTCCGAGTCGTTTTATTCGAATGAATAACAAGAACTGGCAACTGGTGTAGCAATGAAAAACGTATTGCAAATCAAATAAAATTAAATTGAGACGGTTTCGGTTTGCATTACGGGGGAGTTGCACCAGGGGTTGTTTCTGTTCCCGATCCTCCCCAGCCGAATCCACAATTAGTTGGTCAAATAAAGCCGCAAAAGTGTTAAGCAATTTGCACTAATCAGAAGGTTAAGTCACTCCAGGACTTTGTGGTTGAGTTCAAAGTGGGAGGAAGGGAGAGTGTTTAAGGGGGTGGCATGGGGTTACCAAGGGTTTTACCAAAAATGTAAATAAACAATATCGTATAGCCATAATTATTGATTGATTTAACAAAATTATAGACTCTTTAAGTGGGCAAATGGAGCAGTAGATAGATACATAGCAATTAGATGTACAGAATTATTAAAGCGATGTTTATAAACACAACTTCATTACTAAATGAAAAGCAACTTTGTTTAACTATTACATATTCAAAGGTGATGCGAAGAATGTCCTAGAAATTCCCAAGTCAAAGTTCTCAAAGGAAAGAGATCAAAGAGATCAAAAGCATATAGTGCACTTTCTAACTAGATACTAAATCAAGTGAATTAGACAGCGAAACATACATTATTCTCGTTTAACCTTTAAGACTAAGACTTCTAGTTTACCATTTTAATAATTGAATATTTACTCTTCCTTCCCTCTGACAAGGCCACCCTGTCAGGTCAGATGGACAAGTTCGCCTTGGAGCGCAGCTCGTATCTCAGCAATTCGACGCAGGCGAGTGCCGCGGCCTACAGCGCCTATCTGGATCCCAGTGTCCTGACCAAGGCGTACTTTGACTCCAAAATGTACCAGGATCGGGCGGCCAACTATGCCTTTGACATATCCAAAATCTACGGCGCCCAGCAACATGCAGCAGCCCACCATCAGCAGCAGCAACAGCAGCAGCAGCAACAGCAACAGCAGCAGCAGCAACAACAGCAGCAACAATTGCTGCTCGGCGGCAGCGGAGGAGGCGGTGGCGGTGGCGGTGGCAGTGCCAGCTCGCACAACAACAACAGCAGCAGCGGACTGGACGACCGCGATGCCACTCCCCAGCTAGAGGCGGGCGGCAGCATTGTGGTGGAGGCCAAGCCGCACCTGCACTCGCCCAGCGACGTCGGCCTCGACTATGCCCAGTATGCGCAGCAGTATGGCGGCCAGTTGGCCACAGCAGCGGCGGCGGGTGGCTCTGTCGGGGGAGTTGGGGTGGCTGCCGGCACCGGAAGTGGGTCAGGGGGTGGTGGCGGCGGTGCTGCAGACTTCCGGCGACCTCTGACGGTGATCTTCTGACCACCATCTTCCAATGGCAGCGAGGAGTTAAACTTGTCCATGACCTAGGAAAAGCTCACAAATTAAAAGGTGGCAAGGCAAGAATATTGAAAGCCCGACCTTGGTAATCAATTTTAATCAAATTTAGGAGTGTTTTAAAATTAATAATTTGTTCAGTTTAAAAAATGCTTAATAACAACTTAATAATTTTAATAACTATAGAAATATGTAATTTAAACGTTATTTACTTTCTATTCCATTTGAAAGTGAAATACGCTTTAGAATTCAGCGTTTGACTATAGATTTCCAAGAACTTCCTCAAATTTGATTGAAATTGAGAGCCTTAATTGGGTTTCTTAAATACCCCTTAAACAGGGTATAACGCAGAGGGAATAACGAATACAACCGAAAACGCGAGATTAAAGTTAAACGTAGCCAACATTTGCATGTAAGTCTCCAGTTGTAAACTAACCGTAAGCTTTGTTAAATTAGAGGGAGAAAGCAGGCACAGAGAAATGAGAAGAAGAAAGGAAAAAGGAAGGTGGAAGAAAGGTAGAAAAGAAAAATCAAGGCAAAATCACTTAGCGAAAAGAAAAACAAAATTCAAACAAAAACAAACAACAACGAGCGGTGCAATTTTTTATGTTTTAAACGCAGATCGAAGTGCATAGCATAAATTTAAACTTAAATTTAAAATGTATTTAAATTCTACACTAAACACTCACAAAGCAAACACACACACACACAAGATATATACATACATCCGAATAAAAAAAGAAAACAATTGGAAAAATCAAAAATAAAAGACACGTTGTCATAAGAGGCAAACTGTTTGGTGTTAATTGTACTTTCTTTTAATACAGTTTTATTTTGTGGTAAGTACAAAAACACAGGTTATTATTATTAAACGAAATTTATAGGTAAATCCTGGAATAACAGCAGCGGTAAAACTAAAAAAGAAGGATATAAAAGCATAGTGGTGCAAACCAAATATAATAAGCACCTCAAAAGTATGCTACAAAATAGGATGCTCAAAATATTCTTAAAAACAAGGACACATTACACCGAATAGCAAGCTTTATGGGGCAGGAGAAAATTTTTTAAATACTAAATTAATAGAAATACTATATTAGTTTTAAATTTTAATTATCAAGAAATGTTAAATAACTCAAGACCAACGTTTGTCCTCTTCTTAATTTTTTAATTAATTGCAAGCCTTGTCGAGAGGGTTAGGAAGTGAGAGTGGGTAATTGCTCATTGTGTCCTTAAACTGGGCTGTGTGGGTGGCGAAAACCAAAAACGCTGAACTCTCCCCAACGACGGCAACTTCCGGCCAATCAGGTTGACAAAATCCAACAGAGCGAGCTGAGATTGCTCAAGAGCCGCAGCAACTCAACGCTCAAGCTTTAGCCCGGGCGAAATTACCGTTGGCCACTAATTAATGGCAACCCAAGTCAAGTTGAGGTGCAAAAATCCAAGTAAATTTAATTAATTTTACGCTCTCTTAGGCGCCGGCAATTAGCGTTAATTGAGAAAGTCTGCTTCGGGGGTAGGTTAATTGCCAGAAGAGTTGCCGTTTTTTAAATTACTTGCCAAAATGTAAAAACAACTCTCCTTAAATATTCCCGTTAATAATAAATTGTTGATAATAAAAATTAAATCTCTGCTCTTAAAACAATATAAACACACGGATAATGGCAAGAATTTTGGGAATTTTAATTTATTCAGACGCTAAAGAATTTTGAAATAATTCTTAATTTTTTAGAAAATTTCTTTGAACCCCGGTTGAAGTCTGCGCTTTTGTCCAGTGTTTTATGTCGGGTTTTACCGGTTCAAGCAAGCAGTGAATAAAAGCAGTTTAAGCAAGCAGCACACCATCAACAACTGGCAATATTTGAGTAAGCAGTGCATCACCACCATTTAACTTATGCGGTCTGGCAGCGCTAGTACCCCGTCTGTTTTAAACCTTTTAAACTTTTGCTCTTGTTGACCAATTTTTAGGTTTAAATTTACGCATGCACTACTGCTAAAACAAATTATTGAAATCGAAATACCAAGCTTTAACCTTTAAACATCCAATTTGAAATTAGATGAATGACAATTTATCTAGGATACTTTATGTACATAGGTTTTATCTCTTGACCACCTATTATTTATAAAAATATCTTGTCACTGAAAGAAGGATTTGGTTTATTTTTAGCAAATCTTAATATAGAGACTTAAAACCAAATATCAAACTTTCGCCATCTATGAGGTTAAGTTTGAAAATTGGTACACACATACATATAACAATTTTAAAAAGGTTACTTTGAATTTTAACATTCATCGGTGTACATCCCTGTGACTCCTGAAATATTCCCATCTCTCACCGCCCACTTTTCAACACCAACTTACCTCCCGCCTTCCTTATGGGTTTCATTTGAAACACAAATCACGATTAACGCGACCGCATTTTCCCATTTTTGGTTGAACCAAAGAAAAAGGAAACGGAAAGCTAACAGAAAGAGAGAGAGATAGAGAGTGAGAGAAAAAGACATAAAAGAAGGGGAGTTCCCGAGTATGCAAAAATTTTGTGCCACGTTTTGTCGTTAAAATCCCCGCCATAAATTATTGCAACTAAATGCAGCCAAACAATGCTCCGATGGTCTATGGTGGGTCACTTTGAAAATACCCAAAATTATGACGTCGGAGGCGTTGACACGGTGAAAACCAGCAAGGTGGTGTTAGTTAGAATACGTTTCTATCCAAATTTATAGTGCCACGAGGGCTACGAATATTTTATTTATTATTCATGAAAGTAGTTTTGTGATTTTAATTTGATTATTTAAGAACATATTTTAGAACATAATAAATTCAATTTAGTAAAACATTTACAAGTTAAAATATGTATGAAACCTCAGATATATGTTTCATAATATTTAATTATGAAATAACGTAAGCAAAAGCAACCCAGTGTATCGGATAATAATACAGTTTTTTTAATATATGTCTTTCGTTTAATAAATTATAACTTATAACTTCTAATAAATATATTATTATTTAATGACCAACTCGGAAGGATTAAAAACTAGATTTTTAAATTAAATATTATAAAAGATAAACATAGAAGAACTAATAGAAAGATAAAGCGAATAAAATATACTCTTTCATAATTTAATACAACCAAGCTATAGTAGAATTAAGATTAATTTGTACCCAGCTATATAAATTTGGCCTGCGCTGTATGAATATTTTTCTAACTCTCTGACTAACTGTGATTTCTAATGCCACCCATGGCAGCGCTCCATTGTGCTTGGCGATGACCACATAATGGGACCAGGCCAGCTATAATGTCCATTAGATGGGAACAAAGTGCAGGAATGTCGGGGTCCCGAACCCACTATCCTGTCAGTCCCAGCAACAACAAACGGCAGCAGCAGCAGCTGAGAGCAGTGTGTCCTGCCAGCCGATGATAAGGCGCATCTCCAAACGTATCCTCTCCAAGGACCAAGCACTTAAGACCACCAGTTGCTGGCTCCTTTGTTTTGGCCCCTTCTGTTCTGGCTTTCGGCCAATAAAATGCATTCAATTCGCATGCAAAACAAAAAGCGATAAAAAACGCGTCACCATTGAGAACGCTTCTAAGCAGCAGCCCCCCGTCCGCCGCCCTTAAATCCCAGGGCATTGTCTACGCCATTGGTCCAAAGTGCCCGACATCGACATGCGCGCAGACACGACGGTGTGAGGGGGTGGAGAGTTGGGGCCCAGGAGATGGGGGTTCCCACACACACACACACACACACATACTCACTTTGGGAGCGCTGCCATTTTTATTATTGTAAGGGGGATAAATGGGGAAGACAGTTGTTGTAGCCGCTAAATGCGTTTCCTATTTAGCATTTGTTTTGCTCGGCATGGAGAGAACAGGGTTGGGGAATGGGAGCTTGAAAAGTCTACAAAAGTTACGAGTTTGGTGAGAGCGACGCCTGCGCAGAAACCGAAAATAGCGGGAAAATATTCCTTTTATGGCGCCAACAGTTGTTTTTTAAAAATGTCACCAAATTGTCAAGGAAAAGTCATACATGTAACACTTGTAATATAACTTTAACTTGAATTGAACAGGATGGTTTTCATCCTAATAAAAGAAACCATTCGTGTTTTTAAAGATGTACATGAGAATATAATTAAAATTATGAAACAAATTTTGCTTAGCATAATCATAATTATTATTTTTAACATAATCAAAGGATACATTCGGGTTTTTACATAGTTGAGAAACTGATCAAAGTAAAGGAAAGGCATAAGGTCCAGGATAATCATAAATAAGTGATTTGCTGTATGACCTCAACATTATATAATAATATTTGCCGAGCTCTTCTTTTTATACCCTTGCAGGGTATTATAATTTCAGTCAGAAGTTTGCAACGCAGTGAAGGAGGCACCTCCGACTATATAAAGTATATATATTCTTGATCAGGATCAACAGCCGAGTCGATCTAGCCATGTCCGTCTGTCCGTCTGTCCGTCTGTCCTTCTGTCCGTCTGTCCGTCTGTCCGTTTCTACGCAAACTAGTCTCTCAGTTTTGAAGCTATCTGAATGAAACTTTGTAGTTAGCCTTCTATATACTCTCACTCGTATATATGTCGGAACGGGCCGGATCGGACGACTATATCACATAGCGGCCATAGGACTGATCGAAAAATTTTTACAAAAAAATTTTTAACGTTTTCAGTTTTCAATAGAATTGGATCAAATTTGAGATATAGCCATTTTACTATACTCTACAATTTTGCATAAAATTTTATGAAATCGGACTAATATATCATATAGCTCCCATAGGAACGATCGAGAAATTAATACAATTAAATTTATAACCTTTTCAGTTTTCAACTGATTTTCATCAAATTTTAGGTATAGGCATTTAATTTAAGTCTTAAATTTTGTGGTAAATTTCATGAAAATCGGACGACTATATCATATAGGTGCCATACAAACGACTGTTTGATGTGGAGGAAAAATGCAAATCAGTGAATGTAAAACTGCAAATATAATATGTATAGGTGAATGAAATGAAAGCAGGTATTACTTCATTGTTTTTTAACACAAAGATATATAATTTGTATTGTATGGTTTTTTATTCATAGAAGTTCTATCTGCAAGGGTATATAAACTTCGGCGTGTCGAAGTTAGCTTCCTTTCTTGTTTAAATTTCGTAAAGAAGCATTGGTAAAAATGCCAACGATGCGTCATAACATATAGAATGAACTATGTAAATATAATAATTATTCTGCGAATTTCTCTATCAATATAACACTGAAAAAAATCTTTTGAATAAGCATAATATGATAAAAGAACCTTTTGTAATTAAAAACATCTGTATTTTAAAAGTCAACCTTAAGTGACATTAAAATATAATTGAATGGAATATAATATAATAAAATGTAATAATTTAATATTAATTTAATATTACATATTTATATTTACTACAATTAAATCAAGGTGTTTTACATTCGCATTTCATTTGTGAGCTATTTATTTTACTGATATAAATGTTATTAGGCCCTTGCAAAGGGTATTACAATTTTCTTTAGTGATTGCCAAGCCTTAAATAATATTCTTGATTACCATCTTCTTAAAACCATTTTGAAAAGTCTCCATAACAAATTTCTGGATTAATGTTTTACACTTTTTTTAAGGCAAACTACTATACCAAGGGTATTATTAAACTAACATTTTTGTGTAGCAAATTATTAGAAAATTCGCTTTGAATTAAAACCAAATGGGATGACGATTATGTTTATATGCAATTTTGGGAAACATTATCTGTTTTTTTTTTCAAATATCCATGTTTTAAATTCTTTACAAAAACTATATAATGTTATTATTAAATTATAATATTTATAATATAAACAATTTCATTCGACTTTCTATCCGTAAAAGCAATTTAATCAAATTCAAGACTCTACTCGATTCGACCCCCCCAAGTTGGATTCATTTTCTGTTTCCCAAATATTTTCGATAGAAAAATGATTACGCAAAGTTAATAGATCGACTTGGCGTTGTGACCCCCAGTGTATTACATATTTTTGTTGTTTACTTAACGCTGTCTTTCCACAGTACTTTAATATGTAAGCGGAACTTTAAACTCCACAATTATAAAGAGGGTCATTTATTAGCAAAGCCGCATAAGGTTTGTTATTTTAAGGGATCAGGAGTGATCGGTTATTTTTGAATGCAATTTTACAGAAATCGATATTAGAACAAGAATGAGGAATTTCCTGTGTGGCAAACAAGGACGCCAATTGAGATACTCGGTAAGAAAGGGGTACGAGCAACCTTACCTCTCCAGAATGTTTGTGGCAAACAAAACCAATAAGCGATTGATCGATTGTGAAAGCAAACAAGTACACATTACAGGGTAAATGTAAGGTAAACAATCAAATCGATTAACTATGAAGTAATCTTTGTATTAGTTTTTCTTAGTTTAATTTCCAAATATAATATTAAATTACGTTTGAAGATAATCATGTTCTGCCATTATTAATGTCTAGTTTGACTTAATTCTGAGAATATAATTTTGACGACAAATCTTAAAAAACAGAATTACATAGAAAGAAATATTATTTCAGAAAATATTAATCAATTTGTAGTATGTATGTACATATGTATGCCTAATTTTGTCCGCTAGAAATCTAATGATATAATAAATAAATAAAGAAACAAGAAATAAAGAACAAAATATCTAATGCGAATACACTGAAATTCCAGGTTATTGTCTTTATATAAATATTGCAGCCTGATTAAAGGATCAATTCATCCTTTCAAAACCTTAGAATTTCTTAAGAACTAAAGAAATAATCCCTTAATTTTAAAATTTAGTTTAAATCTAAGAGAAACCCTTTTTAATACAGATTATATAACATTTGTCTAAAATAGTTAACTTTAATCAATTTATTGATCATAACTCTGAATAACTTAAGCAATTTTACCACTACCAATGATTATAAAATCTAAAAAGTATATATATTTGTTTAGTGCATAAATTAAGTGATCGAAGAAAAGTAATTCCCTTATTTTTTGGACAAGATAATAAGTATTTGTAAGCAATGCAGATATTATCAGTTCGCGGGGACCAAAATGAACAGCGTTCGGCAAACAAGTGAGCAAACACGCACACAGAGACACACAAACACACCGAGGACAAGAAGAACCAACACAAGGCGATTGTCAACAAGATACAAAATGCAGATACAAAGATACAAAGCAGCAGAAGCAGCGAAATTCATATCACTCAGCCGCCACGTTGACGCGTCCTCCGAGGGCGCCGTAAAAAAACTCTACAAAACGTGTGCTCTCTCTCTGTCCCTCTTGCTCGCCATCTCGCTTGCACCCTCCACAGCACGCTCACTCTCTCTCTCTCTCTCTCTCTCTCTTTGTCGCACTCGGTCCTTCTTGTGGCAAACGAGGCAGCAGCAACCAACCGAGCAAGCAACCACTACAATGACACGCACACCCGCTCACACACGCACACCTCAGCTGCTTCTTGCCCTTTTTTGTGGGGTTTGTTTGCCGTTTTTGTCGCAAGTTTTCGAATGCCACAGAATGTGTTTTCAAATCCAAACTGTCGCGCACTCGAAACGGACGCGTTGCGCTTGTCTAACGGTGAATAATACCTGCCACATTCAGCGATAAAATTGATAGCTCTTGAATATGAAATATTTTGAAAACTCACAGCTGTGCAATTGTGTATTAGAAAAAGATCTTTAATGATCATACATGGTGTTAAAAATAGTACTTATTCGTGTTTAATTAATTCTATAATGAGACCAATGATCACTTTAAAAATAAGCGCGAATTTTAATTGATAATTGAGTGTCATGTGTAGGAGGGGAATACAAATAAAATCATTTATTAAGGCGGACCTTAATTATTAAGCAAGGTAAGTTAAGTTCAAATATAAGCTTTAAATTAAATCAGAGGTATCGTACCAGAAAAATAAATAGGAAGTTGTTGCCTAGATCAAAGTGTAAATATTTTACATTAGTTCATTGATATCGCAAAGTTCATTTCATATTTCATTTAAAATAAACTGGATTCAAAATATTGAAATAGTAAACGGTGGAAATATTAAAATTTATTAAACCGTAACAATAATTGGATATGATATGGTATTACTGAGAGTCATTATAGACAGAAATCTAGTCAGTACGAATAATTACTTTTTAAAAAACCAATAAGGCTTGGATTATAAGGAGAAGTTTATGAGTCATGATCTTTACTTTGAAATTATGTTCTCTAAATTGCTTAAATTTACAATACAATGATTCAGTAGAAGCGCTTAGGGGAAAAATATATATTTTTACCTTTAAAAATGAAAAACTAATTATTCAACTATCATTTGTAAGTTCTTTGCTAAGTACAAATTAATATGTATTTCAATACCTAACTCATCAAAGGACATAATGTAAACGTTTACATTTATGATATTAATAGTTCAAGTATAGCCATCAGTTTATCTTATATAGAAGAATAAGAGGATCTCTTTGACTATTTAATCTTTTTAGGTAAATTTTTCTGCTCAAAAGAAAAGAAAAATATAACACAACATAACAGGAATTTAATATTATTACCAAAGTATGAATATAACGGGAAATCCCCGATATTCAAAGTCAAATTTTTCGTTAATCCGTTATCAGAGACAGATAAATATTTACACTTAAAGGTCATAAAAATAAAACCGCGCTTGAGCCCCCTTTTTACCGCGAACTGAAAGGAGTAAAAAGGAGCACCATTGTGCTTCTCCGCGACACAATCAAATGGCTAAATGACTCACCGAGCAGCAGGCTGGCAGACAGAAGGGTCCCCGAGCTAACAAGGCATATCTATTGAATACCATTTCCGTTGGCATTTCAGGGCTCGAGGAGCAGCAGCACCACCAACACCACCACCACCACCTGATAATTACCACCTGCACTCTGTCAGAGTACCTTTGGAGCCCCCATTGGCATTCCCTCGGCAGCATCATGACCAGCATCTCCGCGCTCCTCCATCGCAGCCACAGCCACAGCAATGGCTACACCAGCAGCGGGAGCAGCAATCACAGCCACAGCAGCAGCCTCTCGCCGCAGTTGCCCGGCATCAGTTTGGGCCTGGGTCTGGGCATGGGCATGGGAATGGGCGTGGGCGTGGGCGCGGGTGTGGCCACAGGCACGGGCAACTCCACCCCACCGCCGCCGCCGCCGACAACTGACCTCGCCGTGGCCTCTGCAACATCCACACCAGTGGCTACCAAAATGCACCACCACCACCACCACCACTCCAACGCCAGCTCCAATGCCAACGGCAGCACCAGCTCTAGTGCCAATGGATCGCACCACAGCCACGACCACATCAAGCGGCCCATGAACGCTTTCATGGTCTGGTCGCGGGGACAGCGTCGCAAAATGGCCCAGGACAATCCCAAAATGCACAATTCCGAAATATCGAAGCGCCTGGGCGCCGAGTGGAAATTGCTCACCGAAGGGCAGAAGCGTCCATTCATTGACGAGGCAAAGCGATTGCGGTAAGTACTGCTCACCGGGGTCTGTTCCAGAATACACACAGAGAGAAAAGTGCAGGGAAGAAAATAAATATAGGGACATAAAAAACTAAATTAAAGGAAGGTCTAAACACTTATATACTAACTGATTTTGTGAGTCAAAATTATATAGCTGTTTTATCCTTCACTGCATATCAAGGAACATCTAGATTCTTATTCAAAGAATGCCACAACATTTCATTCATTAATCTATCACCCTCAGCAAAGGTGTTTAATAAATTGTATTTCATTTAAATTAAACCCTGAACACCTTAGCATATAAATACAATAAAAAATGTAACTTAACAAGAAGTACTTTCATTTTATAAGACTTCATTATATGTCTCACAAGAGACAGGTACAATTGTGTCCTGTAAACAGGATTTTCTTGATGTGTAATTATATTCCAGAGCTTAGGTGGTAGCCTGGTTGGGAAATTCTGGCTAGGTTTCAGTTACAGCTTTTCCCAGTCGGCAGCTCATTCGCTCTCCCTCGTTGCCGTCTGGCCACAAAATTTGATCGATTAGCTAAGACAAAGGCTCACATTGTGAGGAGCTCCTGGGTGCATTGTGGAGCTCCGGAGCCGAGGATTGTGTCCGCTCTGCTTAGTCAGAATTTCATTGGCATTGGCATATCTTGGGTAAACATTTCAATTGAAGTTGTCACACAAAAGAGTGGCAACAACACATCGCATGAAATGGTTCATTCATTTAGCATTCTGCTTTACTTTGTTTATTCTTCTGAATATGCCCTCTCGAAGGAGTTAAAGCATTACTTAGGTCTTATAAATTAGGAATAAAATTTAAAAGTATAAGAAAATTCCAAACTTTATAATTAGATTAAAGGTAAAGGTTATAAAGGTATTCAATAATATGGTATACTAATAAGCAGTTGTAATACTGTATTGCAAACACTCTCTAAATTAAAAGGAATTTGTAGATTTACTATTTAAATGGTGAATAATTAGAGTATATACAAACGATTACGAATAAATAGGTAACTCTCTTTTTTTGTATTCCTGTGATAGTGGGGTCTTTGACGATGACGAACCTCTGTGTTTGCACTGTCATAATCCTTTTATTGATTGGATTGGCCTGCCAAATCGAAATGTGAAATTTTATGTACATTTTATGACATTTATAAATGAGGCGAGGACCGTCTGAAGGGGCTTAAACTAATGGCTATTCGGGGTTTTCGAGCGAGCATATCGAGTGAAAAGAGCCACGAATTTTGTTTAAATATTTGCCAATGCGCATTGATAACGAAAACAATATTTTTTTATTTCTTACTTTCGGGTCCCGCGATAACGCAGACATAACTGACCAAAGAAAGGAAAGCCAAATAAAGAAAGGCGAAAGTAAAACAAGAGCAGAAGACACAAACACACACCTTTTATCAGGTTTTATCGTTTTGTCAAACAAATGTCAACAATTGCGCATTGTTGCAGCTGGGAAACGGAATCGGAATCGGATTCGGATTCGGACTCTAAAGTGGAAAGGGAATCGAAGTTGGTGTAGGAGACGGACTGGGTTCTTTGCTAAATACATAAAGAACGAGTAATCTTGTGCATTTTGTATCTATATGTATTTATATGGAAGGGTTCCGATTCCCCTGGAGTTTATGATCTGAGGCACAGACATAAAAAAGTTAGAAACAATTTGATATAAATTTTAGAATTTTTTAAAGCGCTATTCTACATCGAACCTTTGATCAAAGAAGTTAATAGGGAAGGACTCAAAGACTTGGAAAGATCAAATAAAATAAATCAGCTTTCTATAAATTTAAAGCACATTGAGACCTATTTCACACTCTCAATATTTCTCTCTGTATGATATGTTTATGATATCATCGCTAACTCGTTCGATCTTTTGATCGGTGTTCCAACATTTGTTCAATTTACAGCGCCCTGCACATGAAAGAACATCCCGACTACAAGTACCGGCCACGCCGCAAGCCCAAGACGTTGAACAAGTCACCGGTGCCAGGTGGAGCAGCCAATGGCAGCGGAGCGGGCAGTGGAGGAGCTGGTGCTACTCTCCCCGGAGGCTCTGGTTCAGGTGGGTCCTCCACGCCGAAGGACATGCAGCCGCAGCTTTCCCCGCTGGGTCAGACAATGACGCACCTGCATGGACACCATGCACATGCCCACCATCATCCGCAGCACCCGCACCATCCACATGCCCATCCACACCCGCACCATGTCCACTTGGCTGCCGCCACGCTGAGCGCCAAGTATGGCTTTGGATCACCGCTGGAACTGTCCCTGCCTCGTCTGCCAAATGCCTTCCCGGGTCTGGCGCACTATCCGCTGGATCCCACGTTGGCCCTGGATTTGCAGGCCCGCCTCCAGGCAATGTACGCCGGCAGCATCTACCATCCATGGCGCTACCTGCCACTGATCAGTCCGGATACACCGCCCTCTCCGCCCAGCAGTAGCGGCACCGGCATCTCCTCCTATGGATGCGTCAAGTCGTCCAAGTCCTCGCCGAATCCCAATCCGGCAGTGGGAACGCCGCCGAACATTATTTGACCGACTCCATTGCGCTTCGGCGCCGGCACCGCCGCTGAGCACGCGGTGTAGGATGATGGGAGCAATGCATTCAGATTCGGATTCAGATACAGACCCATCGGATCAATCCGGTAATTGGTCACTCGATCACCCCGCCCCGAAAACAGAGACCCTAATGTTAGAGCCTAGTGTTAGTTGAATATCAGCGCGTGTCTTTAGTTTGGTTCCGGATTCTGATTTAATTTCAGTCAAGGAGGCACTTGGTATAACCAAGGACCTTGTAATAACAAGATGAGTAACGCCACTTGAGCTGACAATTCATATGCATGGGTGTTAAGCGTCTTGTTATTATAAGGTATCTGGTATTAGGAACACCAATTTCAAATACGTAAATTATAATTTTTAGTTTTTTAGTGACCTGTATTTATATGGTTATGAGCTTAGGGCATCCAAAACTTCGACTTCTTCCTTGCGTGAAAAATAAGCTGAGAGTAAGTAGGTTGCTCTTATTCGTATATCAAAGATTTCCATACTTACAAAATGGAATTTCGATACTGGTTTGTTGTTCCTGCTAAAATGGCAGTGTCTCCCATAAATAGGCTTTATTCTTATTTGTATTTAATTTTAGCTTTTATTAAAGTATTGTTATTTAATTAGTTTAAAATAGTTTAGAGGCAAGGAATCCCCATGATTGCTAATTTCGAATCCACTTAATTGTATTATTTTGAAGCACATTCCAAATGTTTTTGCTTATTAACTAATTAATTTGTTATTAAAGGAATGAGGTATTCCGGAACCCGAAAATAAATGCTTTTTAAGTCTTTAGTGCACTAGATTTGTTAAGGCATCAAGGCAATGTCCCCTTTTGTGTAATATGTATATGATTGTAAAACTATATATTTTAATGTGATAAATGAGCGAAAATTAATTCAAAAACTGTAATAAAATAAACGATTTTTAAACAGCACACGGGCATTAACCACATAAATGAATACGTGCCTTGGTAATTGTGATTGATGGCTGCACTAGTCATCCTGAATATCCTGGAAACACGAGTGAAAATCATAGCTCGCAATCTGTCAGGAGTCACTGCCAAGCGCCAGCGGCTGAATAATAACGACAATGTTTGCCGATGCGTTGATTATTAGTTTAAATTGCCGACACGCCGCGAGGGTGAATCTGTTGGATAGAGGGAGAGGATAGCCAGGATTCTCTAAGACGGTCTGAAGGGTGGCAACAGTCCTTAATGGGATTCCTGCACGCCCACTTGTTTGGGCGACCGACTGTGAATAGGTTACCGCTGAGGCGTGTCAATAATGCTCAGTCCAAAAACAATTGTCACTTTTTGTCTCTAGCCCGGGAAAACAAAGCAGCAACCACCACTATGACGGCAACGGAATGGGAAATGGTAACTGGGAAAGGGGGTGCTTGGGTGATTTGGGTGGCTTAGAGGGGGCGGGACAGAAGCAATCGCGACAGCATCGTAACCAGCTGAAAAGCCGCACATAAAAGTCACACAAATGCCACGCTGCAGCCAACGAAACTGCTGATAAGGAGCGCCAAATGCCGAGGAGGCAGAGCCACACTCAGCATCCATAGACCACTTTCCACTCTCTACTTTTCTGCTTTTCAGCTTCACTGACAAAAAAAACCCTTTTAAGGTCTTGGGAAAGTTCTCAATAATTTTTATTTATTTAAAGGTTTTAATCAACTCTAATCATAGCATTTCTTTAATTCTTTCTTATTAAAGTATAGAAACATTATTTTGTCTATTTACAAATATTGCGAACACTCATTTTTCAATAACACAAACATTATATGCAAGGTCATTTATATAAAAATAAATATAACACGTCTGTGTATAATCGATTCAAATTAATTTAAAGGAGAACCAAATACAATGCGGTCAATGGTTAAAAATATATACAAACAGTTGAAAATAAGAAAATTATAATAAGAAGAGAAATATAACAATTTCAGAAAACACTACGCTTAATTTGTTGCTAATTTATTTTTGTAAATAGCTTGCATAACAATATTAATTTTTGTATATTATTAACCTAATCACATTTCTGTATAAAGACAGTCTAAATGAATTAGTCTTAGTTTGATCATGACAAATTTAATGTATATTCTTCTCTACTATGTATACTGTTTTTTAAACTTATTTATAATTTCATAAGGTTTTAATTTTAGTTCATTTCTTGTATTTTTTTCTAGTGTTTATGGTCTGGGGAAACACACACACATACCCAGGACTTATGGGGTGGTGTCTGTGCCGCCTTTTGTTGCCCGCAAGGTCGTTTTTATAGTGTCCTGGTCCTAGTCACTGGTCCATCGAAACAGTCCCAGGCTCGAACTTGAATAAGCATTTAATGTTTGCATTTGACCTCACCTCCGCACAGACAAAGGAGACATCGGGCCAAGGGGCTGCTGCTTCCATTCCGGCCAAATCACTTGTGCGAAACTCTGTGAAATGCTACAACAATATTTGCCCAATGAAATTGTAAAGGCGGCGAAGAGCAACCCCCAAGAGAGCAGTCGTCAAAGTTGGTCGACTGTGGGAACTTACAAATTACCGAAACGAGATCTTCTTTTAGAGATCACAAAGCGGTAATTGAAACAAATTGGGTTTTAAAGGACTTAATCCAACAGAGAATACCCCTTTTTATAATTTTTAAAGTTATTATTTTAATCATTTAATCATTAAAAAACAAAATTGTAGAGTAGTCATTCTAATTGAACTTTACTTATATTTATTTCTAAAAAAATTAAATCATTTAATGAGATACATATAGAAATCACTAGAGTACTTTAAACACTTTAACAGGATGCAAAATTTATTGTAAAGATAATAATTTTACGAGGTTAAGATCTGTATTTTTAGAAACACTAATGATGTCTTTCTCTACATATTATATGCTTTAGCTAAAATAAAATATATGGTTTAATAAAAGTACAAATATTAAATGTTTAATGAAAAATATACATAAAATTAGTACATTAATATATATATAAATGAACTTCCTTGGGTATGTTAATCAAGAAATAGACTTTTTATGAACAAATCTCCTTTATCGTTTTGAAAACTATCTCCATGAATTTCTACAATTTAATAGGATAAAGCTATCCCTGAGAGCATATCCAAGCATTGGGCCCTGTTGCTGCAATTATCAAAAAATTTAACGCGTCAACTGCTTGGGTGCATTTCAGGAGGAAAGTCAACGGGCTATCAAAACTAACAGACACGCGTAGCACGTGCTGCCCACCGACCTGCGACCTCCGACCTCCAACCTCCGACCTCCGACCCCTGATCTCATCATCATCTAGCTTCACTCACTTGTTTCAAGACAAATAAAAACATTGAAGACGGGAGTCGATGAGGGGGAAAAATAGCAGAGCGAAAACGTGTGAAATAAAAGTTTGTTTGATTTGCTTTGTGTGCCGGAAGTGGGTGAAATAGAGGGGGTAGTGTTGTATAAGGGTGCTGAAAGGAAGCGCTTGTATCGCGGTGACAAAAGGACACTGTGAGAAAACAAGCCATAGTTGATGTTAACATACCTTGAACTTAAAGGATATACTTGATCTTAATTAATTTATTATAGTGCGATTTTAGTTATGTTAAAACTTGTATAATTTAAGTAATAATTTCATCCTTAGAAACATAAAATTTGCTGGTTTCAAATTAGATTATTTCTAGACTATTTCAAATTTCAATACAATTTTCCCGTGTGACAATAAGACAGTCAAAGGTTTTGCCTTCTTTTCACCAAACCAAAACTCTCGACACACTACTCAATGCAAGGAATTTTTTGTTTTATTTTGGCAGGATGCTGGATGCTGGCGGTGGCGACCCCACTCCCCTTGACTCTATCAACACTTCCAGCACACGACTCCAGCTCCTGCCCTCCCTCCATCCTTTTGCTATTTCAGTCCTGGCACACTCACATCCGTTGTGATAAAAAGAAATATTTTCTTTTGGCAGCAGACTTTTGGCCTTTCTTCTTCTTCTTTTTTGGCCCAATGCTTCATTATTACTATATTTATATTTATTTGCTGTACTTTTTCTTTCATTCCCGGGCACCATTCACATTCCATTTCATTTTGCTGACTGCTGACTGGCGACTGTTTAAGGTGGCCAAAAGAGAGCGAGGGAGAGAGCCCATTACGCAAAGGATATTGTGTGGCCATGAATCAATTGGCCAATGTCCACAAAAAAAAGTTATGCCCGGAAATATGTTGAACCGCCAAAGCGATGACATTCCATTTGCATTTTTTAGATTATTTCTGAGGCAGAGGCCCGGGGCCAAGGCACCCAACTTAATCGCATGTAATAAATTTTAATTTTTAAGCATTTGTAAGCACTTTTATCAGCGCAACAAAGGACGCTTCATTTTTTAATGCCAAGCCAGCCGAAAAAGAAGGAAAAAGCCAAAAAGGATATAAGATTAAGACGCCAAGGCGAAGTTGAGACATAAAAAACAACGCCGAGCAAATTAGCCGCCCAAAGGGGAGGTGACTGGGTGACAGGGAGACAGGGGGAGGATGCGGTTTATCACGCCCACAGCTCGTCGAACGGATATCCGACGCATGGAAGACAAACAAAAAAGGCATTAAATCGCATTTAAGTCATAGCGCCGAGCGGCTACAAAGCCAAAACGAAACCGAAACCGAATCCGAAACCAAAACCAAAACCCGCCACGAAGCCAGAAACATCCACCACTTCGTCTTGACTTGGCTCAGGAATCGCAGGGAGAACAAGGACAACTGGCACTCGAGTCTGGAGACAAGGATGTACTTTCAATACTCAGGAGCTTATCACACAGTGTCCTCCGGAGAGGGAAAGCGTTGCCGAAGTGCGTGTTAAATGCTAAAGAATAGCATCAAAAGACTTCAAGTTTAATGTTAATTTCAATGCAGAACAATACACATTTGGGTCTAGAATTGGAGTATCTATTAAGAAGACTTTACATTGAGAAACTGAAGCATATAGCGAACAGTGTGTATAAATTGAGAGTAGCTTCAGTACCAATCTCAAAACTTATTTTGACTATTGCTATAAATATAACGGCAATTACTCAAAAAAAAATATATATATTTCATAAAATACTAGCTTTATGGACTGCAATAATTATATATATTCCATAACATAATATGAGTAGCTCCTAAGAGATAAGTTACAGCAAATTGAAAGCTCTAATCAATAAAAAGATTAAATTGAACAACGTATAAGCTACACATTCATTTAAGCAAAAAAAAATATATAAGAGTGCACAAACACTTTTATAATTTTGAAATATTTTATTGATTTAATTCCTTTGAACTCTGTAAATCCGAATTAAGAATTAATATATTTATATGCAAAGGTAATGTAATATAATGAAAAATTGACATATGTTATATTTTTTCATAACACTTAAGGTTACATGGCAAATACAATAGGTTATAGCAGTGTTCAAAATAAATACTAGATAATTAAACAAATAAAATAATTGTAATAAAATATATGTGTGTATAATTAAAACTTTATATGAATTAAATATACAAAAATTTAACATAATTTAGTTTTAAATTCTGAACATGAAATACATATCTCTCAAAATAAGAGCTTAATCGATGCAAAGATTAATCGGAATATAAATAACAAGTTCTCTGTGTGATAAGTGAGAGTTAATTTATATGTTACACATTAGTTTTACAGTTACACACGATTTCTATGAATAAATGTATACCTATATTTTTGTCTTTAAATAAATTTAAAAAATATTTAATCATGACCTGACACTTAATTGTCCACAAAAGGTAGCATTCGCTGCATTTCAACTGCCTGGCCTTATTTTGATAGCCTGAAAACCCGGGAGATTACGTCGATCGCTTGGAAACAGTCAAATCGGGAGCAATGGACAGGGAACTGCATTTAGCATATATATATGTATATATATTCAGAAGTAAATTATTCATATTGATATACTGCGGGCACAAAAAATGCAGCACCATCGATGCGAGGAACACAAATGGGAGAGTAAAAATGAATGCAAAAGTGATGCAAATCGTGGCACAATCGACGATGGCATTACTATGCACATATAGCGCATTCCAGCAAATGTCCTGGGCCGGGAGCAATTAAAACGAGCAGCAGGACTTGCGGACAGGACGCCGTAAATGCAGCCGAAACTCACAATGCCGGAATGTTTTTTCTTTTTGTGTACTGCGCTTACAGTGGCGCAAAAAGTACGTCCCCGCCTGCGACACAAAGGAGCAATTAATGCGAAATTGTAGCTGCATAATTGCTGAACATGCAGCAAGGGGCAAGTGGCATAAAGAAGCAATTAATGCCGCACAAATGCGCTTGGCATGCATAAAAATGTCCAGTCGCAAAAAGCGGGTAAAGTGCAGCAAAGGCAAATCAAAGCCGCTTTTTACGGGCCATTTTCTGGCGGGAGCCGGAGCCGAGAGCTAAATGCTGAATGCCCGGCCGGAGCTGGCAAACAATTGCAATTACATTAGAAAAGACAGAAACATTGAAGCGACAGTACTTAGATTTTGACCAAACTAGAGATGGCAATAATATCTTTATAGCAGTGGTGTGCACAGCCCTGACTTGCTAACCACTGCATATAAGTGCACAGAATGTTGTGATTTCTGTTTATTGTTTTACTATATCAAAGAATTGTCAGTAAATAATTATTAGTAATTTTGCTTAATGTTCTATCAAAGAATTTCCAGGCTACTATTTAAAATACATTTTCTAACTATGTCTATTTTATAAACAATTTATGTATATGTACTTTGAATACTATCTTATTTGATTTGAAGACCACAGCTATTTCTTTATGATATTATTATGATATTAAACCATTGCTCTCCATATACCACAGTGATTTTCAATTCCATATCGATATATGTTTGTTTGCTAGTTCATCCCTAGTCATAGTTAAGCTTTGGCCACCCACGTAGCGATTTTCACTTCCGTTGCATGCCAGGCACGTTGCAAAATTGTCGCAGCGCAGACAACCGAAAAAAGGCAGCAAAAATCGCTCGTGGAACACAAAAGCCACGGACAAACGAATTGCCAATTTAAATGTGAATAGAAAAATTGCATCGACGCACCCGCTCATTGCTCACACACCCACTCCGCCCATCTCCCATCGACACACTTGCACAGTACAGCACAACAGAGCAGAGGTCCTGCCATCCTTTATCCTTTCACAATCGCCAATCACTCACTCACGCGAACAATGACGCAGCCAAATGCTACGTGGCCTTCATTTTGGTGCTCCGAATCCGCATCGCTTTACTTTGAGACTGCACTAGATATGGGATCCCTAAGTCTTCTCAGTCTTAATAAAATTGACTAGAAGACAGCATCTTAAGGATCTTGGAAAGGTTTTAACAAATATTAAGCTCTTAAATAAGAAATAATATATTACAAAACCCTTTCAGGTGGTAATCGAGATTAAGCTTTGTAAATGTCTTTACAAATTCTCGTCAACAAAGTTCCTTGTTATATTTAGTGCACAATTTTAAAATATAATACATATACTTTTATTTAAATTTAATAAGAGAAACCCAATATTGCTAATCGTAAACATTATTTAAATAAATGTATATACAAATTAATTACTTCATGGCTGTGACTTTGTTATTATTATTTCTAAGCAATATCAAACAACCAATTAGTACTAATTAATTAGCTAAGACATTCGCAATTAAAATAGGTCAGTCGGGACTAATTTTTTGCACACAATCATAGCATTATGAATATATAAATGATTATCAGCATTAACGCAAATTTTTCCATGTTGACATATAAGCTTCCTTATCCTTATCAGTAATGGAAATGATGAAATTCATGCGATTTTGTTTACCAAAAGTTGAATATATCTATTTCTAAGCACATTTAAATAAAGTTTGCAGCTTGTTTGTTAAAAATTATTAAATTTTGGTCACAAACACGTACGCCAAACAAAAGTCGGAAGATCGGGCAGTGGCTTGGGGATCAATGGACCAATTGAGATAGATCAACCGTCCGTCAAGCAGCAACCAACCGGAGTTTGTCTGAGAAAAGGCCCAATGCCCCCATCGATTTCGGAACAATCTCTGTGACAACAACAACTTTAATTGCATAATGAGGGTGCAGATTTCGCGGCCTATGAACTGATAAACATATTTTTCCCTCGCGAAAAAGGCATTCAACCCAATCGACTTCAAGATGCACTCCGGATGATAGCTGGCATGGGTATAAAAGGCGCAGCGATCTGACTGGAAGATGCAGTTGCCTGCTGGTCTGTGTCTTAGCATTGTGCCAGGACAAGTCTCCCAAGAATCCACCATCGAAAATCCCCAAAGCACTCTAGACTCTCTGTAAAAGTCAGTGAAAGGAGAGTGGACAACATGAACTGGATTCTGTTGTTTGTGGCCTGTGCGGCCAGCGTTGTGGCGGCAGGAAGGGTTTCGATGAGCCCGGAGCGGGTTCAGGGTATTGGTAATGATTAATTCCAAGGATTAATGCAACTAATTAAATTTAACCACTCTCTCCACCCCTTAGACCGTATGTCCCTGGAGGACCTGCAGCGTCAAAAGTTCATACTCGACATTGTGCAAAACATTCGCCAGCCGCTGCAGCAGGACGACCTAATCCAGCTGGACCAGGGCCTGATTGTGGACAGCCAGCGGTATCGTGGTGGCATTGATGCGGAGATGCAGCAGGTCATCGAACTGGATCGCCAGCGACGTCTACTGGACGAGCATCAGGTGTACACTGTGGGTCGCCTGGAGGACGTGCAGCAGCTGCGCGGCATCTACCGCCTGCTTGTCCGCTCCCAGGACTTCGATACCCTGCGCCGCAACGTTGTCTATCTGCGCCGCAACATCAACCCAGTTCTGCTGGTCAACGCCTTGGTCCTGGCCATCCGGGACCGCGAGGACACCCGCTCCCTGGTCGTGCCTGCTGTCCCGGAGCTTCTGCCCGAACTGTACCTGGACGAGAATGTGATTGAGCAGGTTCGTAGCGTCCAAAGGGACCAAACCCAGCGACCATCGCTCATGGACATAGTGGGTCTGCGTCAGCAACAGCGCATGATGAATCCCGTGATGAACATTCTGATGCCCTGGCGCGAGATTCACATGCGGATGGCTTTGATGAGGCAACAGAATCGTCAGAATATTCTGGGCAAGAACCGTGTGGTTATCCAAAGCGAGAGGCAGGGACAAATTGAGGGCATCTCTCTGCTAACGGATGATATTGCTCTGCGCAACTTTGTCCAGAATCTCATCCAGGAAATTGCTCTGCTGAGGAGGATTCCCAGGAAGAGGAAATCCGCAATGTGTTGGAGCGTGACCAAAGGATCAATAGGGAGGAGGAAGAGCAGTGGGTCGGCCGTAATCGTGAATTGAACAACAGGGAAATGGATCTGGAACAAGACCAGGACACTGGACGCCTGCTTCGTGTCAATCGCCGCCGCCAGCAAGAGGACCTGGAGGATCAGAGCCAGATTAACCAGCGTGAGCGCATCCAGCGAATCCTCCGACGAGATGATGATAATGATGATGACGACAATGACGACGACGATGATGATATTCGCATGGGCCGCGTGCAGGGAGGTCTCCGCACTGGAGGAGTTCGGAATTTGCTGCGTGTCAACCGTCGGCGCCTGCAGGAGGGACAGCGGGATCGAGTACAGGATATCACCCAAGAGAACGATGATGATGATGTCCGCATGGGTCGCGTCCAGCTGCAGCGTGGAGTCAGCCGAGGAGGAATCCGCACTGAAGGAGTTCACGATCTGCCCACCGTTAACGTAAACAGCGACCGCCTGCTCCATGTGAGCCGCCGCCGGATGAGTAGCATCCAGGAGGAACAGCCATGGGGACGCCAGCGATTCATGGGCGTGATGAGGGGAGATCGCATCAGTGAGGGACGTCGCGTTGGCCAGCAGGAGGATGTGCGTCAAATGACTGGCAGATGACCCGTCAACGCCAGCGCCTGGACCAAAATGATGATGAGTGGGAGCAGGGACGCCGAGTTGGTCAACAGGAGGATGTGCGTCAGAACGACTGGCAGATGACCCGTCAACGCCACGCCTGGACCAAATGATGATGAGTGGAGCAGGGACGCCGAGTTGGTCAGCAGGAGGATGTGCGTCAGAACGACTGGCAGATGAGCGTCAACGCCAGCGCCTGGACCAAAATGAGGAGGGACGTCGTGTTGGCATCCATCAGGAGCAGGGCAGCTATGCCGATCAGCTGGAGAGTGTAAGCCGCGACGATGAGCGACTGGTCCACGTAAACCGCCGTCGCCTGAACCAGGACATATCGCAGCAGCAGCAGAGGATCATTCCTCGTAGAATTGGCTCCATTGGTGAAGGTCGTCGTGTGCTCGGAGAACGCCTCATCCAGGATGAAGATATCTTGAAGCTAATCCGCAGCGATAACCGCCTGCCTCTGATGACCGACGAGGAGATCCTGGAGATGCTGAAGAGGAACCGCATGCAGCGTCTGGAAAAGATGCAGAATGACAACAACGATGATGATGATGACGACGAGGATGAGGTTCGGGGAACACGAAGCCGTCGCAGTATCTCCACTCTGCGTCGCGAGAACACCCGTCGCAGGGAAATCCTTGTGCACAATCTACGCCAGCTGGTGGCCCGCCTAAACCAGGAGAACATCTCCCAGGGTCAGATGATCAACCAGCGGCTGCCCTGGCTCAGAAGTACCCAACAGTTGCAGTCCGAGAGAAATGGCATCGACGCCATGTGGACGAATCGACCAGCGCCTCCAACAGGTGATGAACAACCTGAACATTAACTCCCACACAGGAAGAATAGAGAAACAGCGCCTGCTGGAGTCCCGGATGGCCGACGTCCTGCTAGGTCGCCGTGGCATCCTGAATATCGTCGCCAGGTGGTCTGGACAACGGCCAGCAAATCGATCGCTCCGGCCTAGGAATCCGTCTCAGCGATCCGGTAGTGCAGCATACCCTTCGCCGTATTGTAGAGATCATTGACAAGCAGCGAGAGCAAAAGCTGGAAAGCTACAGCCAGGAGCAGCTCCGGATGCAAGGCGTGACCATCAATGATGTGCGCGTGGACAAACTGCTCACCCGCATCGAGGAGCACGACCTGACCTCAGCAATCTGGTGGAGCAGAATCAGCAAGTTCAGCAGGTGGTTGTGGGTCGCCAGCGTCGCCTCAACAACAGGCCCTTCACCATTGACATGGACATCAGCTCCGACCGCGATCAGGATGCCATTATCCGGGTGTTCCTGGGACCCGCTCAGGATCAGCTGGGCAGACAGGGGGCTCCTTTGCAAGAGCGTCGTCGAGACTTTGTGCTTTTAGACGCCATCAATGTGCAGTTGCAGACGGGTCGCAACCGCATCCAGCAGAGGTCCATTGACATTCCCTGGACCACTAGTGATGTCACCCCTCTGAGCGAGATCTACCGCCGGGTGATGCTGCGGTTGGGCAACAGGGTCCACAGGAGCAGAAGCAGGAACTGGTCGGCGAGAACGGAGGCTTCCCGCAGCATTTGCTGCTGCCACGAGGTCGCCCCGAGGGCCTTCCCATGCAGGTGCTGGTGGTTGTCTCGCCTCTGCTGGAGCAACAGGAGCAAGAGATCATACCGGAGATCGGCATGGGCATTGGCCGTGCCTCGCTGCGAGACATGCGCTCCTTGAGCTATCCTCTAGACCGAGCCTTAATCAACGAACATGAATTGCTCCAGCTGCCCAACATCCAACTACAGGATGTGGTTATCATCCAGGAGAACTGAATGAACTAAACAGCAGATCGACAGACCAATCGCACTCTGGTGGACCCCTCTCAGGAACCTCGAACGAACCCTAGTTTAAGTCTTCGAAGCTAGCCTTCGAATTTGTCATAGCAAATGTTGAATACTCTTATAACCCCTTTATATGTAATTTCAATTAAAATCATAGCAAGCAATGCAAACAAGCATTAAGATTCGGTGTTTCGTTAACTAATTTTATGATGATTGATCTGTTTCCAGATAGAACATGTTTTTCGTACAACTCCTATTTGTAGGGACAACTCAGGTTTTTTAGGCATCTCTAGAAGTAAGAAGTCCTCAAAAGCACCACAGGACAAGCAAAATCCAAGCTCCCAACTTGTCCTTATTGAAAGTGTCACTTTCCTCGATTTTCCCCCAGAGATGATGGTTAAATCATCGTTTTATCGCTCCTCATACTGCACTCACGTTCACCTGACTGGCTTTTCTAATTTCGAAAAACAATTTCAATGCAAATTGCATGTCCATCGGGAGTAGGAGTAGGAGCAGAAGCCGGTAGGGATTACAGGCAGCTGCCACGCCCCCAAACAATGGATCCAAGGATGACGGGATGGCCAGACAATGCAGCGTCAAAATAGCTGGCAGGCAACCCATCCTGAGACTATAATAGACTTTTCTTATTCCTGCCACACAACTCAATTTGTATATATGTATATATACTCAATGTGCCCATATATATGCTCATGTCTGTATATCTGCCATGCCGCAGACGCCCAGCGAAGCGTCAATTGCCAAATTAATTGGCCGTAAAAAATTGAAAATGAAAATATAATCACACTTTCCGTTGTCGAGCTCTGGCTCAGGTCCAAACGGATCTGGAGTTTAACCCCTCTATGTATTCCCGCTGTAGAAGCGTTTTCTCATCTCATCCCGACTATAGAAGTGGATCCTGGAGAGAATGGGATGGCGGTGGACCCACCAAAGGGCGTCAGACATTTCACCGCAGGCGCTTAAACGTTGCATTTTTCCAGGTTGCCCTGCACTCTCACCTGAGATAATACCCTGTGGAACAAGACGGAACATGATGGACTAATGTTATCAATGAATATTTGGAATATCTTAATTTGAATAAAATTATACATTATACAAAAAAATACTTTAAAAAGAGTGTTCAGGAACTCCAGTTGTTTCTTTAGTATAATTAGTTATTATGTCTATATAATAATGAAGAACGAATCTAATATAGTAATCAAATGCTTAAAATTGAATAAATAAATTTATATTTTTTACAAAACTTTCTATGACAATTGTTTAATATAAAATGAAACTTTAAACATAAGTTTTAAAACAATCTTCAGTTATTCAGTTATTCTTTGCACAAAAATTAAGCTCTCTCGAAAACACATTCTTCAATCACAGAAAAACTTTATACAAAAGCACTAATGTGTTGTCTTAAAGTCCCGAGAATTTAAATTTAAATCAATATAAAAATGTTGATTCTTGTTTTAGCTATTGTGGTTTGTTATTTGGTTATTTTGCATTAAAAGGTAATACTTAGGCTACTCCTTATTCAATAGTTTTGTTTTTCTTAAAGAAATAATTTAAGATTCCCCAAAAAACCAACCCCACTTCGATCCCTTTCTATACCCTGTATTTTTCATGCTTCCTCCAACGAGGTACAAGGTGGAATGTGGCACGTTGCATAATGGAAAAATTTTCGCACTCGACCTGATACTGTTTCCCCAACTCGTGCCGCCTCAATGCACTTTCATTATCTTCGAGTGGTTTGCCGTTCATTTCATTTCAGTTTGCTGCCACCGTTGTTGATGTGCCTTTTTGTACTTTTTTGTACCTTGCAATATGAAATTTAAAATGTTGTTTTCTTAGTTTTTCCAGCGTCTGACGAGCTGATTAGGCGATTCCAGGGAGTTGGGGAATTACACGAACTATTAGGCAGCCGCTTAATGCGAAAGTAATTATGTCTTGTTAATCAGAATGGAGGCTGTGTGGGGTCAAAGGGTATTTAACCCGTAAGTTTATCGGTGGAGGACCCTGCGACTTGAAGGTAGCTGAAAACCGAAAACTTTTGTGATTAGCAAGCGCCCTTTGCCGCGGTGCAGATAGCGTCTTGAGAAAAGCCGGAGAGGTTAACACTTTTAAAAATAATGCACAATTCAGTTAAAGAAATTTATATAAAATAAAAGTAACATAATATAATAAATAACTGAATGAATAATAATATAAATAAATATTATCTTGTTTCATTGATAAAACACCAAGGACCCTATGTGCTTCAGAGCAACAATTAAAAACGACTTCATCTTACTTCAAACACATAGAAGATATATTACTATTAAATATTAATTAGTATTATTTTAAAATCTATTCTTATCCCAGTGTAGCTGCTGCGGAAGTGCTCGTATAATTTATGTTCTGCCTTGGCGCTGTGCAACGGAAATGCCGGCGCGTAGTTTTGCCGCGCCTACAAACTCCTTCTGATGCTTGCACAAAATTTCATAGCATACTATTCAGCGGCAAAAGTTTTGGCACGCAAATTAGCGGCCACGTTTGTTTCGCTCAGGGAAATAGTCGTGAGGACGCGAACGGGAACGGGAAGGGAAACGGGGCATCCCTGGCTTGTTCCGAAAACTTTTTCAGTTATGAATATAAAGTTTATTTATTAAGCAAACAAGTTGGCAGCCTTATCTATGCCGTGTTCTCTGATGGTCCTTTCTCCGTCAGTTCTTTTTGTGGTTGCCAAACAATTTCGCAGTTGGTTGGGCATTCTAGTGCGAAATGGTAAGAAAGTTGTGGGTGAAACGCAAAAATTCGCCTGAATGGTGAGAGGAATTAACTGAACGACTCTTTTTCAAAGTTCTGAAGAATAGAACGTGAAGGGTTCTTGTGCTGTTTACTGATAACATTTTGGCAAGGATAAAATAAATTCTTAAGTTTAAAATGTAGTAGAAGAGTAGCAAAACAATTAAAATTATTTATGTAATCAATATAAGTAAATTCTATACAAATTAATTAAATAATGATTCTGTTGTCCTAATATGTATATTGAAAAAACTACTTTTTGATTCTTTTTCCTGCTTGGTAAAAATAATATTTAATAAAAATTAATAGAAACTCAATTCTCTAAACAAAATCAGGCTTGTAAGTTCAATACACAGGAGTTGTAGGGTTTCTGGAATTTTTAATAACGTCTTGAGTGTAATTTGTAAATAAGCGTGTATTACCCTTCTATCCATTTTATTTAAAAGCTTTGTGTAATAACAAGGATTTGGCTTATAAACAACTTTGAGTAACTTTATCCCTCTGCGACTCTAAAACACCAACAATACTTTAATTATTGAATTTAGAAATAAAATATATCAAAGACTTTAATTCCAATCCTTCATGGTATTTGTAAAATATTTAGCAAACTGTCCAAGTGGATGCGGGGCAATCAATCCGAGATATTGGACTCCGACCACCTTCTATGCGTAGACGTGTGGAAATATTGGACGGAAGGGAGGCGTGAGCTGGCTCCCAAATCAACTTGGGCCAAACCCTTCCTTCCCATCCATAGCGGGGCATTCAAAAATGTACAATAAACATTTTCACACGCCTGCTCCGGTTCGAGGAGGGAGGAGGGAGTTGTGGAGGCTATCAAGTTGAGCAGAAAACTTTTCGCTATTCATGCAGATGTACACGACAAAAAATTGCTAACAAACGGAAATGTGATATACGCGCGGCAACCAAAGCACACACAAAGGCTAATGGACCAGGCCAAGGAAGGGGAATTGGTGGAACCAGGGGCGTAGAGAGCTCTATATATCAATTCTACTATATATATCCTTTATGTTATTTTTCCTACATGTTATTGTTGGAAATAAAGTACAATTATAAAGCTTATTTCCTTAAAAATATTAGGCATTCTCCTAAGTTTCATCAATACTCAAGCAATTTGAAAACTATAAATTGAAATATAATTAAAAGAATATGAAGCAATCACCCCTCTTGATGGCGCCCCTGCTTAAAATAGCCATGCCATGGCAGTTGCTTTTGAAAAATGTATTCAGAAAATAAACATTCATGCTGTATAGGTGAGATCTATAGCTACGTGGCAATCGGTCTCGTATTCTTCTCGCCCTTCTCTAGTCTATTCAATTTGGCTGTGAATTAAAATGAAGGAAGAAAAAATGTGGGACCGGCGCAAAGAAAATACATTCATGCGTTGCATTGTCAAAGGGATTTTTCTCTCTCTTCCCTGGCTTTTTATATGATTGAAAGACACCCACCTCAGGATTGGTATTCAACCCCGCCCACTCACTATATTCCGTCTTAACTGACACGCTTTGGCGCATCGCTTGATAAGCGCGGAGGGGGAAAAGGAGTGCTCGCAGGAGAAGGCTTTCCTTCGAGAGGGATTAAAAAAATGTTTACATTGCGGAGGAGCGCAGGACATTTTAATGCCGATGGGGAATATAGGACAGCGAAGGGTGCAGCGAAAGCAAAAGGTTGTAACTACTTGAAGGTGATGAAAACTATTCAATTACTATTACTTCCAGCTTCAGCAAGGACACATTTATAAAATAGTAATAAAATATCAAAAGGATTAAAAAATTTCAATACCGTACGTTATAAAAACTATATGCACTTCAATTAATAATTAATAATTAATATTTAAGATTGTTTTCTATATGTTAATCAACATTTAATGAGCATCAATTGGTCGAGCAACAGAAATAATGACTTACCGCATTTACCTTGACATAACAGGAAGATCCGGATCCTTCGAGATGCGGGCCAGATTATGTAAACCGGAAGGGACAACACACACTCAGGATTTAGCAGAATGATTGGCGAGAACTCGTTCCCACTTTGACTTGACAGAAATCCGTTGGCAAACTAATAGTTAACAAAAAATATTTTCAATTACTGTTGCTGTCACAGCAAAATCAATCAATTTGGCAGCCACAGACACGAAAGCCATTTAATTTCTATTCCCGCACCCTTCCATCGGGGCTCCTCCTGGTCGGTGAAATATATTTTAAACACAAATTGATTTTGTGGCCACAGATTGCAGCGGTAAATGCATTTTAGCCAGCTTTTTCCATTTCCAGTGAGCGCTTATTTTTTACACTTTATGGGACCTCTGTGATTTTGCCAACTAATGAGGTGTGAAAATGTGGGAAATACGATTTCTGCTGCGTTGGCTCCTCGCTCTCTCTTCTTCCTTGCAATTAGAATAATTTATGGGTTAGAGAAGCTGTCCTGTGTGTGTGTGTGTGGTGAAATCGGAGTGAAAAGATGTGGCAAAGTATGCTATAAAAATGGGATTTGCCCGAATTGGTTGCGGCTTATTTGCTATTCACACCACAACAATGTAAACAATGCCCGGCCCGAGGACATCCCACCCCCGGGAGAGTCCACTTCCCCTCATCACACCCAGGCAGCTCGCACCCAGAGGCGACAGTGGAAAGCAATAAAGAGCTCAGCCCACAGACACTGGAATATACTCACAATGCTGAAACAAATTTGTTGCAAATCAAAACAAATTCCAACCCGGCGACACGCACACAAAAAATTCAGAATTCTCTTGGTTAACTCACCACGAAGTTAAAATGCTCTTTTACGTTTAATTTTTCCATTAATATGAATATTTTATGTTTCAACAAGAATAAAAACAGAAAATAAAAAGTAGAGTGCCTTCAAAAGAAGGAATAAGCTCATTTAAAATTTTACCACATTTAGATTAAATTATATTTACAATGTGTTTTAGGATTCTTGATCAGCAATCCTAAATTCATAATCTGATCTCAGAATTTATATTATTAAATATATACTATAATTCTGTTTATTTAAACCTGAGTTAGTTTACTAACTCAATCAAAATATAATGTTCCAACCGGTGACTTAGGTTATTGAAGAACTTCCTAAGCTGCACTTGTCTTTGACAATGAGCTTAGTGGAATCAATAATATAGTCCAGTTTTTTATATGGATTAATTCTAGCCAAAAGTACTTCAAGTTAACTAAAGCCTTATACACATAAACATAATATAATATAGCATATAAAACAATCGCATATAGACGAAACTAACACACTTCTATGTAAAAAAAAACCAAGACTCCGATCTAACCGCATCCACCCGGCATTCAACCCCTCCTGAAACGACTTCCTCCATCAACTTGATAAAATTCCACAACAATTTATGCAATCAGTTGGACACAACACAACACAACAAAAAAAATACAGAGAAGAGAAATAGTACAAATATGGACGGGTCCAGAAACCACTTCATGCTGCAGTCCGGCATCAGAAAATCCCCTCCATCGAAGCACAATCCCTCTTAAGCCTTTTTGAATATTTTTGACACGTGCACTGCAATTATTTTATTACACAAACCGCCCTTTGGCCGTCCAACCCCCTGGTCCGCCCACCATCATATTGGGTCGTATGCAGTGCGCCACGCCCACTCGATTGCAGAACAGGACATAAAAAAATAAAGCATTCGCGTTGGGGGAGCGCCAACAATGGACCGGCAATTGATGCAATTCATTGAAAATTTTGATGGCAACTGTTTAGACTAAAATTGCATTAAGTCTCCAAAGGCCTTTGTTGACGTTGTTACAGAAAATGGAACTCCATGGTAACCCAAACAATTGCCAATCATTTTCGCTTTCGCGCAATTGCATTCACGCATTTTGAACGTGCCCACCAGCAGTGGAAATCCATAAAAAAAAACAAGTGGCCAAAATGTTGTTTTAAATACGCGCCTAAATAATCCACCAAAATGATGGTCGGTGTGTGCATATACATATACGAGTAAATATTAATAATGATGCCATTTGTTTGGCCATAGAATTGTTGTGGCTGTTTGTGCGGGCAATAAAATTTGTCTTTGCCACATAATTCAAATTGTTAATCGCGTTTAATGGCGGGCATTTATCAATATTTTCTTCATGTTGTTGCTGAATGCAAATTTTTGTCCGCCAGCTGCGGAGAGAGAGAGAGAGAGACGACGGCCTCCTAAAGCCACCCCAAATATGGGGAATCCCATTCCATTCCAAGGGATCCTTCATTTTAGCCTTCAGTGTTGTGTTGACAAAGCAAGAACAAAAATGGCGGCTAATATGGCCACAAATGTGGGGAGTAAAAAGGATAAGAAGGGGAACCTAAGCTGCCGAATTGGACTGGATGAAGTTATTCAATAATGTTGCTTTAAAATTATTTAGTTCTTCTTGAAAAATAACTTATTCAGAGAATACCATATTGAGAGGTTTTAATAAAGATTCCTATTCCATTATTACAAATATTTCATATAGACTGAACGTCGATTATTGGCATATTCCTAAATAAATACAGACCTACCTAAAATGGGGCGGAAATAAAAGCGCAACGGCGGCGGTCATAACTGCAACGAGATTCCCACTTTCAGTCCTCAAGAACCGCCCTTAACATCGAAGCTTTGCCATGGTCTGGAGAAACCCCTGCCCATCGTGCTTTTAATGCGCACCATTGTGTCAAGATAAAGAAACGGAAATTAGCACGATAGCAGGAAGTTGCCATCGTCGCTGACGTTGTCCTTGTTCTTGTCCTTGTGTTCTTTCTCGTTCGCTCCACAAAAAGGCGTGGAATGAAGGCCAGGACAGCAACGATAATAAAAAAAGTAGCAATGGAGACAACAACACACTGGGGGAAGCGGGAGCAGCAGCCACTGGGAATCGGAATTGGAGTCAAAGTCGGACAGCCACAAATAATAATGAAAACGGAAATGAAATACAATACCCAAGGAGCCCCACAAGAATGGAAGAAATGGTCAAAATGAAGATGGATCCAACGATACCTCCAGGGCAAGTCTCAGCTTGACTTTTAACCATCTGAGAGTTTATGGGAAGAAAGATATAACAATATTAGTCTGTCAAAAATGTGTTGTTTAGAACAGAAAACAATTGAATATAAATACATATATATAATTTTATAAATATAAATGTGTAAATAATAAAAATATAATGTTTAAGCCTACCCAAAACTCATATACATATATACTAAAAGCCGCAATTTCAACCAATTCTTTAAGCCCAATAACCTTCTAACATATAAAAGACATTAAAATAATTTAAAGGATTTAATTATTTTTTTAAATATTTGTTTTTTTATCCCATTTGTCAAGTCAGCGAAATTCCAATGGCATTTAAAAAGTCTCACCGTAACCTCAAACCCAAAATGGCTTTAACAATTGTGAAATTAATAAGCCATAAATTCCAAAAAAGAAAACTTTTCTTCTTTCCTTTCTAATTGTGGGGATTTCGGCGGGGAAAGAGACTTTTATTTTTCTTTTCTTTTTTTTACTAACCACACGCAAATTAGACGCAAACAAAATGAAAAGAAAGCCCAAGAAAAGCGAATGCTGATTGTCGCCTATTCAGTTAATTTTTTCATTTACTTTTTTATTTGGGTCTCTGGATAAAAAGAAAGGAGGACACTCACACACACACTGAAAGTCAATTAGGCAAAGCGACGTTGGCAACAAAGTGAAAACAATTCATATTTAAATTTGCGTATTCTTAGAAAATTTGCGCCGCGAAGCTAGAGGATGAGTTCTGGATGCTGGGTGAGGGTGGACATTGGGCGGGGTGGTGTGTGTGTAAGTTGCCGTAAAATACGTGCATATTATTGCGCTTATCTAGGAACAAACACGCCCAGGACTCCATTTCCCGGCCCGGACCCACAGATGAGGCCTTCCACTTGATGACGATTCCCGTCTCTCTTTTCTACGCTTTTTGTTAGGGGAATTGAATGGGATTGTTGCTGCCATCTTCGGTCGTCGTATTGTGTGCATTTGTTTTTATGCGAATGTGCCAGTGACAAACCAGCCACATCCACATCCACATCCTCCACCACTTCAAACACTTCGCACCCGCCTAAGCAACACATCCTTCCTTAAACGTTTCTTGCCTGCAAATGTTTCCAACGCCAGCACTGAGAGAAATTCACTGAGCACTGAGAAATGTTTAAAGTTGTCACTCAGGAGTGATTTATATTTTTAGCTTTTTCCTCATATCTATCTTATTTTATCAGCCCAACCTAATAAATGAACATCGAACAGTAAATTAAGTCTTCATATTGAATGGCTCGAAGAACCAATTAGCGTTGATGAACTTAGCTTAAGCTTAATATGTACAATTACTTTAAAACACACTTCGTTCATGCAAGTTAAGCTAATATTTAAAAGATAAGACAAATAAGAGAAGCCGCTTTTGGAGAAACGCCATAGAAATAAGGACGTTCCTCAACAAAATAAACTATAAATTATATTACTGAAGCATCATCGTTGCTAATCGTCAATACGAGGGTATTCTTCCACAATGATATAAAGTATATTTATTAATTAATCTATTACAAACGCTCTTTTTGACACTCGTACGTTTTTTAGTTTTATTATTCTAAAGAGAATACTTATAAAAATTGCAAGGTTCAACACCAGCTATAACTCTAAGAGCATTATATAGCGTTTCAAAAACTTAAAATGAAAATTTCTACTTCGAAAATGTCTAAAAATAATCGTTATATAGTCTTATTACACGAACTTTTCTTCAGTGTGCGGTATGTGTTGGTGTGTTGGTGTGTTGGTGTTGTTGTGTGTTGGTGAGGGAATGCGGTTTTATGTTTGCTTTGTATTGGCCTGGCATAAAAGACACATTTAATTTTACTATTATGCCTTTTTGTTGTCATCGCATTCGTATAATAAACCGTATTCGTTCGTTTTCAAGTTTCAGTTGAGGGCGGGAAATTCCCCATTCCACTTTTGTCCCATTTTGTCAGTCATTTTATTTGATTTTCTTGAAAAAGGATGAGACTAGGTTTGTGCGTGTGGCCAAAGAAATTATAAATGATTACGTGGGAAGGTTAAATAGATATGTTTATTCCTTTTAGATAGATAAGTATATTTCAATACAGTTAAAAGTAACATATTTATTTTAAATAAGGGCAAAAAAACAAAACAAAATTTAATAAATACATAAATACATCATTAAACATAAATAATTAAAAAGATTAACGGAATATTTTTACTATAATGATTTGGTTTTCAAATTGTTTTTTTTTAAACATTGCCCAATAAATAAATTTCTTATAATTGTTTCCATTAATTTTATTTTGTCCGTTGTAATTTATAATAGGAAAAGCTTATTCCTTGGAAATCTATATTGACACGAAACCCACTCAAAAGTATTCAGACATATGTAAGTTTAATATGTATGCACACGAGAGAGCGTTCAATTAAGAAGTTTAGCCATTTAGCATATATTATCGCATAATAGTTTTAGGCCTGGCGATGAAAGATTATCACATCCTTCAAACTTTTGGCTAGAACAGGCAACGACACCCCTTCGCCCTCCTGCTCCCAGCCAGTCCAAGCGGTGAGTTCAACAAACAATTGAAGTTTAAGTCCTTCTCGAGTCCCTCTTGGCAGGAGGAGGTGTGTGGGGAAACGTTTGGAACTGTCTGATGTCGATGGGTAATTGGCCTCATACAGTTCACTTAGAGTGGGTTCCGTGGGGGCTGATGGAAACAGCCGTTCGAACTGATTAAAGCCCTTTTTAAGGGAACACACAAAGTCGTCTAGGTGAAAATGGGGAGAGGATTGATTTGGTTGAGCCAGATACATCCTGGCTTGAACAATTATATCTTCAGGGGCGTCCACATTTAAGGAAATGCTGAAAGTTTCGTGATTAAGCCGGCGTTGTCTGGCCACAAGATGACGCCGCAGAAACTGCAAGTTATTTCGCTGAGATTGAAGCATTTGCTGGTCAATCAGGTTGATGAGATCGGTATACACGGTTTCCTCATAAGTCAGCAAGTGACTAACAGCTATATCTTTTATAGAGGGTATCATTATCCCTCTGTCTTCCTGGGTTACATTTTCTTTTCCATAATTGTTTATAATTTCCTCTAAGCGAAAGAGAAGCGATCGGTAGATGGGATCCCTAAGGTTGGATGTTGCCAGGCCCAGCATACTAGGCTGATCTACTCTATATCCATTGATGGGCAAACTTAGATGGCGGCAAATATTGAGATAATTATTTGCTACTATTCTTTCTGATATAAGTGAATTGTCTAAATAATCCTTATTGTGACTGACCGCATCGATGATTTGGTTTTTCAGGTCTTCCATGGTCAAGTCTAAGATGCGCCTAATCGCCTCGAGGTCCAAGGAGGTGCTGTGGTAGGGAATTCCACCGGTAGTGATTAAAGGTTGATCAATTACTTCTGCAGATCGATGGCCTGTAGACAAATCCTCCATACGCATGGCAGCCACAAACTGTTTTAGATTAAAGAGATATATCTTGGAGTTGTGCAAGTGTGATCCCATTGTTAACCGCCTTTTGAAGCTGTCTTCATCTCCGGGTCCCCGAAATGCCACAAGGCGATCACCATCTATAATGACGTGTTGCTGCATCCCCTCTTTCGCTTCTTCGATGGATATAACTAGTCGATTTATCAGGTTGTTCCAATGTGAGTTCAGTTCCAAGTCCATGCTCAGATGAGCTAAATCTCTAACGTTATCAATGATCAAAGGATCCGCTGACATGGGTTCCTCTTTCGCCAGGGGCTCTCTGGGACTGAAATACCTCAGGAATATATGCTTCCAACTGCGCTTGGGGGTCACCAGTCTAATGGGTGTCAACTGATGCCAGGCGATTTCCTGGGCAGCCAGGATCACCTCCTTTTCGAAATAGAGTTGAGGCAGCACTTCAAACATGGCTGGCAGTCTGAGATCCTCGGTGTCTCTTCTTTCCCTCACTGCTATCTGAAGCGCGTTCACAAAAAGTATGGGATGGAAGTGTATTCTGGCATAACAAGCGTTCCGTTGAAAGGAAGTCCAGTCCCTGGCCAGGACCAAAAAGCGATATACTCCCAACAGGTTCTGTGGCATTTCCTCATCCAGTTGATTATAAATGGTAAAGGGTCTCGGCACTCGATTCTGACGCACACGATCCAAGAATTCCTTGATAAATTTCCAGGAACCCTAAAAGAAAGCATTAAGGTTATTGATTTCATATATATTATATTTAAATTGCTAACTTCTTTATATTCCCTTGGATCTTCGTTAAGTTGGCTTCCCATTTCAACGAACTCCTGATGGAGCAAAGGCTTATAGACTTGGAGCAGCAAATCCAGAAGGAACCGTTGACGCGTCTGCCAATTGGTAGGTGCATTTAGGGGATCTGATAGCTCCAGATGACTACGGAGACCTGGAAGTTTCCAATGATTGCCAAAACTTGTTGTCCCATCTCCGAGAACGAGACAACAAAGGCATGCAAACGTTAATCTTAACATTTCGACACAAACTGATCCATGACTTGGAACCGCTTTTGTTTATAACATTAAGAATATATGCTATATTCCATTCTGATTAAAAGGTTGCCTTGCTGTTCGATAAGAATATGAATTTATACATATATAGTACATGCGGGCGTTGCTTTTTTAACGTACTGAAAATAATACAAATTTAAATTAAAAAAAAAAAAAGCTGCAACTTATAACATGAAGTATCCACATATTCTTCAATTATTATAAAAAAAAAATCTTGCCAGATTTATTGGTTATTTATAGTTCTAAACAGCTCCAAACTGTTGATGCTTATACAAAAATCAGTGTTCAACAGCATTCCAAAGTGAATCACAATATTATTAAAACAAATTCGTTTTTATTGGCTCAACAATAATATGAAATTTACAAGACCCAAAGCCGTACGCTTCCTAACAAAACGTGACCGATACACAGTTACAGATATATAAAGTACTTCTAATGATAATGCTAAGCTTATTAAGTCTTTGTCTTTAAGCCAAAGTTGCGCGCTTGGCTACAAACTCCCTGGAGCTCTTCTCCTTGTTGGTAAATCGAGCATATCTGTAATTAATTAAATACATATAAATAAGATAAAGCAAAAAGAAACAATATAGAACCTACGTTCTCTGATATTTGGCCACATCGGATGCGCTAAGGGACGGTCTAGTGGTTTGGAAGGACTCGATCAGGTGTTTCTGCCTCAGCGAGATTTTCTTTGGCAATTTCTGGGTTGGAAGGAAATGAAGAAACATTAGTGCTTAGCGATATTTCGATGGGATTGCATAGACTCGTCGGAAGTTCTTGGTTGCCTAGATCTAGGTACTAATTAAACTTATATGTATAGTGGTATCTAAGCGGAGAGGTCTCTCGGAATGTCTCGCTGTAGGAGCCGTCGTCCTCATCCCCCGATGAGGGCGGAGTCTCCAGCATGGGCATCGAAAGATCCAAATAAGCATCGTTGGGGTTGCTGCTCGCCTGCTGCAGGATCCCGTCGAAGCTCTCCACCAGCTCCGTGAACGTGGGCCGTGCACAGGGCTCAAAGTGCCAGCACTGACGCATCACCACGTAGATATTTAGGGAACACTTGGGCGGCTTCTCCATGCGCTGGCCCGTGATCAGGTAGCTGTAGAGCTCCTCGGCGGACAGAATGTGCGGATACGGCTGTTCCCCATACGTCATGATCTCCCAAAGCAGCACCCCGTAGCTCCACACGTCGCTCTGGGAGTCGTATTTCTTTTCCTGCAGCGACTCTGGCGCCATCCACTTGATGGGCAGCCGGCCGTTGGTGTTCTTCCGGTAGTAATCCGTATCCTGGATATCCCTAGCAAGACCAAAGTCGGCTATCTTCATCACATAGCCATCGCTGACGAGCACATTGCGCGCGGCTAGATCGCGATGGATGCACTGAAAACAAATTGCCGGAAATTTAAGTTGATTCTTCTTCTAGGGCGAGTTTATTTCCATTCAATGCCTACTGATTGGCAGAGCAGCAGAAAAATTTGTTTTCTACTATATATCACATAAAAAACTAATTTCATTAGGAAGCTTTTTTTAATTAATAAATTATTAATCATATCTATTGAAAGATAGCAAAGCAAAGAAACAATCAAAAAAGATTGAAAATATCTGAGGGTGATTTTATGAATCTATGTAGATCTCCAGTGTCATACAGGTAAGTAATATTCTTTGTCGAGCCGCAGACCCAATGTGTCCAAGACAGAACAGAAGATTTATAGCTGTCTTTTGTACTTGTATAGCAATATCTAAACTTTTAAAGAATTTATTGCCTCATTTTGTATTAGTAATAGTTATTTTTCTTGCCATATTTCAGAACATTTACCCTTTTTCTTTTCACTTTTAAACACAATTCAATTTCTAATATAATTCAGAGTTACTATCTTTTGTTTGTGACAGCATTGTTCAACCTAATCCAACAATATTTAAATTCCTCCTCTGCCAAACAAGTTAGACATACCCGTCGTGAGGCTAGATATTCCATTCCTCGAGCAATTTGAAAGGCAAATTTGGTGAGCTCCTTCTCGCCCAGCTCCTGTGGTGGAATCAGCGGCTTGTCATCCAAGTAGCCGTCGCTGTCACTGCGCCGCTGCGGAGCTCCTGGTCGATTCTGTTTGAGGAAATCCTTGAGGTTGCCGTGTGGCGCATACTCGACGATCACCCACAGTGGTCCGCCCTGGCTGCAGCAGCCCAGCAGGTTTATAATGTTGATGTGTTTGCCTATCATCTTCATCACCTCCATCTCGCGCACCAAGCTGGCCATGTCCGTGTCCGTGTGCTCGTCCTTGACCATTTTTACGGCCACAATGGTCTCGGCCAGCTGGGGGCTTCTGGGCAGTCCCTCCGCCTCTGCCATTACCACGCGCCCAAAGGCTCCCTCGCCCAAGATTGAGCCCAAGCTGAGCTGCTGCCTTGGGATCTCCCAGTTGGAGTCCAGCGGAAATTCGTACTCGTTGAAGGCCTGGGCGGGATCAGCACCTCCCGATCCCGTTGTCGATACGGTCGTACGTTGCTTTTCAATTTTGATGACTGGCATCTGCAGGTCACCGGAGTTGCAGGTGCTCCCCTCTTCTCCGGCCGGTCGGTAAATGATCACCTTCTTCGTCCACTGGTGCACCGTCTCGATGCGGAGCTTCAGAAGCTTCTCCCGCCTCATTCGGCGAAGCATGATTGTTATAAAGGCACTGCCCAAAAGAAACAGCGCCACGACAATAATGGCAACCAACGTAAATCCCAGCGGATTGGCATGCAGCAAGGCGTATATCTCCAGGGGCGGCAGAGGGTTCCTAACCCTCAGGTAGACACTGGAGTTGCTGCTTCCCAGCGTGTTCATAGCCACGCAGGTGTACCAGCCCTCTTGCTCGTGGGTCACATTGCGCAGCTCCAGAACAACGGAGTTGTTCGTCACGGTGAAGTTGAGGCGGGCGAACTCCACTGCCCTGGAGCCTCCCAGGGAGTCATTCCGCAGCACAGCGCGCTCCCATCGGGCAGTGGGATGGAGATCCGAGAGGACGCTGCACTTAATGTCCAGACTTCCGTTCACCATCACAGTCTGGTTCTGTGGCACCACGATGATGGGCGAGGATCGGGTACGCTCGTTGACTAAAACGTCAAAGTCGAAGGAGATGCAACCGAAAGAGTTGCACACTTTGCAAGTGTACTTTCCCGAATCCGCGCTGGTGGCCTCCACAAAGCGCAGGATATAGTTCTTCTTTACATAAACTCCAAGTCCACGATTCAAGGGATTCCTGTCCTTGGTCCAAGTGATGTTCGCCTTACCGTCAACGGGGCAGGCCAGGGTCATGGTGTTGCCGGCCACAGTATGCTGGAGTCGTTTCAATTCCTTTTTGAACACGGGCGGACGCTCGGCGGCAGCGGCATCCCCAGACGCGTTGTCCGCCTCATCGTCTGTGTCTTCCGGGATGGGTGCAGGTGGTATGGGTGTGCCTACTGTGCTACTGGTGGATACACGAGCAGTGGTTGTGTCTTCAGGACTATAAAGTTCGAGATAGGCGGCGGCAACAGTGCGTCCTATTTGATTCTCGGCTATGCAGATGTACCAGCCGGAGTCCTCCATTAAAACACTTCCCAGACGAAGGACCTGCGGCTCGTCCTTTTGCGTTAACATGGGCTCGAAGCCCTTCGGCAGCTGGGATTGCTGCTTCAGTAGCTGCAGTACGTCCTCGATATTAACACCGCTCGCCTGGTGCAGCCACGTTATCTTGGGCTCCAGTGGGGAATCCTCCAGCCGACACTGGAAGCTCACATTTTCGTCGAGTGCAACGGTGGCGTTTTGGGGATATCCGGGCATCAAGACGGGCACTCTGTGACTCCGGCTGACCACCTCCAGATGGGTGGGGTTACTCTTCTGGCATTCCTGCTCCACACATAGCTCACAGCGATAGATTCCCGCGTCGTCCGACTGTAGTTGTCCAACGGTTAGTGACCACCTTTTGATCTTAATTCTGCCGCGTCCGCCGAGGATTTGCTTGTCATTGTGCAGCCAAGAAATATTCACTCCCGTTGCCTCCGGATCCTTGGGGCTACAGCTCAGCTGGAAGAGACCGCCCGCAGTGCGTTGCACGAACTCCGGAAGTGGTTGCAACAATTTTAGGGAGGCGTTCGCATTTAGCGGTTGGAAGAAAATATCCGACTGGGGTATCCTCTGGGCAGTCTCCACATTGGCAAAGCTGGCTATATCATTGCCCCCAGCCTCCTTGTAGCCAATTATCAGGGAGACATTAAACCATCTGTTCTGGCCATCCAAGCAGCCGTAGTTCCCCGACTGCCAGGATTGGGCTCGTTCCAGTTGCAGCACCGTGGCCCTCAGCTGGAACTTATCCTGATAGAACCATTTGGCCGTGGGTCGGATACACTGCAGCGTGATGTCTATGTCGGCGGGAATGTGGCGTTGCTTGAGACTGTTTTCCGCGGTGACATCGATGCGGCAGCTGTGATGGGCCAAGTCGCAACCCAGGTCCGCAGACGCCGAAACGAGCGCAATGATCATCAGCGTGATCGGCACTTTTGCCATGGCTCAAGTGGATTCTCTTAGAGTTCAACAGCAGCCAAAGTGATTGTATCTGGTTGGGTTCATACGAGAATGGATATACAGTTGCGGTCAGAATTGTAGCACCTCTTGAATCTAGTTTTAATGGTTTTATCCCAATGTTTTTCTTTGTCAAAGCTTGTAGGAAGAAGAGGTATTTAACTTTTACAAAATGAAACCTACAAAATATATATCACAAATCTGTAGTGTTTTAAAATCCCTTATAAATTGTGCTGAAAACTATATTATAAAATGTTCTAAACAAAATGTCGAAATAAAGATGTACCCGGGGTGACAATAGATATTAATAGAGTTAAAAAAAAATTAGGATACAAAATATCTGATTATGGTACAAATTTACACTGAATTCGATATGTCAAAAATTATGAAGACTGATTATTAAATTACATGTTTGTCTTAAAAACCATAGGGATTCTTGGATCTCGCAACGTGTACTACGTTTAGTGCCTTAAACTTTTCATTGCATACTTTTAGATAGCTTTTAAATGGATTTCAAACCCCTAATGATTTTTGGAGCAAACCAAATTAATAATTTTATATTTATTACAAGACAATTCAAATAAACCTGATTCAAATGAACTAACACTTAAAAATTTTAAAATAAAAGTAACAAAAATGTGTTCTTTCACATCTAAATAATAATTCAAATTGGGACATTTCAAAAGGTGCTCTCTTTTTGACCGCAACTGTATGAGTATCGATGGGTATTGCCAAAACTCCGTTTCTCTCTCGCTGTCTCCCTCTCGTGATCGCCGCTCTGTGTCATTTTATTTATTTATTATTATTGTTTAATATTTTATTGCCAACACGGTACACAGCCGAGCCAAGTCTGCCCGCACCAATATGCAAAAATCGAAGGAGAAAAAAAAGGCAGATGTGTGTGCCTTGCCTCCGTAATGAGCTCCAAGACGTGGTCGTATCCACTGAATTGCCGGACACACTCGTTGCCACCCACTCCCCATTGGCGTTCCACTCCCGAAGGGGATCTCCACTATAAGTTTGTCTATATTCGACACTCGCCAAATGCGTTTTTCCATTCAGCAAAAGGCGTACAGTTAGAAAACCGATCTTAAATCGGTTGAAATCATTCGTTACAGTGGCTTGACACTCTTTACTTATTTTTGTAATCACAAAAGCAAACAAAAAAATGCACTAACGAATTGCAACCGCAAATCGCGAAATACCTAAATGATGATGCTAAAATATAGAAGTAAAACCTTAAAGAATTTTTAAATACTCTAAAATAGTCAAGTTCATTAATTTAGCAACCTATACATGAGTTAAAATGCATAATTAATCTCTAAGCAAATAAACTTTTAAGAACTGACTTTCATGAACCATATTCAAGTTTTTAAGGGTATATTATTTACCTCGACCTGGTCAACAAATCTTTACCAAGCAAACAAAACAATTTATACTATCCAGTTTAATGATTAACGATGATATGCAAGTCTAGGGTAAATCCCAAAATGTATTGACAGCTTGAATTCGAGTATTTCCGAAAGCTTATCTCATACTTTTGCTCACGTTTGTTGAACTTATTAAACACACATAAAAATAATGACAAAATACGTATGGAAAATAATAAACATTAAAAATATATCAAGTGCAATTGAGAACTCCAATAACTAAACAAATCTGTTTCAATCTTTTAGAAAAATATGTGTTAAATGATTTCTAATTGACTTTGGATTTTCAACTTTATAGTCATTCAATAACCAAGCTGTGTTCAAACCACTGTGCAGTTAATGAAATTTATTTTATTGTTTGTAAGGCATGCGACAACCGTTGTGATTGTCATTGTTGTTGCTACTAGTAATTGTTGTTGTTTTATGGTTGCTTTAGCGGCTTGACTTCAGGCCCGATATATGTATGCACACGCGTCGCAGGTTTTAATTTATTCAATTCCTTTTTTCTCAGTTGTTGCCAAATACGAGTCGATCGCTGTATTTGAAGTATGTATTATTTTTCTTTTTTTTTCTCAGTTCGTCAGTCGTTCAATATTATTCGATTTGAAGCCAACAGGCGCGCACATGGCCAAAAGCGTTTAACTCACACCTTTTTATCTTGTGAATTATTATCGAGCGAATGAATCTTTCGAATACCCGATTTGACATTTCAACTTGGTCTCTGCGCTATTTTGAGAACGGAATTACTTTGGCGAATTCGGCACTTGACATTCTGCATATTATTAATAAAATTATTTTTTAATTTCGAGTATTTTATATGGTCCGGGGTATTTTAATATCGCTTTAACAAATCTGTTTATGAACTAATGACATATGTATGTTATTTTGATTTAAGGTTTTTATATTGTTTTACTCTATATTAAGTTATTCTTTATTATTTATTATCTGCATTAAAATCTGTGGTGTCCAAAACTTGGCATTTGTACACCTAAATATTTATAAGAATGTATATATTTATCAATACTTTAACATTATGTGACACAAAAATTGATATATGTGCGATAAATAAATATTCTTTTTGAGATATCAAGACTATTTTATCGAAGAAAACAACAGAATTTAATAACATTTAATGAATATTTTTCGATATTGTTAATATTGTAAAGTTAAATGCAATATTTTCCAATATTTAATTTTGAACTAATACTTGGTACATTTCAGTTATCCTCTCGATGTATATATGTATTTCTATGTTCCTCAATATCTTACTCATAAATATACAATTCTAACATGACATATTTCTGGGCACCACTGATTCCAACTGAGACTTAATATTCTTTCTTATGTTGATCTTTCGCTTTTATTTTGAACGTTTTGCTGCACTTGACACGATTTGTATTTATTTGACTGCTGGAACATTTCATTCTTTAAATTTAAATTTGTTTTCCTTTTTTTTGTTTTACTGCTGCATGTCAGCCCCGATGGGAATACGTATGTATAATTGTTTCCTTCAACGCCACAACCCAAAATCTTTGACCAAGAAATCACGTTCTTTGTCTTTTATTTGCGCGGAGCTGGGGGCGTCGAGTTAAGACCGAAAATAATATTGTCACAATATTTAGCTGGCTGTGTTTATTTCGTTGTCAATCGAGGATGGAGTTTTTTATTCTTTTTAGGCGACTTTAGGCGTTTCCGCTTCGTTGCCAACTTTTATTTCCCTTTCAAGACCCACAAGAGAGAGAGAGTGAGAGAGAAGGGAGAAGTGGAGGGTCCATTTCCGCTGCACCAACCGTAATCCGTAAAGTTTGTGGAAGGAACCGAGCGAAGCCAACCGATTGGCTTGAAAGTGCGCAAACAACTAACTGACAGTAACGATCGAACGGAAGAAACTTTTCAGCCATAATCCGAACGTGCCCGATTGCCAGCCGATCGACGACGATTAAATCGGATCCGAGTTCGGCAAAAGTGTTTGCTGGAATCCTTACGCAGGGTCTGGGACTGAGGTTCGGGCTCGGACTCGGTCTTAGCTACCTGTTCGAGGTGGTCCCCCTCCCGCATGTTGCAATTGTTTTCGCTTGTACTTGGTTTCCCTCAGCGGGTTCCTTTCTTTTTATTGTTGTCGCTGGCTCTTGTTGGTTTTATTCTAAGCATGTTTGCGGTGGCATCGACTCGTTGAAATTCTTTATTATCTGCCCTTCGGGCTGCTCTCCCTCGTTTTCTGTTTGTTTGCTTGGCGGCTTAATTTATGCAAAAGAAAATGTGTCCATTGTCTTAGTGGCGAGGTGCTGTGCCTGCAGTACGTGCGCATGCGCGGTAATCGCATATCAATAAGGAAATATCCGTTACGTGACTGATATCTAAAAATCCCAGCGACTGGAAGTGGCAAACACAAGCGATGGCTCCCGCATAGATCCTCTGTTTCTGATCCAGATGCCAGGCACGTAAACTACCCAAAAATAGTTAAATGCATTCTTGCTGCACTTGCTGCTGTGATGGGAACAAACCGAGAACCGAGAACCGAAAATCGAAAATCGAAAAGCGAAACAACGGAAGGGCTTCTTATGTCTAACAGTCCAACTCTGGTTACCAAGAACTTGCCATAACTTAGGACCGCTTCCGGCAGTGAAAAGAGCTACTCACCTCGTGTCCGAATTGAGCCAGAGCCTCCTTAACCGCCGCCATGTTCGCCGAGGTCAGAATGCTCTGGAGATCGGCGCCGGTATAGTTAGCAGTCCTTCCCGCGAACCACTCAAAGTCCACGCACTCATCCAGGCTGAGTGTCGAGCTAAGGGCCTCCAAGATGCGTACCCGAGCCACGGCATCTGGCAGCGGACACTCCACCAGCCGATCAATGCGTCCGGAGCGAAGAAGTGCCGGATCCAACAGTTCCGGTCTTGAGGTGGCAGCTATCACTGTGACGCCCTGCAGTCCCTCGACACCGTCCAGCTCGGTAAGCAATTGGTTGACCACCCGATCCGTAACGCCGGTGGAGTCATGGCCGCGCTTTGGGGCCAAACTATCGAACTCGTCAAAGAAAAGCACACACGGCCGAGCACTGCGGGCGCGATTGAACAGGTTCCGTACGTTCTCTTCACTTTGGCCGATATATTTGGCCAGCAGTTCAGGGCCCTTAACGGAAATAATTCGCAGGTTCCACGAGGTGGCCAACTGAGAGACTAGATAGGTCTTGCCAGTTCCAGGCGGTCCGTACAGAAGCACTCCGGCCTGATTGCGCAGCGGTGATGCATTGAAAATTGTGGGATACTGTAAAAAAGTAAAAAAGGGGAATTAAATATAGATCTAATAAAAAATATTTAATATCATTAAATTAATTGGATTCGGGCTTTTGGCAAATATATATGTCAATGTACACAAAAGATTATCAAAGGTTTCCTTCTGTACGTCGAAACGAAAGAGAAGAAGCCAATTACTAGTTATAATACTACAAAAGTCGTTCATACAGTTAATACAATTACGCTAATACTTTGCTAAAAATTATATATATTATATACATATATAAAAGATTTTGATATTATGTAATGTATCTCACCCGCGATGGCCACATAAGAACCTCCTCGAGAACTCCCACAACAGCCTCTAGGCCAGGCAGTTCCTCTACACGCATCTCATTGGCCTCAGCATCGCTGCCAGTCTTCTGATTACTCTGGATGCCCTGCAGGCAGTAGGAGTTTGTGTGCTCCAAGGACTCGATGAGCTGATCATTTGTTAGAACTGGCTGCGCCTTGCCTGGGAACAGAAAATTATGATCAATTTTAATGCCAGAAACACTAACAGTTTACTTTTACTCACTTATGCGGTAGGCATAGAATATGGCCCGCTCTACGAACTGAACAAGATCACATTTCCGGTAACCCTCGGTAAGGTTGGAGAACTTGGCCAGGTCGAGTTCGTTGGACGCATTGATATGGCTGCAGAGTTCGCGCAGTATAATCTCTCGATCAGGACGCTCCAGGCTGGGTAGCCGACCCACCGTCTGGAAGACATGCCTGCCCCGCGGCGAACTCAATCGTTTGTTAAGCGTCTGCAGCTCATTGACTGTGGCAATCACTGCAATGGCATTGCCAGTGGTGTACTGGACAATCAACTGATGCACTGTATCCGCCATGCGGTTGTAGTACTCCCCGTCTTGACTGGACTGCTCCCCAGCTGAGTGGGCCAGAACATCCAGGTTTTCCAGCACCACAATCGCAGGGGCATGCTGAAGGCAAGTGGTAAAGATGTTGCGCAGATCTTTTTGGATGGACTCTGTCTTGCGACCCTTGCTCCGTGACCCGTAGAAGATGTCGAAGTAGCAGTAATCCGGTTTGCGCGACAACTGGTCCAAAATGCGCTCAACCAGCACGGTTTTGCCCGTGCCTGAGGCACCGGTAAGCAGGACATTGCACTGCCGCATCACGGAGTTGTCTTCGTTCAGGCACAGGTTAAGTCGCAGCTCCTGAACTACCTGATCCACAATCTTATCGTACTCGGGCAGACGTATAAGATCCTTGACACTCAGCGGCGACGTGACTGGTGGCTGCTCTTTAATGATTTCGTTCACCGGACGCACTAGGTCAGCGGCATAGATCTTTGACTCCTTTAGAAACTGAGCGTCAACGACACAATACCGAAAGTGCTCTGGCAATATTCCGACTGTGACCAGCAAATCGTCCTCTAGCCGCACCACTTCCTCCTGATTAAACAACATTGGCTTGTGCTGAGTTCTCTCGATAACAAACCGCTTAAATGCGTTTTCGATGATCTTGTAGTGCGTCTTCTTGTGGGCAAACAGCTCGATCTTCTCCACGAAGTTAACAACGGTGGTCTTAAACCGGATCACCACCCGTTCCAGCTCCTTAATGCCGAGCAACTTCATCAGGTTGGCATTCAGTTCGATCGATGGGTGGATGGTGCCCGGTAAATCGTCCTCCACCTCCTCGTCCACTGTGCGCACCCGCACGTAGTAGTCCTTGTCACCGGCTGTGTGGAGGCAGTAGAACTGATCTAGATCCAGGAATTCGGGCAGATGTTTCCGGTTCACAAAGACATCCGACTCCTGGGCCTTTTCCCGCCAAAGGCCACGAATCACCCGGAACTCAAAGCTTCGCGAGCTTTCTCTGCGCAGATCTTTCTTCAAACGCTCCATATGATCTTGCCGCTTGTTGCGTTGCAAAGTATTCTTAACGTTCGAGACCGTTGAGGAATGAGTCAGAGGTGTAGCTGGCTTCTCAGCCAGTTCATCTTTGACCTGGGCAGTAGTTTTACTCCTAGAGAGTTTTGTGTTTTCCTCACTGACTCCGTTGGAAGTTCCATTGGTCAGGCCCTTGTAAAGATTGGGCGCCACAACGAGTTCCGTATTGTGGTCTATTCGACCATAGTTCATGTGCGGCTTCAGGCGATCTGATTGAATAATAAATAGTATAAGTATTATGAATAGATATTCCAGTGCACTCATTTACCAACTGTCAGCGCCACCTGCATGGACTTGTTGATCCAAACAATCAGTATCTGAGTTGAATTTACAATGCGTGTTTGCTCCAGCACGCTGCCAGATATTTTCTCGGTGCTCAGCTCCTGCGGAAACGAAAGAATATGTTTAAATTAAAATGTTATTTTATGTGTGACAAATTAGACTACATAATATAAAGATATAAATATATAAATATATATATGCACATGCTAGCGTTTGTAGTTTATCTTAATAAGTAATAAAGTATGTTTATGATGACTAAATAATAATGTGTTAGCTTCTATGCAATATAATATTGTGATCTCATTAAAAATAAACAACTATTTACATCGGAATCCCAGGTGGTTTTAGGTTGACATAATTAAAATATACTAGCTTTAATGGCTTAGAGCTGCTAAGCAGGAGGGTCAATGGCAATGCCGGCCAAGCAATGGCAGTATAAATAAAAACGAAGCGTACGCCCGCGCCAAATGCTAATCCGATATAAACAGAATTGTCTATTTTTAAGCTGGCGACACGGGCATGCGGCAAGCATGCGAAACCATCACTCACAATGATCTCCCAGTCCTTGGACGAGACGGGGGTAACGTGGACGCTGCGGAGGTTGAGAACGTCAGCGATGAGCGCACACTTGACCAAATCATTCTCGTGCAGACCTACGGCAAGAAAGGGAAAATATGTTGGTGAGCACGCCGGGGTGGGGTAGATGGCCGGAGTCCAATATTACGGCACATTGGCAAGCGATGCACATCTGGTTCGTTAAGTAATGGGGCTTACCGATCTCCTTGGCCGCCCTGGCATTGATCCCAATCTCGGTGTCCTTAATGCCCCCGCCGCCCGCCTGTGGCGCCCAGGAGGCATAGTGCACCCGTCCATTGTACTGCAGACTCAGGCACCCCGTATCCTAATCAGAGCGGTTAGCATAGCCGGAATAATCTCTGAGTAATCTTATCTGGGGGCGGATTGACTTTTGGACACTTACATAGGTCGAAACGACGCCGTAATACTGGTCCGGCAGCAGCACAAAGTTGCTCCTAATGGGCCGATAAACCACCTTAAATGTGCGCTTGAACATTCTCGACGTGGTCGTGCGCGAACTCGGATATTGCCCGGTTAATTCAATTTCATTTTTGGCCAAAGTTGCGCCGCCCCACAGCTGCTGCGCCAGAGATGGTAAACTTGACGATTGTTCTGCCGATACCCGCAACAGGTGAAACAGCTGTTTGGGGATGAGCGATTAGCCTGTTTCCATTGCTGCGATGTATTGAAGTGAAAAAAAGAGGGCTGCAAAAGTATCGACAATCATAGAATTTAATTTTAATTAATTCTCTTGCACTTTAATTTGCCACATTGTTTTGATTGAATAAATAAATGTTGTGTATGTTTCACTTAAAACATTAAATTAACGACTTTATTATTGTTGCAAGTGGAAATAGGATATAAATTATATTCGATACATTGTTCTCTATAAGTTCATACTGGAAAGCGACACATTTGTCGAATGCTTCCGAAATAAATCGATCGACTTATTAAAGGGGAATCAACTGGGTCCCATTGTTTATCCGCTAAGATTTCCCATCAGATTAAATATAATAAACTAATCAGGGTAAATAAAAACTTATGGTGCTTAAACGAAAAAACTGTAAAGTAATAGTCTTAACTAAAGCGATGACGTAACCATATAAAGTATGTATATATATTCTTGATCAGCATCAACTGGCGAGGCGATCTAACCATGTCTGCCTGTCCGTTTATAGTTTTGAAGGTATCCGAATAAAACTGCAGTTAGTCTTCTATATACTCTAACTCTTATATTATTCGGAAAGGGCCAGATTGGGCGACTATATCATAGCCATAGGAACAATCGAAACATTTTTAGAATAAAATTATAACTTTTACAGTTTTTACCATATTTTTATTTAATTTGATTCAAAGCTATCATTTATTGTTATAGAATTTCGTTTTTAGTTTTATGAAAATCGGAATACTATATAATAAAATTGGCAGAGAAACGCTTGTTAAATGTACAGGATCAGTAATTATCTTCAAGCAGTAATTTACTATGGCCAGGAAATAACACAACACATTTCTGAGACTTGGCCAGCAGAAGTCAGTTGGTTCCGGGGATGTTAGAACCAGTTGGGAATCATATGCACACATATGTGAGATTTGTTTTGAAACAAATTTTCAGCTATTTTAATGAAACTTTGAAATTATTCTTCTATATAATTTTACTAGTATATAAGTCAGCTTGTCGATTCGGTGGACTATATATATACATATATATATAGAATTGTGTGTACAATTTTATGAAAATCGGACGTTCGATCGTTAAAAATAGAGGAAAATGGTGAATGTGAAACTGTATATATAAAAAAAAATAGATGAATGAAGTGAAAGCATTTATTATTTTATTGTTTTTTACCATAATTAGATATAAAATATATATTGTTTTAATTTTTAAAGAAAGTTTCCGCAAAAAAATTCAAAATTCGATTGTAAATTGACGTTATTTTTGTGGAAATCGAATCGAACTGAATTTGGTTTTTTACGCGACAAAATGTCCTGGCAATGCTTAAAATCCCAAAGCAGAGGGATTGATGGGTCTATAAATGAAGATTTTAAATTAATTAATTAATTTGATTGTAATCTGAAACAACGGCCAATTAAAGGTGATTCAATTTGGTTTAATAAGCCAAAATTGTGAATATTTATAATTTAAATCAATGTAGCAAATTTGAAAACGTTGTCCATCATAGGACCGAAAGGCATATGTGTACGATAGGTGGATTTCGTTATAGTTATGCTGAAAAATAATTAAATATAATTTAAAAATATATAAAAAATATAATTAAAAATATTATATAAAACTTTCGATTGCAGTTTCGCGCAAAAAAAAAACAAAAACAAAAACACTGCCTCATTAGAATTCCCAACACCTTTTATTTTTTTATTATTTATTTATATTAATATTATTATTATTTAAATAATAATTATTTAAAACTGGCATGTTGAGGCCATCGAAGACGAGGAAAAGGGATATTCTTTATCACTCTATATTCCAGGAAACGCTGAAACGCCCTTGACCTGCACATTACATAGGACAAATATATTTCTCGCATCCCTTTATATAAAATCACTGAAAATTGTTGTTTTATGTATAAGAAGTTTATAACTTTTAGATCGATTGTTCTTAAGTTTAAGAAATACGTTCATTAATTATTTCTTTTTATCACCTGCCGGAAACGCGACAATATCGAAAATAAAAAACTTTCTGTGTTTATTTTTGGCTAATTTATTAGGTTATAATATTTAATTTAAAATAGTTTGAGGGTTTAATATATTCGTGTAAAAGTGTGTACAAAAATGCCGGAATTTTATATTTATATATAGTTCCTTTATCCTCCTTCGCTCGTCGTATACCATGCTGGCTTCTTATTAAATTAAATAACACAATAATTAAAAACTAACAATGGAGCGTGCTAATCGTGTGTACTGCGACCTCTCCTCAGTTTGCGCGAAATAAAGAGAAGACTTTGAAAGGATATGCATAAGGATGCCAATGGCACTTGTAAATATGTAAATACAATAAAACTGTGCTTATAGTTGAACTAAATTCGTTATTGCATTTTTAATTTATATACTATATATATAAATATTTCTTAATATTTATCAAGAGAAGACACTGTCCAAAGGAGTTTATAAAAGCTTTTCTGCGTGTTCGGTATGCTGCGTCGTATTAAACTGCCTCCATATCAGTCTTCGTCAATTTGTTGTGGCTCGTGAGAATAAAATTGGCTTATATAAATGGAATTTCTATTCATATAGTTTATATATATCCTTTGTATAAAAATTCAAATATATTTTTAGAAAATGTGTTGTCTTTTTTAAGTGTAAAACATTCTAAAAATGTTAAAAATGTTCTTCTGGCATGCAATATTTTGGCGGTAGTTTTTTTTTTATTTTACTTTTTAAATGGCTTTCTGTGTGCTCGGAGTGAAACAAATAAAAAATAACAAAAATAGAAAGAAATATGAAAATATACACAATTTTAATGCTTTATACTCTCCCTCTCTCTTCCAATACAATTCATCATTCAATTGGCTTATACAAAAAATACAATTATTTAATCTACAGACTTGGGTACTCCAAATTCGTGCGGATTTGCCATCTCGGATGGATGCAGCAAATGATTCCAATTTGGTTAAAACTTAGGCATAAAAATATAACTAAATAGTACATATATCAATAGATATATATGTAGTATATGTATATACACAGGTTAAAATATAAATCAATATTTAACAATTAAAATTTGATAAATACACCATTCGAATTTTCGAGTTCAACTTAAGCTCTAATCAACCAAATAAAAATGTGTTTTTAAAAACATAATTTTGGCGATAAACAATGTCTCAGAAAATTTAAGGCGAGATTCATAAAACGGTTGGGTGTGGACTTGGGCTTGGGCTATTGGAGCTTTGTTCCACACACGCTTTCACGATAAGCCGTGCCCGAAGAGGATCTAACACGGTTGCGTATATTAAGGGAAGATTCCGAGTAATTCGAAAAAATAAAAGGATTTAGGGTTTATGGAGGGGAATGTGAGTTTGTGTATGTGTGCGAATGTGTCCAAAACAATTTAATCGCCCAATCACATATTGCAGTATCTCTTATGATTTCTTTTCTCTTTCAGTGTAATTTTGATTTTCGATTCGTTGCCATCGTCTTATCATCTCGATCGATCTCACTTAGCAATCCATCTCCTCCAAGGTGCGTGACAGGCGATTATTGTCGATCCTGCGACGCTGCGAGCGCCTAACCGCATCCGCCCGCCGATACGGCTCGCTCTTCAGGCCAAGCAGGATGTCCTCGAGGGCTCCATTGTACACCTCGTCCTGTTGCAGCAGCTTCTTCTCGCGCACCGAGTGCGCTTTGCTCTTCAACTCGTTGATGACAGCATCCTGCAAGGAGAGCGCGCAGGTTGAGGCCAGCTATTTGCGTTTGGTTTTTGGAAGCGGAGAGCAGGGCCAGGCCGGGAGGGGATTAGAAAGATAAAAAGGTTAGAATTAGACAGGGAAACCATCACCAAAAGAGGCACAGAAATTTATTACTAAAGAGTTATTTTTAAAAAGACTCTGGATTCGTCAAATTATATTGCTATTATTTCTATAAAAAATATTTAAATTTGTATTTTTTTGTTAATGAAATGATTAGTTTTCCAGGTGGGAAATATATATAGAACGTAATAAGTTTGCATGTTTTTTGTGAATATTTGAGAAGTGAATGTGAGAAATTCCCCCTATATATATTACATAACCTTTATAAATGTATGTACAATCTTTATATATAATATAGATCGAAAATTAAATTAATTCTATTGTGAAAAGAATATATACATATATTGCTTCCCTGAAATTTAAATATGACAAAGAATAAATAGTAAAACTAATTTTAAGGTCAAATTGCTGATTTTTCTTCAAGAAAATACAAAAAACTTCTTGTAACTACAACCTTGTAATTTATTGTATACCTTGTAATTCTTCTATAACTTGTAAAATAATCTGAATTTTGACTCTATATTTATAAAGAATTATATTACATTTTCAATATTTTCTTTTTCTATATATATCTCCCTTTTAAGGGTTTCGATAAACCACATTTATTTGCAGTACTATTTGAATTTAAGTTCAATTATTTTCAAATTTGTCGCTTTTAATAAAATGAATACCTTAAACATTGAAATAATTGACAGAGTGCCAAATAATGGAATGACGCATACATTTGTATGTATATGATATCACAGCTAGAGTGGATTAGCAATGGAATTAGCGCGGATTAGGCAACACAACAGTGGGGATTAGTCGGAACCAAAACAATGTTAGGAGACAAGTAAAGACTACCCGGGCGACTTACACTAATATGGGGAACTTTACACAAAACAAATCCCATGACATGCCGCCGCCCCCAGAGAGCAACAACTAGGAGGTGGAGGATGGCGGTTTCGGTTATTTTTTTTTTTTTTTGTGTAGTAGAGGATGTTGCTGCGATTTGGGACACGGGTGTATAATCCCGGTATTGGGCCCCCGCAGACTTCCATCCCCAGTTGAGTATTAGACAGAGTGTGGTGCGTTTTGTGTGAGTCAACCAAACAACCAAGTTAACGTGCTAGGATTGAGGAGATGGCCGGTGGATGGATGCTACGATTGGTAGGTCGAGCAGGCATTGTATTGGCTGCATAAATCAAATCAAACGAGATCAAAACAAAGCATAACAGGTTACCAGGTTCTTAAAAGGACAAGTGCATTTAGAGATTCGAGGAACTTGACCACCACGACCAGTTCGAGAGACAGTGGGCTTCCGTGCGTTATCGACGTCCATTACTCACCTGTTGCTTTTTCTGGTTAGCTTTGTTGCGCAAATGCACTTGGTCGGTCTCCTTTTTGGAGGCGGCCTGTTCCAGCCGACGACGCTGTTCGTTCTCCATATCGTGTTGCTGAAAGGAAGGCATAAACTTGGTTGAGCGGGAATCTAAAGACTTGGAGTATACCAACCTTAAAGGCCCTTGTAAAGCGTACGATGAGCGCAAAGAAGGCGGCAGCATCGGCATTGCGCGAGGATTCGCCAAAGTACTCCACGCACTCCTTGAAGGCATCCTGTGCGTGACGCAGATCGCTCTTGATCTTCTTCAGCTTATCCTCGCTGTTGGTGAGGAAGTCTTTCAGGATGTGCGTCTGGGCACCCTTCACCCGCAGATCGGCCTCCTTGCGTACTAGCTCCATGCCCTTGTCCAGCTCCTGAACATCGGCCACTACATTTTCCAATGCAACCGAAGCCGCTTTTTCCGTTCCGTACAGCTCGCTGTCAAAGTTCAGCAGTTCGTCGAACTTGGACCGAATGGTGGCCACAATATAGTGGAGCAGCGACGACCGCTTATCCGTGGACTTTGTATCAATCAAAGTGTCCAGCGATTGCAGCTTGAACCCGTAGGCCGGTCCTCGCTTGTTGCTGTTGAGATAGTTGCCGAAGGCCAGGACTATTTCTAAAACCGCCTTAAACTTGCGCGATTGTTTCAGTGAATTGGAAGCAGCTGCTATGGATTGCACTTGCTAAAATTTTAAAGAAAGGTGTTAATAATGCAATGAATATCTTTAACTTGTTGTGCTTAATTCAGAGACTTCAAAAGGAATTTAAATTTTTTTCCTCACCGGACTAATGAGATGCACGCTATCCACAAAATTGCCCATGTAGTTCATGATGGCCAGCTTTGAGGATATGCGCTCCACACGCGACAATTGTAGCATGAACTTGTCTTCCTCGGTCAACAGCTGCTGGTCCTTGCGCGCGGCTATGTACTCCCTGTAGGCCTTGGCCTCGGCATCGGTGGGAACCATCTTCTGCAGCAGCTCAACGTTTTCCAGGGAGAGCTTTTTCAGGTCCAGACTGTGGATGGCAGCGATGACATCGTCTATGGGCATGCCCAACTTGCGACGGGAGATTGCTAAGAAATTTGAGGTAATCGGGTTAGTTAAAGGTGTTTTAAAGCATAGATTGCCTCACTCACCAATGTTTCTTAACCTCGTGTGCTCCAGCAGCGAGACATTGTCGGGCCTCTTGAAGCGTTTGCTGGACTGCAGCGAGCCATCCACTTCGGTTCCACTGCTGCCATTGTGCAATGCGCCCCCAATGCCGATCTTGAACCTCTCCTCGAATTCGTTGAAGTCAATCTGCTTAAAGATCTTCTCGTCGTCCAGCTCATTGAAGATTGTACCACGTACCTAGCAAGGAGCACAAATGATTGGTAACCACTATATCTATAATATATCTTCAAATATTGTTACCTGGTTAGGCTTCAGAGCCACCCAGTTCAAGGTAGGCAACTTGTACTTGGTGGGCACTTTGCGTTTGATGGTCATGGCGCCATCGGGAGCCGGCATGAAGCCGGCCGCCGGCGGCGGTGGTGGCTGGAAGGAGCTGAGCATGGGCGGGGCATGAGGCGGTGATGGAGCCGTCGAGGTGAGGCTGCCGTTCGGACTGATCATTGGACTAAGTCCCGACATCATGGACGGCGGAGGTGGCGCCGGTGGTGCTGGCGGGGGTGGTGGCGGAGGCGAAGCTGACATTGCGGCGGGCGAGGCGGGCATTGGCGGAGGAGGTGGTGGCAGCGTCAAAGACGATGCGCCCAAACTGGAACCAGGCAGAAGACCCCCATTCACAAGGGATCCATCGCCAGTGGACACAGATCGTGGCAAGGAGCGGCTGAGCGTCTGCAACTCCAAGTTTTTCGTGTGCAGCAGCGTGTCCCTCTTCTTCAACTCTAACTCGTTGTCCTGCAGCATGCGTTGCAGGACCGTGAAGTCAGCTTCCAGTTTCTGGCGCGCTATCGCCATCTGCTCCCGCTCCATCTTGAGTGCAGTATTATCCGACTCCAGTTCAGCGTACTTGTACATGAACTCCGAGTTCCGGTCGACCTCCCGCTCGAGCTGATCCTCCAGTTCCTGCACCCTTTCCAGGGCGGACGTCTTCGTTTCCGAATCCTCCATCAGAGCGGCCACATCGAACACATTGTCCAGATAGGCCGAGATCTGTACCTTCAGCTCCTCGGATTCTGTCAGTCGAATCCGCTCCAAATACTTGTCCAGACCCAGGGCTGTAAACTCGTACTGAAGGTGCACTCTGTAGTTCATATCCTCCACGGAGTGGACCACTATATTCATGAACTGCATGCAGGCGACCATGAAATCGATGTTGAAAGCCTCAAAGTTCATAAAGTACTCCATGAGGGTCTGGAAGCGCCGCTGCTCCTGGCATACATCCTTGAAGTTGTCGAACGATCCCAGGATGATCTCGTGCCCCCCCTTGACCAGGCAGATGGCTGCCAAAAGCTCCAGGACCAGGGCCTTCGTCCTGAGTGACTTGTGAATGAGGCTCAAGGCAATGCAATTAATTGCTTCGCGATGCTGGATAACCATGTTGAACCCATACTCTAAAAGAAGTTATTCAAAATTCCATTACTTTCGATTCTTTTTAATTAATTTTCCAGATTCTTACTGTTGTTCATGATGGCACGCAGGCACATTATGGACACGTGGATGTCATCCGTGGCGGCGCCCATATTCAGCTTGGCTATATGACGCGACCTTCGCTTCAAGCTGGGACTATCCAGGGCATCGGCAATGGCGGGACGCAGAAATCCGTAGGACAGGGAGTGCTGCGGTTGTCTTGAATCCACCAGAATGGAACCATTGGCGAGGCCATGACCTGCACTGCCGCCGTGAGTAAGTCCAATACCTCCGCCACCGGACTTATAGAACTGCTATTACCCATCACCAACTCTCCGCCATCCCCGCCGTTCGTGATATTCAAGCGCTCCTCGGAGGCACAGAGCGCTCCCTGGAGACGCTGCTCGTGACGCATCATCTGCAACCGAAAGCTAAGATAGTCGACCAGAGCATCCAGGCCCTGGTTCGTATCGTCCAGGAACTCCTTCACCCACTCGATGTGGTTCGTGCGCAGCGAGATCTCTAGATCCCGGAGCACCTGGGTGGATGTGGACTCGCCGACCATTTTCCGTTTCTGGCAAAGAAAGTAGAAGAGGTAAAGCTGTAAGTGTACAAAGAGAGAGTGGAGTGGAGTGGAGTGGAGGATAGAAAGACGGGGGACCGGAAACAGCAACAGGATAGGGATCGAGGATCGCGTCGGGGCAGTGCAGGTGCCAGGAAGTAAACAAGGAAGAGACAGGTAGATAGAGAAGTTGGGAATGTGGATCGTGGTGTGTTGTCAGTGTTGTGAGTAGAGAAATTAGATTTACACATTAATATTGGAACAATAGATTTTGATTTAAGGTAAGGTTATTAACGTTGGCTTATTATTTCAGCTTTGGCCTGATAGTTGGTTAGAGTTATGGATTTATTTGTTCAATAATATTTTATTTATGGTACAACCAGAAACCACACTACAGAAACAACTACAGAAAGCTATATGGATGGAAGAGGATTTAGAATATGGCGTACCCGATGACTTCGCGATGCTTTCGGGTCCAAATACGTTCGCAGTTTACTCAAGTAATGTGAGGGCGGATCCTTGGCCTGCACCATTTCCTATAAATGAATAAAATGTTTATGGATTAAAAAAGCTGTGCTTAAAAGAATTCCAATCATATATAATATAATATGTACGTATACTGTTTATAAGCAATTGTGAAATTTTGTTTAACGTTAATTAAAATCGAATAAATTTGTGAGGAAAAATCGATATTAAATCGATACAAATCATAAACTTAGTTTAAGTTAATCAATGTATAAAATAAATTTGCAAAAGTAAAATGTCGTTTAAATTAAATAACATTTGTCGAATATTCTTCAATATTGATCGAATTTGTATGCTTAGTTTTATCAATTACATTCGAAAAGGACTCCTGTGGGGATGTATCCCACAAACTGCTAGTTAATCTGTATCTATAACTGGATACAGTATCAATGTCTAGAAGATTGATATATAAATAAATATTTTAACGTTGAATAAAAAAGATTAAACTTAGTTTAAAGTATCAGTGTAGGAATAATAATAATAATAATAATAATAATAATTAATAATTAATAATAAAAATACAAAAAATAAAATAAATTTACTTTATTTATTTTATTTATTTATTTTTTACTTTATCGAAATTTAAAAGATTAAAATTTTTGATATTTTAAACTTTCTGATATATTTGATATGATATTTAACGCAATATTTTATCGATATACTAGTATTCCTCTTCATGTAAATCTGAGTATCGATTATTATAACACTTAAAATAATTAATAAAAAATATTTAAGCGACTAGAATAAATATGATGGACAAATGTGATAGTTGAATTGTTGTTGATCAGAAAAACTTGTTGAACAACTGAACTTTATATAAAGGAATTTAATTATATAAAATATTATATGATTGGGGATCAATTCTGTATCAGAATCAGTAACCGCAAAGAAAAGTCAAGGTAATCAACTCATTTCATTAATCTCTGTTTTCTCACAACATTTCAATATGTTATGCTCTTTAATTTGTGGTTACGTTATTTAATCTAGTTCCTTAGACTAATGTTTACAAGCATCAGCTGTTATTGCGAAATAATGTTCAGCTGCTTTCGTCAACGATCTGAATACATTGCGCCATTAACTATTATTAACAGCAATACTATTATTAATGCAATACTATTCATATATTTGATCTTCGGCTGCTCGATCGTCTCTTAATTATAAAATTGCAATCTCTATTACACTTGTAGTGCTGCTGAGTTTAGTTAATTGCCACTAAAATCATCTTCGTCGGAGTTACCCAAGTTGCTGTTCAATGAACTGGGAGTTTGGCTCCCAAAGAGCCGAGATGATGGAGAAACCGGAGGCGGAGGCAGGGGTTACTTTAGCGATTTGATTCCACATGCATTAACACTAGACCGAGGCCTAGCGGCTTTTACTTTGTTTTTTTTTCTATCGTGTGCTTAACTGCATATTTGTGTACATACATACATACATGTTTACGGTACGGCACACCGCCACCCCTCATAACTCCTCCCCGCCGCACTATCTGCGATCCCCTCCCCCTTCGATCACATAAGCATCGATGGCTTGCCTAACTCTAAACATTTTTAAGCATGAAGCGTGGTATACTTGTTTTGGCTTGAGTCCGCTGTTGTTGGTGTTTTTTGGTTTTCTGTTTTCGGTTTGGGGTTTGTTTAACTATGCCAACAACTAAGGCAGCCACCAAAAACAAGAAAAAACACACACAGAATAAAAACAACAGCCAACGCATGACTACAACTTAAACTATGTGTGGGTTTCGGTTTTGGGTTCGAACTGCAGCTAGAGAAAACCAGTTTGATTCTTTTTCCCCAGTTGAAGAGTGCTGCCCGAGTATCGGCATTGCACACAGCCGCAGATATTGCTGTAGTATTCCTATAAGCCACTGCTCCAGCGATTAAAAACTGCAATTTATCGCCGTCATAATAATTTGCATTTTGTCACTGTGAGCACGAAGAGCGGAGCTGAGGAATGGAGACAGGAAGAGAGTGGAGAGTCGAGTGCTCCGAGTGCTCCGAGTCTCCAATGGGATTGGCCGGCCTGAGCACAAAGTCGTCCTCGAGTGGCTACCTTCGCCTCCACCATCATCACTGGAACTGTCTGTCCCAAAGTCTAGTGGTCGGGTCGCCGTTGTCAGTGGGCTGCGTTTTCATTCATTTTCATGACTAGACTAAGTTAGAGTGGAACTGTGGGAACAGGTCACAGAATTGTATATAATTATTGAGTATTTCAATATAAATTTCAACATTTACAAAATAAGTCTAAGGGAAGAAAAGAGGTATGAAAATATGCATTTATCATTTCCCAAATCACAGTGTTTATGTACTCTATAAAATGTTTCCAAGCTTCGATTAATCAAATTATACTTGAGTGAGTTTGATACCTTTCTCCTTTTACTTTAAGCTTTAGTTTTCCTCACCTTTCATTTACCAATTTTCATTGACCTGGCCCACAGTGCGTTGGAGCCTGAATTATGGAAAACAGGTCTGGCGTCTGTGTGTGTGTGTGTGTGTGTGTGTTGCAGGCATGCAGCAGGCAGTTAAGGAACCGGCGACATGGACAACAACAATAGTCTTAAGAACAACGGAGGAACCGTGTTGGGTGTTTATGATATTTTATCGTATGGCAGAAAAAATGCTCGACGCAAGTCCCGGGCCTATTCAGAGAGTGTTGGGCATTCCTTCCTCCGCTTTTTGTGTTTTTGTTTTGTCTTTTGAAAGCAACTCCACCAAAATGCCGATGGCGAATATATTATATGCTTTTTCGTAGCCGTTCTTTCCGTTGTTATTTTTCTAGGTGCAGCTCTTGAAAATTCAGTGACCCAGTTACAAGCGAGATGGATAGATAGCTGGATGGACGGATGGATGGATAGAATTCACCAAAAAGGTGCACGCTCTGGCGCACACGTTAATAGTTTCGTCATATTCCAAAATCAGCAGCAAAAAAACACGCAATCCAGACTTTTGCATATATATATATATGTATATATATAGTATACATTTTACTGCCCATATTCTAAAGTAATTTACAGTCGCTCTTGTTGCCGAAATGTTTCGTTTTTTTTTGTTTTTGTGATTCAGACAGCGAATTTAAATCATTAAACACTGTGGTGTGCCAAGCGGCGAATAAAAAACATCAAAAAAGCGCTGGCGACAAAATAGCACGCACTGCATAATGATTGTCAAAGCTGAAACATCACGGCACATATGTACTTACATATATATATGTATTTAATTATCAATCTAAACAGAGAGATATGTATATATTTGAACACTTGTCCTACAATTTATTTATGCCAGCTCAACAATCATCGCTAAACAAGTGTCAAATGAAAACAATGTGAAATATTTCTCAAGCTAAGCTCAATGTAAGGTGTTTTAGTCTTGAGACATATTACATTTTAACCAACATGTTGCTACACTACATTTACAAATTAATATTACAACTTCACATAAAAAAATTAATCTGTTTTATATGGGATCATATTTAATTGAAAGTTACTACCTATTTAAAATCATATATATAGATATAATTATTTCTAACTTATACCAAGATTGACGTTCTTTTAATGGATCAATATTATTATATATATAAATATATCGAGGCCACAGTCGAGATTAAGATTTAAAAAAAGTTTTTATTATCAAATTAGCTTATTATTCTTTCATGTATTTTCAGCAAGGTATTCATAAAATATATAAAAAATGCACCAGTATGTTCAAATATTAATTTTTTAACCAGCCTGTTTTTAGAGGTAATACTTAAGAAAGATTAGTTTTAGAGTAATTGTGCGCAATGTTTTGACATGAGAGATAATTTATGCTCGATTATGTTGTTATTTTGTACAAAATCTCCATCTTTTTTTAAATATTACATTGAATTTTAATTAATTTTTAATTATATTAAAACAAAATGTATCTCACTCTAGTCAATTGTATACTTCCAGATGTCATGTTGATTTAATTGTTAGTTAACCAAGACTTGGACTAGATAATTAAACTAATTAAAACCAAACTTGTGCGTGTTATGCGTCATGTTTATAATTTAGGGAAATAAAAAAAAATTATTAAATAGAAAGGTTTTTGTCGTAATAAGACTTTAACTGTTTATAAGCTTGGAGTTTCACAAATGTGAAAACTAAAATTAGATCTTAATCATTAAGATTTTTCATGCATTGGCAACCCTGTTCAAAAATTGGTAATCGGAGGAGAATTTAGTTTAGTTGGTTAACTCACACGCGCCTTTGGCATTCCAACTGGCCTACACACACAAACACACCCGTTTGTAACAATTTCATTGCGCAAAGCCATTTGGTATAGTTTAATTAGAGTTGCCACTCCACTTGCCCCTTGCACAGCTGTGCAACCTAAAGGTCAGCGTTCAAGGTGTCGACATCAGTAGAGAGTGGCGGCTCTAGCTTGACCTAAAGTAATTCAAACTTTAAGAATAACCTTCTCTGAACTGCTCCCATGAGAGCAGTCCAAAGTGCTCAGATGGGAATGGAAAACAACAGGAACAGGAAGTTCGCACTCTGATAGCAAAGAGTTTTAAGCAAAAAAATAAAAGCATATTCAAATCGCAATTATAATCTATAGTGTTGTATTCCCCTGTACATATATACGCATTTAGAAATGTATTAAAAGTTTAACATTACTTACTTGATCACATATCATGTCCCATTTCTTCTCGTCATCGTAGTTGCGAAGTAGCTTTGCTTTATCGGGCGGCAAGTCCATCGAAGCCTGTCGAAAAAAAAGATACAGGAAAAACAAAAGACAATTAGCAAGTGTGAATGATTAGGGGAACAGATATTTAAGCAGAGATGGGAATTGACATTCAGCCATTGGAAAGCTCATTAAAACCCAATACACCCCATACAATGGCTCATTAAGGCAGTCAGTCTTGCATCTCTTGACATATTTAACCGGGAGCACTGCTTACCAACTCATGCAAATATTGAATTATTCTGATTCAGATGGGTTATCAACAGATTACCGAGAGTGAATCACTAAACCATAAATAAAAGTGAAGGAAATAAGAAAAGTTGACACAGAAACCCCATCTACCCAACACTTTACTTCAATCTAAAGGATCTTTATCACGGATCATGGAAATAATTCAAGTTTATGTACAATATTCAGTATTCCATAGTTACTCGTGGCATTTATTTCTGATTTAAACTACAGATCACTGAACCACAAAGCAAACTCAAATATGCAGAACCAATTTACCTGCCAATGGCTGACGGTTGTGTAAAATGGTTAAATGTACAATTTAACGGGAGGGAATGCACCATAATGAAATCGGCAAATATGTTTACGTGACTTCAATTTAATTTTTCCACTTTTTTCTCCTTTTTTTTTTAGGGTGCAGCAGCTGCAGTTGGAAGTTCTAATTAGATACACACACAATCATTTACGGGATGAGAGCAGGAAAAGGGTGTGTTGAAGATGGAGGGGACAACAAATAATGCAAAATAAAGAACAACATCGGATGCACAATTGGAGTTGAATCTTTAGAAGGAAAACCATACAATGAGCCAACAAAATTAAATGAAGCGGATTGAAATGCGAAGAAACGAAACGTGGACTGAAAATCTCTATGGAATAAATTAGAAAATTTCTACAGACATATTCCAATTTAAAAGAAAAGAAGAATTATTATTATTAATTAATTATTATTATCATAATTGGAAATTGAGCTCCTAGTTGACCCAATGTAGAAAATTAACAGCCGAGTTGATCTAGTCGGACATTGAGTTTAAGAAATATCCGAAATATCATCAAATTATGGGAAATTAAGTGAAACATAACCACTTTTATGAATTTAGAAATACAAATTAATTTTTCAATACAATTGCATGACAATGTGAAATATATATTCTATCAATAAATTTCTTTAGTCGTAAAAAATACACAACAATAGAAATAATCTTTTATCTGAAACTTTTTAATCATTATTCTCAAGATCACAGTAAAATGCTTTTTGTTCCATGTTTTCACATTCAATTACTGCAAATTTACATTGAACTTAGCAACTCTAAGCGAGTGTTAATTAAGCCTTACAATTATTAAAATTATCATCACTTCTGCCTTTGTTATATACAGATGTTCTTTTTGTTTTTTATTCTTTTTAAAACGTGCTCAATGTGAAATATACGATTATGTGCAATATTTTAACAATACCAGGAGAGGGTAAACAAATGCGAGAATGATTGCAAAATTTATTGATTAATTAATTGTAATGTTATGGGTGAGCCGCTGAGCTCCACGCCCTGTAAATATACTGTCCGTTACGGTCTGAGTCCATCAAGCCGAGTGATTTGCCTCGACGCGCTTTTTATTATAATAATAAAACAATAAATAAGTAAATAAAAGAGTGCATAAAAAGAGCCAGAGAATAATAAACAAGGTGACAAAGACGAGCACTCTCTTCAATACTTATGCCAGCGCAGACAGGCTCCGAAGGCAAAAAGTGCGCGGTACTTTTACTATATAAATTGGACATGATGTATGTAGTATATATATGTATGTATATGGGTACATAATGAATTACTTGACCGGCACACCGGATACGCATTTTAAGTTTGTTTTATGTTTTGTGTCCCTCTATTGTGTGTGTGTGTATATGCATAATGGGGAGTTCCAAATTGTGAGCCACGGTCCCCCTTCTATCTACGCTCATGCCCAATGAGTAAGCCCCCAGCGGTATTTATTGCAAACAATATATAAACAAAAGTAATATACAGCCACATTCTATAGTTGGAAAGAAGCTATAAAGCAATGGAGAGCTGATTCAGAAAATGAACTCAAACACCAAGAATGCTTAGGTATTTTAAACAGTATTTTAAAAATTGATTACTTAAGAGTTACTTATTATTATACATATTTACTGTCAATGATTTTCATTTGCATGATTTATATTAAACATAAATATATTCATAAGCACACGTTTTCTGTGATTCAATCCATTTCGTGATTCATTTTATTTCATAGAAGACCAAATCGACCCTAGGAATCTTGAAACAAAAAATAGTAATCCTCTCAAAAGTTATTGGAAATGAGAAAAAGAAATCCCAAAAGGCATTTTTCACAACATTGATCTTCAGTCATTCGTGACTCACAAAAATATTGTGGAAATCTGCAAAATACTGTGGAGGTATAAGTGTATTAGAAACAATACATAAAAGTTTCTCGGAATATAAAAATCTGTATTGTTGTAAACATAAAATAATAAGGCACGTGAGTAATACAAATATTAATATTTAAGGAAGTACAAAAATGGAATGGAATGTGACTTCTGTTTAAAATTTGAAAAACGATTTTATTTCGATTGAAATGCCACATACTGTGGAAAATTAGTAATGGTCAAAGAAATCTGGAAAAACCTATGTACGTACATATTTTCCTGTGGATCTGCCTAATGATCTTCCATAGGGTTCCCAAGAAACCTATTTCAGATTTCCGATTATCCACCATTTTCCGCAAGGAAACCAGATGGTCTTCTGTTTTTATCATTATAGGGCTTTTTTTTATTGCTCTATGGTCTTTTTTGCAGACCGCAAAGGAAATGGCAAGCAAAGATAAACAAATGTTTGCCCTACAAGGCAGATAAATGGGGTTCACATCATTATTATTTTTTATTTGCGATCCAAAGCTGCCATTAGATAAAGGCAAGCCAAATGCACAAAGCGATGAACAAAGCCATCAAGTTATTGCCATTGAATGAGTATTTCATGCAACGAGGGTTGTCATAAGTGTAAGGGGTAAAAGTAATTAGATGATTTAAAAAACATTTTCTGCCATATATTACTTCATTGTATACAAAATCTTTGTAACAAAAGCTTTAAAAATAAATCATTTTAAAGAAAATGAAGCACAATATATAACATTAACTATATATAACAGGAATCTTTGGCATGAACGACAAATTAGTAAGCTCGCATTATAATTTTGCAGTCGATTGGCTACATATACCATGTAACATACATACTTATAATCCACCTTCAAATCTAGCCAAATTGATTTATTTCCTTCTAAGATAAATGTGATGATATTCTCACTGATTTAAAAACAAACTTAATTTTCTAAAAATCAGCAATAGTTTTAATTAAGAGATCCAGATTAATATCAGCTAAAGTCAATCCTTATAGTTATAGTTAAACACTTCAAGCTACCCTCGCTCAAGCCGTGAGTACTTAACAATATTAACAACAACAGTTGTGGTTGACTGCCTTGTGGTTTGTCAGCCATTGAAAATGTCATTAGGAAAGGCGGCTAACTCTTCAACACTGCATTTCCCCGTAACAACGCCTTTGTGGGCAATTGTTTACAGATATATATTCTAGGCTTAAGACTCGGAGGCATCGGAGATTATTAAGTGAGTGAAAGTCGGTTTGTCTGAGAAAGTTGGTAAGCAATCGGGGATGAGGATTTTCTGCGGTTTAGTCTTTGTCTCTTTCTGAGTATTTATGCTCATGTCTGTGAACCAAGACACCCACATCATGACCGCAGATTAGCTTTCAATAATGCAATCAAATGAACATTTTTATGTGCCTTTATTCAAAACTCTTTGGCGTTGCAATACATACGCTGTTAAATAAATAAATTATCGGAATTTTATTGGTCATAGGTTGCTTGTTTAAGCAATTAGTCAGTTAACAAACACACTGCCTTCGTTTACCCACTAATCAGTAATTTGAACAATAAACAACTTTTCTGGAATCTGGTAAGGAAAATGTTGTACTTGGAAATTCATGAAATATATATAGCCTTTAGTAATATGAATAAGGAAACTACACATGATTTATGAGGCTTTTGATAGCGTGAGCTAGAATAAGAATAATAAAACAAATACATATATTAGAAAGTGGAAATGATATTTTCCATCTTAAGAAGAATTTCACCCTGCTTCACATCCTTCTCTCTGCAACAGTTCTTTATCCCGATCATCCACTATTCTCGCATTCGATTGTTTGATCAGCTTGAATGGTGTTCTATGCCACGGAATCTGTAGTGCAACACATTGACATCGACTGCACCCTTATGCATAGAAGATCTCCTCTCTCGCGTATTCAAAGTTCAATCAACCCGGGCGGCCGGTTCGTAATTTAACTGGAAACATCTGCACTGCCTGCGTCTGATTAGATCCAGCAAAACGCAAATTATTAGCGGCAAAATGGTTGCTTTCGTGTTATTTTTAAACCATGAATAAGGCAAACAATTGCTTTGAATCGAAAGGCAACCGACTGCATGGACATTGGCGCTGTGGGTCCGGCAGTCTCGGCTCTGTCAAGTCCACTTCAATGGCAATGGGCCAGTGTGAGCAACAGCACTTTTCGACTCAATTAAGGTAAACACGAATTAGCCAAGACGGAGACACAAGGCGAGGGCGAGGCCGGGCACAGCACCTCCATGAGGCTACCGAAATGGCAAACAAACAAAACATCGAGGGGCAAAAAATACCTACCAGGGGTAAACACACGAAAAAAAATAATACATACTTTGAGTGCGAAAAGAAGGCAATGAATTTTGAACAAACAATAGTCGAAGAATAACAAATAGGAGGGAGAAAATGTTATCTAAGGTCTGTCAATATCTCATCATGAATCGTTATTGGATTTGATATTAAGAAACAATGTCATACATACGAAATGGGTTATTCCAGTTATGAGAAAGTATTCACTTATGCACTTATCTCTTTAAGAAAGAATGGCAAACCAGATAAAATCACCCCTTTGTTTTGCTTGTGTTAATCTTTTACCAACACTTTTACATAAATTTCGATCTTATCTTAATCACAGAAATTAAACCAATTATTTTTGTAGCAAGTTTTTCAATTGTTAATTCTAAACATTTCATATTTTCTTCTCTTAAATTCCCTATAAGTCTTGAATATCATTTGAGCTTTAAAGCGAGTTCCCAAAAATTAATGCAAAATGTTAAAAAATTATATTTAAGAACCAAAAGAATGGATTACAAAGAACCAACCAAAATTATTACATCATTTTAATGCAAAATGGTAAATGTCATCGTCCATTACATAAGGACCTTCTTCATCTGCCTTATCGAGATGCTCAGGACCGTTTTTACAGCCTTGAGATCAAAACAAAAGATCTCAAGTATGGGGTATAGTGCCAAAAACGAGCAGAGAAGTCGGAAACCCGTTGGAGGAGCATTTCTCATGTTACTTGACTGACTCGGCCGATAACTGAGAATTCGAGCTGCGCATATAAATAAAGATTTCTGTTTTCGTCTTTCTTCCCCTTTTGTTCAGTTCGCCCGAGAGATAAGCCGAGATCTCAAAGCCATTCAGCAGCCTCAGACTCAGCCTCAGGCCGCAGTCGAAGCCGCAGCCGTCGCCGGAGGGGGCAAGCGGTCGAGCGGCCGGGCGGTACAAGTGAGTCAGCCCTGGAGTGCGACAGAGAGGGCGACAATCGATCAATTTGCTTTAATTGCCATTAGCATGCCGAATTGGAGTGGCTTAAGGGGGGAAGCTGGAGCGGGGAGGGGAAGGAGAGTGGAGGGCGAATCAAATGACTGACTTGGCTGTGGGTCACAATCATTTGTTACGGTTTTATGACGGTCAACGCTGAGAGCTTTTTTTGCTCCTTTCCTATTTTTATTTGACTTTTTGGCAATATGTTTACTCGTAAAAATCTTAATTACGCGGTCTTGTTCGGAGAAAAAGCCGTCTAGTGTGATGACAAACGAATTCAGTTGGCTAACGTACACGCCCTTTGGCACAGTGGTTCTACCACAGCTGCGGTCAGAATAATAGTAAAATAGTTTTTGCTCAATTTTAGCACCACAAATATACATACAAATAATCTCTAGATCTCTCGTTTCTTAAATAAGTAACAAGCACTTAGGACTCAAGCTTTCTGTAAAAATATTTCAAATTCTTGTATTTTCAATAGTTTCAAATTAAATTAAAGACCAACAATATTAATATAATATATATAATATAATATTTTTAAGTGGATCTTAAATGAAATAGTTAGACTTGGAATCTTTGTTGTAAATTCTTGAAGCTAAAGATACATTTCATTGTATATCATGAATAAAAGGAATGAGAAAACCTGCCAAACGGTCAATTGTAAATGAAATATGTGACCAAGATTAGGTTGGGTTTTTAGGTCATACTCTATGTGCTCTTGATTTCAGTCCTAGCTCCTTTTTCGGCTATCTTAAAAATATCGTATCGATATTCCGCGGCAAACATTCCACTGTTCCGTGCATGGGGAGTTGAGTTGGAGTGCAGGCCGAAGCAGAGAGCTGAGCAGAACAGACCGGAGCAGAACTGGGGAGAGGTTGTGCCGCAGATACAAACTCAGAGATACACACGCACACCACCGAACAAACGAACACTCGCGCCAAGTGTGAGTGTCTCAAAATTCAAGCGAACAAGTCGCCGCACACCCGATGAGGTCATCAATCACATGCAACAAATGCGAGGGCGGAACGAGAAGATGGCAGGGCAGGGGCAGAGGCAGGAAGCCAATCCTTAAGCCTTTATATACCAACTCTATATTCGCTCAATAAGCCTTCCTTCTTCCCATTTCTATAAATATAAACAAACGCGTATTTTACGGATTTTACCAGAGCAATAATAAATACTAGCACTAGATGCGAAAGTATGTGTTCTCGTTGTGGTGTAAGATAAAATCATCTTAAAGGAGCCTTCGGTTATTTCTGTTATTTGGTTACTTAATTAGTAACTATTTCCATTGTTATAAGTGTTTTACATACTCTTGCCGGGAATTGCAATTAAGTCTTGTTCAGCGTAGAGTCTATGAAGAATATTGTCTAAATTAAATGTTTTGTTTAATTTGAAAATTACAGGACTGACATAATTTGAATGCTTAAATTTTCACAGTTGGACATACATAAATACATATAAGCAAAATTAAAAAATATATGTATACATTTTGAAATATATGTCTTATTAACAAACTCAGAAATATCTTCAATTTTTAGACAATTTTGAAATTTAAAGAACAAAAATATACAGTTCACTATTTAAATTAATAATTAACTAACCTTCGCTAAAGCCTTTATCAAAATTTGAAAATGTCAAACCGAATATAGGCAACAATTTCAATTCTTTTCATTACATTTATTGTATTTCTTTATTGACAGGGAGATTTTTTTACTCACCAAAACTTTGGCGAAGCGCCGGTCCAGCTCGTCCGCGGTGGGCATGGGCTGCTGACTCCGGCTGCGCAGACTGGGCTGCCGGACGTGCTGGTATTGGGAGCTGCAGCCAATATCGTATCGCAAATCCTGCTTCTGCAGCGTGCCGGAGGTGGAGCCGTTGTGGTGGTGCCCATTGCGCATCGAGTGATGGCCGTGATGGTGCGGATGCTGCAGCTGCTCCTCGGCGTCCACATCGGCACTGGTGATAGGGCGCGACTTGACGGCGCCCATTATGGTGGCAAAGCGACCAGAGCCAGTGCCGGAGCCGCACCCGCCCGCGCCCGCGCCCACGCCTACGCCTCCTCCCCCTGGATCCACTAATCCCCGGATCCTCCGCCGCCGGCGTCCTCGATGCTCGCCGCTTGGAGCGCTGTGCTAAGGGACAGCGACAGGGTACCCCATACAGTCCGGCAAAGGGCGCGGGTGCGTTCCGGGCAACTTGAAAGTTGCTCTTTGATTCCGTTGAAGATATCCAAAGCGGCTGCTGCTGTTCTTGTTGTTGCTGCTACTGCTGCTGCTGCTGCTTCAGTGGTTGCTGCTGTTTGTGCGGGCGAGCGTCAACAATTGGCCAATCGAAAATTACGTTTTGTTGGGGTTTTAGGTTTAAAAGAGAATAAACTGCTGTGTTCAAATTTTGAAAATCGAATTTACTTCTTTCTGACAATGTAAGCAAAAACACAATTTGTTGCTGTTGCTGCTGCTGCTGCAGGTTCTGCGGCGACGGCGGCACTCACACAAGCACAGAGGCACTACACACGCACACGAATGCAGGCACAAACACAGACAAAGGCGGATTTTATTGAGAGGCTCCTGCGGCAGGCGACGACGCCTTTTCGTGCTTTGTTCGCTAGCCCTTCGATCGTAAACGTGCTTTCACCTTGAGTATTGCTTCGTTGGCGTATTTGATTTAAACCTGGGCCGAGATTTCGAGGAACCAAGTGCCCCTGCAGTTAAATGCACTTTTTTTGCCGATCGACCGCGCGACGTCCGCGCTTCACAAAAATTCCGAACAGTGTGACCGCCTCCTGAAAAGCTGAAAACATTCAAGTACGACTGCAGATTTATAAAGTTCCGCAAAGAAAAGACTGGATTTTCACATTCACGGTAACTGGCCACACTTAAATGAACAATAACGTAACCGAACTACGTTACGTTAGCCAAAACGTATCTTGCTACGTAATGCAACTGTTTCCAAAGAACAAGGCAATTCGAGATATTTAACCTTTATACTTACTAAAGCTGAATGTTTCTAAAAATATTTTTACGCTATTGGCCTACTAAATCAGCTGGAAGACATTTTACCGAAGACAACAACTAAAGTTAGCAGACAAGAACAGAATAAGTTAATTTTTATTTATTTTTTGGTATCTGAAACACACTAAAATTTGACTTTTGGGATTGATTAGGTTGCTATATACAGATAAATATTTACATATATGTACCCTTAGCGGTCAAAATTGAGAATGAAAAACCGATAGTACGATAAGATGGAAAAAATATTATCGAATGTTTATGATAACTTTGCCGAAAAGGTATGAAACATTGCTAAACAAAAAGGCACAGCAATTTCCGCGCGATATTTAAAAAATATACAAATGCAAAAACAGCCCAAGCCTAGCTTGAGCTGAGAGCTCTAGGAAAGAACCATTTGTAAGGAACGTTTTTCAAAACGCCCACATTGGAGTCACTTAAGAATTCGAAATTCATACATTATTATTTAAAAAAAGGTGTCATAATATATATAAAAATGAAAATAATTCATTTCGAAAAGAACAAACGAATCTGGTTTATTAGATCAATTTTGAAAATTGTTTTTCACCCCCAAGTTCTTCTGAACCCACCGATTTTTCAAAAGTATAAATATAGTCTTTGAAACTACATATGTATATCTTCTGATCGATAGACGAATTTTTACTGACTAACCATCGAATAATGATTTAAAATTCTACGAATTATGTGGGCATTAATTCAAACGATTATTATAATATTGGGCGTTATTTCATATTACATCACGTGATCAATATCAATAAATATCCTCAATGTACACAAAAATTCAAAATCTTTTTAAGTAAAAGATATGTTTATATTATTAGCAGCATAGAAATGATTTCACAGAATGATCCTAGACTATACCTAACGATAGCTTCAAAAGATCGATACCGCACTTTGTTCTACAAACTTAAACGATAGCGATGTGTAGATATTTTTTAGCCATACATATACACCTTTTTAGCCTTTTAACACCTGTTAGGCCGAGAGAGATTATAAAGTCAAGAGGGCGCAAGCGCCAGCGAGAATTATTACAGGCCATAACGCCGTATGGCAGAAAAGTTGCAAGCGTTAGTCACCAAGTAGCAGCAGTTGGAGGAAAGTCATCCTTCGGGAAATTTGAAAGTGCGTGAGTATACAGCGCTGTAAAACCCTTTCAGCGTTTTAACCCTTACCCTATTATTATTAGAATCAGCTCAACTAGAATCGCAATTAGATTTAAGTAAATTACGTCCGTTTTGTACACACTGTGCACGGACCATTAAAGACGCAGAACTCCGTACTGTCCGTACTGTCTGTCCGAGATCCTCTGTTGACACGGGAAGAGCTTAACTCGGATGTTGGGACATCCTCATAAGCTCCAAAAAAAACTTCTATGTGAAGCAACACGAGGGCAGCAGAGGACATCAAATCCTTGCGTCGCGCTTTAAAAAGCGCACCATTATTTTCCATACCTAGATAGCACCTAGTGAAGGCTTTCAAGCCATCTCCCCCTCGAAGTACTTAGCGGTCACACCGCAAGAGGGAAACGGAGAGTAGGTGGGTTTTTAGTGGGTGAGGTAATTCCAAGTCCCACACTTATCGGCTTTCAATGCTTTTCCCCCTATAGAAAAAAAAAAAAAAAAAAAAAATACGCCCACGCATCAGGTGGCATTTTTCGTATCAGGATAAGGGAGACGAGACCATTTATAAATACATACATACACAATTTCACCATTTTAACACCTGTTGGCTGATAGAGAGAGAGAGAGAGAGAGTTGAATGCGAAAGCACCATATGGTAGAAAAGGTGACAGGTAAGTGACGTCACCGAATAGCAGCTGGACGAGAGAGGCAAAAGCCAAAATCCGGAAATAAAATCAAGGGTCAAACCGAAATATTTCCCCATCAAAATACTACGATTTATTCATATAAACATTAAACTTGGTCTTTCAATGTAAGTTAAGTTTGCTACAAGATATTACTCACACAAAACCCGAAAATGTTATATACCCTAATGTTCTAAAGCATAATTTAGCTAAAGACAGTTAAAGGCGTGTTATAATAACATGAATTACATAATTAGGAATTTTTACTATGTCCACACAATCAGGGATTGCGCCACGAGAGAAAGATTAAAGGTGGGAGTCACTTGGTGGGCGGCAACTCAAAGTCCCCCATCAGCTTTTAATGCTTTTCCACCCTTTAGGAAAAAAATTGCAGTCACGCACAGGTAGCTTTTAAGGACCAGAAGGTCGGGTAATTGTCTCCATAATTGGCTGTCGGAGAAAGCTACTTGAACCGTATACAGATTCTAAGAAAACTTTTGAAAGGAGTTTTATGTTAGGCGAGCAGAGTTAAATCCTGAAAAATATTGAGGCCTTTAAACGGTTTTATTCCCTTTTATTTATTACACTAAGTTAATTTGTTTATTTATCTCTCCAAATTAACGATTTTTGAATATAATGTTCTTCAGAACTGCCATAATAACCTGTGAAATATAAAGCATTACAAAAGAAATAAATAAAATTCCTTTGATCCGATTATTTCTATGGCCATGTTTAAAGAAGCTGCCCATAGAACACCCAAACAAGAAAGGAAGTTAAAAAAGTTTCAGATTGCACATTGGTCGTAAATAATTAATACAACCTTAATTCTAGATTTAAATTTATGTTAAAAAACAACGAACTAATGCCTGCATTCACCTATACATACTATATTTATAATGATAGTTTCTATGGTCTATGGTCGATAAAGTCGTCCGATTTTCTCCAAATTTGAACCTAAATTATCCTTTGATCTGCGGACCCACGGGAGCAGGTAAATACAGCCGACGAGCCTAAAAGTCGGAAACGGACTTAAACGTACCGTTACGAAAATCACAAATTTTAACAGAGCTGCAAACCGAAAATTAGAAAAATAAAATCAAATAATGCCCAACTAACAAACTTTGACTTATTATATGATTAAATTCTTATTTAGTGGCTCTTTAACCGCCCACGGCTTCTCGGGTTATGTTTTTTGAGAAGCGCCAGAAAATAGCTCCCAAGCAGCTGTGCTGGCGTTGGGAGATCCGTGGTGCTAAAAAAACAAAAAACATGGCTTTAATGGAAAAAAGTTTATTTTACGAAATACCATGAAGCTATAATAATTTATGTATCTTTGGCAGTCTGTTGTTTGGATCACTTGTTTCTCTTTCACATCCATATTTAAATTAAATTTTTATTTTTATTATATGTGTTTCTATAGTGTAATAACTTGAAACAAGGAAGGAAGCTAACTTCGGCTCGCCGAAGTTTTATACCCTTGCAGATAGAGCTTCGATGACTAGGAATCCATACAATATAAATTAAATATATATTTGTGTTAAAAACAATGAAGTAATACCTGCTTTCATTTCATTCACCTTTACATATTATATTTGCAGTTTTACAGTCACAGATTTGCATTTTTCTCCACATCTAACGATCGTTTGTATGGCACCTATATGATATAGTTGTCCGATTTTCATAAAATTTGACACAAAATTTAAGACTGATATAAAATGGCTATACCTCAAATTTGATGAAAATCTGTTAAAAACTGAAAATGTTATAATTTTTAATTGTCTTAATTTCTCGATCGTTTCTATGGAAGCTATATGATATAGTTGTCAGATTTTCATAAAATTTTAAACAAAATTTTAGAATAATATGACTATATCTCAAATTTGATTAAATTCTGTTGAAAACTGAAAATGTTATACTTTTTTTTGTAAAAATTTTCCGATCATTTCTATGACAGCTATATGATATAGTCGTCCGATCCGGCCCGTTCCGACATATATACGAGTGAGAGTATATAGAAGGCTAACTACAAAGTTTCATTCAGATAGCTTAAAAACTGAGGGACTAGTTTGCGTATAAACGGACAGACGGACAGAAGGACAGACGGACAGACAGACATGGCTAGATCGACTCGGCTATTGATCCTGATCAAGAATATATGTACTTTATATGGTCGGAGGTGCCTCCTTCACTGCGTTGCAAACTTCTGACTAAAATTATAATACCCTGCAAGGGTATAATAAGTGTGGGGAGGAGTTCAATAGAAGTTTACGAAATTGTGGGGGTTTATGAATGTAAGAAATGTCGGGTGGGTTTTGCAATTCTTTAATAATACCCGCAATTAAGGGAACTTGAAGGTCCTCTGCTAAGTCAATGTAATGGATGATACACTGAGCACCAGAAGTTCTACGCAGGATCTCATTATGGAAGACCTGGATGCGAAATACAAAGACTTTAGTTCCGTATCTCCAAGTGGGTCAAGGATGCATTTGTTTATCCAGACCTTTTTGCCGGGCTTAGGTTATTGTTTACCTAAAGCAGACTTCTGGCATCATTCTCCAATGAACGCCTAACTATCATCGTATGGTTGGCGAAGGTTAAAAAATATGGATTTTTATAAAAAAAAAATAATCTGCTTGGAACGTATCGTTATCGTTTGGTTTCCCGCCAACAATCATTTGATTTTGAATTCGAATTTCGTTTTAATATCGAGCCACACTGGGCTGATTAGTACATGGGCCCGCGACATCTGGCAACACTGGTTCATGAGGCTTTTCCGTTTTCTTTGAAGAACGGCCGATGGTCACTTTATATTAAGTTAATCTGTTTACTTTTCCATTTGTTTAAAAATATGCAATTTTTTGAAGTTTAAGATACACTTTGAAATGGGAACTCCTCGCAAGAACTTCAGCAATTTTCTGTCATTCAACCCGCGGGCGGGTCAGTATCCGTCTCAGTCCACGGACTACAGATCGCAACAGTTTGGTGGCCAACAGACGCATCAGCAGGGAACCTTTGGCTTCTACGAGGACAAGCAAGGCTCACAGAAGCCTCAGCATAATACGCCGCACTTTTACCAGAACAAATCGCCACAGGAGCAACAGAGACACCGACCTTACGGGCAGGGTCGTGGTTTTGGACGCGGAGGAGGCTTTAATCGTAGGGGTCAACAGAACCGAGAGCAGGGTCAAAGACACAACCACCAGAACAGCAGAGAAAACAACCAGAGCGGGAGTGCTTACGCGCAGTACTTTCACCCCTCAATGCTGGAGGATCCCTGGCGGGATCTAATGGAACGTCACGAGGCCATTCACGGATCCAGCACAAGCCAAACCCCAACCAAGAAAGTTGAAGCTAATTAGAACTAGTTATTTACCAGTTTTAAGACGCACATACATCTTGTAAAATGTAAAAAACTTAGTTATCAATATCGGTAAACGAAATGCAGACTTAAATAAATAATAAATCCCCATGATAAGCGTGGAATTGTAAACAGAAGTGCGACCTATCCAGACAAAGATGATCGCTTGATTGTAACGTTTTATACATTTAAGCAACAGTTCCCAATACATGAAACTCGTGTATACATTAATAAACTTAAGGCTAGCGTTTATCTCCCTTGAGAGAGCTGGGGAGCTAGAAGTGCTGCTGCTGGTGCTGCTTCCTCTCCAGATACTTTTCCCAGTCGGTTGCGATTCGATTGTATATACCCATGGCGGCCCGTGCGTCCTCCACTGAGTTGTGCTCGCCTGTCTGAATCTCTTGTCCCAAAACTGCTAATGTCAGGCGCTTCAGACTGGGGGTATGGCCATTGGAGACAAGCTTGCATAGCGGCTTGTAGCGCGAAGTGTCTCGGATGTGTTCAAATGGATGCCGAATGTTGAGCACGGCAAGATCGTTGCGCAGGGCATGCCCGACCAGAATCCGGCCGTGCAGCAGCTTTACCACCTCATCCTGCACGACATCGAAGTCCTCGCCATTGGCAATGTCATGCGGGCGAATGCCAGACACGCTGGTACGGTAGTCAGTGACCTCCAGGCGAGGCTTCACATGCTTGTCCAGCAACACCTCGCCCACTCGGTTCACGATGGACACTCTGGCCAGCATGTCGTCATTCCCATTGTGGCCCACACCGACCATTTCACAGTCCATGGCCAAATAGCAGTTGCGCTGCGCCTTCTTTCTGATGCGCGTGCGTGCAGACTTCGTCAGCGCGGGAGATGTCTTCTCCGTGGACTGGTTCTCGCTTCCCGGAGCGGTTGCAGGAGTCGACGCGGCCACAGCCATCCAGTTGGAGCCAGCTGCACGACGACTCACGTTCGGCTGCTGCACCTGCAAACTCTCCATCGATGTTTGAAGTTTGCGCTGTCGCGGGGAAACCGCATTTTTCGAACCGCCACTGTTGTTATTGTTGTTATTGGAGCTGGCACTACCGCTGGCCGTATTCGGCGCTTGGCCCCTGGCCCGCGCGCGGTTCAGGTCGAACTGCTTCTGACGTTGTGTAGCGGACATGGCTCCGGGTCATCTAAATATTCCACTTATATATCCAGAATTTCCGACGAAATGTGTTATTTTGACGTATCTCGAATTTGACCCGTCGGTATGACCGTTTTGCGCTGCGGAGAAAATACTGCCAACCAGAAGGTTTCAGTATTTATGATATTTATATAATTTGGATAATATTTAATTGTACGAAATCGAACAAATAGGAATTAATTAATTATTGCACAATTTAATCCTATCACATTTATCTATACGAAAACATAGTTCGCCAACTGATTTTTATAATTTTTATAGTTAGCAGATCAAACAAAATCACCAATTGATAGTGACGACTGCACCTCCAACTTAAAAATCGTTTGATTTTCGTGACAAATAAATAAAAATTTTTAAAAAATATGCATGCATGTATTAAATGATTTGAAATTTTGTTTTTTAAGCTGTTCTCCTAGTGGTCTAGAGGAAAAACCATAAACCTGTATAACAAATTTAACAAGTCAAGCTATATAATAAGTGTCTTGCAAGGAATCTGAACCAACAATCAACATAAAAATATCACCGATATTTTCATGAATTCAGCCGCTTGCAATTCTCCCATTTCTACAGAACGTATAGGTGTTTAAAAAATCAAAATTCCCACAAAATAATGCAATGCACCTGACATTATTTATGTTCGGAGTCATAGCATTTTCGAAACATCGTCAAACGGTCATACATAACCATTTTCACTATTTGTTTATATTACTGTTGCAATTTTAAAAATGTGTGCATAATGCAATGTAAACTGCAAACCAATTCCTCCACGCCTTTAAAGGTTGTACCACAGCCCCCGGATTGAGCCAGCGCACCGGCAGCAGACCTCAGCCGCATTCATCACGTGTGGACAGTCCAATTCAAAATTGATTTGTACGGGAAGAAGCGCCGCTTTAGCAAATAGGAGCGGATAAACGATCTGGAAGAGCGATCATGGCCGGCAGAGAGGCCCAGATGCAGTCCTTTCACACGCGCTGCGGCCACTCCATCCGGCTTTACAATGGCAACCGTTCGGCGCAGCGTTCTATGCGGGACTTCAGTCATGCTTTGGTATTCAGCGCTGAGCCGCTCGAGGACGATGTGCTATTCGAGGTAGTCATTGAGAAGAAGGTGAGTAATAATTGACTTTCCGGAGATCCATTTCTAATGCGCATCCATCAGAACACGTCATGGGGCGGCAGCATCGAGATCGGAGTTACCGCCGAGTCGCCGGATGATCTGGAATTGGTTGCCTGTGCCACCGCCATGCGAAATGGCACTTGGGTCATGTCCGGCATCGATGTCCGCAAGGACGGGCGCCGCCTATTCGAGTTCTACGGCACCGATCTGGAAACACTGAATGAGAACGATCGCGTTGGCGTCATGCGCACCTCCAGCAACGACTTGGTGTTCTATGTAAACGGCGAATCGCAAGGCGTGGCGGCTAAGAACATGCCCAAACCCCTGTGGGCTCTCGTCGATCTGTATGGGCGTTGTGTGCAGGTTTCGCTCTGTCCCCGGGATGCCAGCGGCTCCGGAGAGGTAACTATCAATCTATTCGGCGGGATCTCCCATTTATAAGGGCTATTTATTTGGCTTGACAGCTGCTGGACTCACCCCTGCAGCAGCCTCTACAACAGGTTGTTCAGAACCTGGACGTTGCCATGAACGTGAACATTGTTGTGGACTCCGACGGATGGATGCACGGCACCGGTGGCGGTTCTGAGGATCGCCTGTGCTTTCACACCCGCTGTGGATCTCTGGTCAAGCTCTCTCCGAACTTTCGATCCGCCGAACGCCGTCGGCCGCTGGACGAGTTCAACAATGGCGTGGTAATGACCCACCGGCCGCTGCGAGACAATGAACTGTTCGAGATACGGATCGACAAGCTGGTGGACAAATGGTCGGGATCCATTGAAGTGGGCGTCACAACGCACAATCCGACGGTGCTGCACTTCCCTGCCACCATGACAAATATGCGTTCGGGCACTATAATGATGTCAGGCTGTGGAATCCTGACCAACGGCAAGGGTACTCGCCGCCAATATGGTGAGTTCAATCTGGACGAATTACGAGAAGGAGATCGCGTTGGAATGATGCGCAAGGCCAATGGCAACCTGCACAACTACATTAACGGCCAGGATCAGGGTGTGGCCGCCACCCGGGTAGCCTCCACCTTGTGGGGCGTCATTGATTTGTATGGTATGACGATTAAAGTGACCATAGTTGACCGCGACGAGCGTGAACAGCAGAACCTGGTGACCAGGCGGAACAATATTGTTGCGGGCATGACGAGTGCTGCCTGCTCGAGTGGCTCCGGAGTCCAGCATTCGCAGCAGCAACAGCAGCTCTCAGGCACACCGACCCTCAGTCTTTTGAGTCCAGAGAGCGAGATGAACGTGGCTGGTGCAGCTGGCGGCCTGAGCGAGACTATTTCCAGCACCAGGGCCATAGCCAGAAACGATGATCGTCTAACCTTCCATCACATTTGTGGCACTCATGCCACCGTCACCCAAAGCGGACGTACGGCTCTGCGCCCCAAGTGAGTGTTAGCTTTGCGATATTATCAGGCCGATTTAAAATACATATGTATATACCCTGCAGCGCTGCCGACGACTTTAACAATGGCGTTGTGCTAACGCGTCGGCCCCTTCGTCCCAACGAACTTTTCCAGGTGCGGCTCGAACGTGTTGTTACCAAGTGGGCGGGCTCCGTGGAAATGGGCGTGACGACGCACAGCGCCGACGAACTGGACTTTCCGTTCACCATGACTAATGTGCGGTGAGTATTTTTTTCGTCTGCACTAACGTTAAGTTAAGACAAAGGGATGTTATTCAACAGTTCGGGCACCTGGATGATGACAGGCAACGGGGTCATGCAGAACGGCGTCACCGTAATCGAACAGTATGGCCAGAATTTGGATCGCCTGCAGGTGGGCGATCGTGTGGGCGTGGTGCGCAAGGATGACGGCACTGTGCACTTTTGGGTGAATGGTGTGGACCAGGGTCCGGCTGCCAGCAATGTGCCGGAGCGCGTCTACGGAGTTATCGATTTGTACGGGCAAGCGGCGCAGGCGAGTATCGTTGACACATCAGAGTGCGGGAGTCCGGACACCGGAAACTCCACCATCTCGAACACAACCTTGTACAGCGAGATCCCCTTGCGCTTCCATAGCATCCATGGCGCCAATGCCGGGATCTCGAACAGTGGATTGACCGCCTCGCGTCCCAATTCGCTAGCAGAGTTCAATGACGCCATCGTGTTCAGCAATCGTCCGCTAAGGCAACGCGAACTCTTCGAAGTGGAGCTGGAAACGATGGTCCGCCACTGGTCGGGCAACATTGAGATCGGTGTGACGGGCACCCGGCCGGAGGACATCCAGCTAGCTCCAAACGCCACCGATCTGGAGGCCAATGATACCATCATTCTATGCGGGCCGATGATCTTTCATAACCGCAAGACCATACGCACTAATATCCTACTGGATCTAGACACTTTGGGTCCCAGCACCAGGGTGGGCGTAATGCGCAATGGAGACTTCATCCACTTCTTTGTGGATGGAATGGACCAGGGACCGGCTTGCGAATGCCATGCACCCAATATTTGGGCTATCATCGATTTGTACGGGCAATGTGCCCAGGTGAGTCTCACGCAGACACAGTTGGATATCCGGGCACCGTATGCGACCAGCGAGAACTCGCAGAGCTGTCAGGCCACCTCTGTTATCCAGCATCCGGCTATGGAGACAAAGCACCGCTGGACGTGCGTCTCGGGAAATGTTAGCCTCACCAAGGATGGACGGAAGCGTCACGGTTTACGGGAGCAGCGGCACCGCTCTCCCACTGTTTGGTATTTTCCGAACACCCACTCAGTGTGGGTTCTCCCTTTGAGATTAAGCTGACATCGATTAATCCCATGTTTGCAGGTAATTTTAAGCTTTTATAAGTATATACTACTACTACATTTTAGCCTATATTTAAGAGTATACTAGAATTGATTTGTTCAAAGATGAACTTCCTTAATACTTGCACAGGTTGCCTCAGTATCGGCGTAACGGATCTTAACTTAAGCGACGAGAGCGTGCGGAAGAAGCTCCCCACCAGCCTGCGACGGATTCCGGCCAACGTTTGGTATGTGAGCGGGAACGAGGTACGCTTCAATTCGAGCTGCCTCCAGCGCTCATTGGCCTCGCTGGAGTGGTTAAGGGTGGACGATCGCATCACATTGGAGCGCGTAGAGAATTCACTAAACATGCTACTGAATTCGGAGAACGTCAACATTCAGTTTCACAATGTGCCCAACGATGTCTACGTGGTGGCGGAGCTGCGAGGGTCAACAATGGGTATTCAGGTGATATCGGCTCAAGGTCCAGCATCGCCTCTACGACCCTGCAGTCTACGGCTGCAGGACTCGATGGATTTCGGCATGGATCCACTGAACAAGCAGGATAGCTCAATGCTAGAGTCCATCGATTCCGAAGCGCAAAACTACGAGTTTGTGGACGTAGCACAGAAGAATGCGCGACTGAGCGACGATCGCAGAAGTGTAGCCAGAATCAAGTCGTATAATCAGGCCATCGTTTGCCTAAATAAGCCGCTGTGCAAGGGCGAGAGCATCAGCATCAAGGTTGACGGTCTGAACAACAAGTGGAAGGGTACCCTCGGCCTGGGTGTCCTGTCCGCCACTCCGCAATCTGTGCCCGTTTCACTGCTGGACTTCAAGCGAGGCTGCTGGCTAGCCACCCACGACTATGTGAACGTCAACGGCCAGGTGATGGCATCCAAATACGGTGACGCTTTGGACCAGATTCAGATTGGAACTGTCATCACTTTGACCCTCACACATGCCGGAATGCTAAGTAAGTAAAACCTTTGTGAATACAAGTTGGAATTAAACACTTATTTCCATAGTTGTCATGGTTGGCTCAACCAATCTTGAGGATATGGCCAGCGGCCTACCCAACCACGTATATCCCGTGTTCGATGTGTACGGCAAATGCGAGAAAATAACCTTGATAACAGGCAGTGATGCTGGACGCACTGGTAATGCCAATGGCACGCCCATCCTGGAGGCTCCCGAGGCCTTGGAGCTGGACAATGGAATGCCGCAGCAGTGCGAAAAAGCGCATCTTGAGATGCACGAGAAGGAGAAGGACACGGAGCAAATGTGCGAAATTTCAGCCAGGGATGGTCCATCCACATCTGGTGCTCAATCGAATTCCATGTAAGTGTATTCGTTCAATTTCTATTAGTCTTCATATTGTTTAATGAGCTTAATGGTCCTAGGACTCGTTCGGTTATGGAAAGTGTTTCCGAGAACTTGCTGCTTAATATTTCCATTAAGAATCGAACTCTAGAGCAGCAGCGCAATGACCTTGGCGGATCCTCATCGACCTGGTGAGTTAATTTATATTCGCAACTTTATTTGAAAGACATAATAACAAGATATGAAAATGCGCTCTGCTTATTGTTATTAAAAGGTCCGAGTTAATTCTCTTACTACAATCTTTTTATTTACCTTTACTCTCAGTTGTCTTCGTGAGTCCCTCCAGCTGCAGCACAATACGAATTTAAACATACAACGCAGCCAAAGCACACAGAGATTCCAGAACTCATTAAACACTTCGGCAACTGCAGCTGGGAGTACCACGAATGTCAACGTTCAGCATCTGAGCAATTCCGCAGTATATGACACGAATAAGGAGTACGATGAGCTGCCCAATCCCCCAATTACTTCGACAAACTCTGCAGATGAAGCTCCAGGAGCCACAGCCGTCATAGGTAGCACAACGAACGATCACAGCGAGAACAATGCGGCGGCAGCGTTGGAGCTGAGCACCAGCAACGAACGCGAAGCGTCTGGAGAGTCAGCAACTAACGACAACGTCCTGGAGGACGATGAGATCGACTATATGAACCACCTGCTGTTGCTGCAACAACTGCAACAGAACGAGTATACTCGCCACCACCTTATGCCCGACCAGGCGTCGTTACTAAATCTCGACCTGCAATCGCTCAACTCTCTGGAATCGGACACGAACTCGGCTGGCCAGGTACGCCGGGTGGAGGAACCGACTCGCTACGCTCAGCAGAGCAGAACGACTGCGAATACCTCCGGCAGGTGAGACGCTTCTGTGCCTCGCTGGTTCTGCCGCAGGCATTCTTCGACAGTCGACTGGAGCCGGTGTGCTTCTGCCTGAAGTGCAGCGGGCCCAGCAATGCCGGCAATGGGGACAAACTGGAGGGCTGGGTTTACTTTAAGCTCAATCAGCAGACAGTCAATGTGCTGAGCACCTCGGCAACGACTGCATCGGCGAGCAGCGGTGTTTCCTCGTCGACAGTTCCGCAAGTGCACTTCGATCTGAATGGCGACTGGCTGCCCTTTTACTACATGACACGGGTGGACAAAATAAGGGCCATATTGGATCGCGGCCAGCCGCTCCCGCTGGAAACGGACCCGGATGAAGAACCGGCCGCTGCTGCGCTAAAAGACGAGCCGGGCACCCGTCTAGAGCTCTACTACTCACCTAATGCCACCGTCATTGAACCCGTACTGCCTCAACATCATTTTGCCTCCGAGCAGGGCCTGCATCGCATCTCCACCTCCTTCGAGGTCTACGTTCGACGCCAGTCCATTTCAGGCGTAACTACGGGCAAAGCAGCAGCCGAAGCCAAGCGGCGCAGTCTAGGATCCGGCGATCATGACCATTGTAATACCGGCCAGGGGGCCGAGGGTGTGGGAGCCACATCATCGGCTTCCCTTAACGAGTCGTCCGTACATCTCTTGAACGATCTCTGTTGGTTCACCAAAGAGGCTGGCGCCTGCATAATCAACGCTTTGATAATTAAACTGGACAGGATGGAGGATCAGGAATCTCATTGAGCACACGACAACACATCCTATCTACACTAGTCACGGTCTATAATCCAATAATCCCCACATTATATTCACGCTTAGCAGCTAGCCACACCAAAATGCTTTCGCATTCCCCTTTGTAAACGGATTTTTATTGTATTGCAAAGATAAAAGAAGAAATTTAAAAAATGAATTGAGCAAAAAAAAAAACAATTACTTTTTTGTCTCCTGGTTATTGTATTCTTTGCAAAGTGCGTTTAAGTCTGGTCAGAGATCTTAAAATAAATCAAAATGGATCCGATTTAATATTAAAACAACAATTCTGAAAAAATACAAATTGGTTCAGAGGAGATGAAAATATGTTGAAAACAGCTAAGTTATAATTGTTTTTGTATTAATTTCCAGAACATTCCTATGTGGATGGACATACAGACCAGACATTGCTAAATCGACTGGGCTGTTGGTGCTGATCAAGAATATATAGAAGACAACGGTTGAGTCTAAAAGCGTTCTCTGTTCGACTTTATACAATATTTTAGTCTGAATTCAGCTTTAGATCCAGCACAAAAATTTTGAGCCGAAGAAAAAACCTTAAAACGTTACTTATCTTAATACAAATGTTTTCTTCTTGATTTTTTAAACATATTGTTCCCTCTCTCCTTCTATATAGTTTTAATAACATATTTACATTCACTTCCATTATTCATAATTTTTCAAAAGACTTTGGCGATAAAACCCTATAAAACAGACGTTTACAGTAGTGACCTGTGATTATAGAAAAAAAATTTCGTTAATGGAAGCGAAACGATATATAAAACGTTAATTTTACTTTTGCAATGTTTCATTTTTTTATTGGATTAGTATATTGGAAAAACGAAAAAGAAACAAAATAACAAATTAACGATATTTTTATAAAATTGATGCTTATATTGAATCGAAACGGAAGCTTCTCTGTATATCCCTAGTAAAAGCCCCTGAATAACATGCTAATATGTGAACTACGAATTATTAAATACAATAAAAGGTACGTCTGAACCCAAACACAAACAAATTAAAACAAGAAAAGAAGCTAACTTCGGCACGCCGAAGTTTATATACCCTTGCAGATAGAACTTCTATGACTAGGAATCCATACAATATAAATTATATATATTTGTGTTAAAAACAATGAAGTAATACCTGCTTTCATTTCATTCAATACATATTATATTTGCAGTTTTACATTCACAGATTTGAATTTTTGCTCCACATCAAACGGTCGTTTGTATGGCACCTATATGATATAGTTGTCCGATTTTCATGAAATTTGACACCAAATTTAAGACTAATATAAAATGGCTATATCTCAAATTTGATGAAAATCAGCTGAAAACGTTATAATTTTTCATTGTATTCATTTCTCGATCTCTTCTATGGGAGCTATGTATATGATATAGTAGTCCGATTTTCAAAAATTTTACATAAAAGAGTAGAGTATAATAAATGGCTATATTTAAATTTGATCCAATTCTATTGAAAACTGAAAATGTTAAAAATTGTTTGTAAAAATTTTCCGATCATTCCTATGGCAGCTATATGATATAGTCGTCCGATCCGGCCCGTTCCGATATACATACGAGTGAGAGTATAAATAAGGCTAACTACAAAGTTTCATTCAGATAGCTTTAAAACTGAGAGACTAGTTTGCGTAGAAACGGACAGACGGACACGGCTAGATCGACTCGGCTGTTGGTCCTGATCAAGAATATATATACTTTATATGGTCGGAGGTGCCTCCTTCACTGCGTTGCAAACTTCTGACTGAAATTATAATACCCTGCAAGGGTATAAAAATAAACACTAGCTTTACTAAATTTTATATCATGCCGATATGTAATTTGCGAACTATGGTTTTATAAAATAGAAATAAAATACGTTTTTAATTGGAATCATCATAGTTTTTATTTGATTATTTGAATTCCATTCTTTTAGTGTCGCTTGGTTGGTTTTGTTATTCAAATATATGAAAAATGGTCGATTAGAAATTGGTTTAGGTTTGTTTCTCATCTTCTAGTGTTTGCAATCGTTCACTCCACAAGCAGCAGCAGCAGGTGTGTTCACTCCCTCCCTTTTCACTCCTCTAGTTTTTCTAACATTTATCGTTTACTCGTGTCCCGTCCTTCTTTCCTGGATCTACCAGCGGCTGCATTTGATTTTAATCGAATTACTCTTATGCTAGTTGGATTGGTTTGTTGAATTTTCACTTGCTGTTTGATTTTGTTGGATTCTGGTTTACTCTGCTAGTCCTGAAGCCAGTAGTGCATATACAAAGGTCGTTTCTCATATATGTTTACCGTTTAAGTTATCGTAATTATTATTATTATTATCATTAACGTTAGGCCAATACCGTGGATAGCCGGACAACCGGGTAGTCGGAGGGGAGCCAAAGCTCACTCCACATCCATGGAGGGATCGTTTCCTGCCGCACTCTGCGCGTTGTTATCCACGTCCATTTTGTCGCCAGCGGCGTTCGGCTCGCCGCCATTCTGTTCCGCATTGGCCTCTCCATCCTTGGGCGGTGTTGCCGTCTTTGGAGCCGGTTTCGGTTTCGCCCGGTTGATTACCGAGCTAACGCAAGCATTTAGCGTTTGGACTTCATGGCGCACGGCGGAAACCTGGACGGGGCTGTCGGCGGTGCGTGGCGACTGTGCGAACTTGGACAGGTGAGTGTCCAGCCACTTTTGCGCCTTGTCTGCCGTCTCCGAGATGTTGATGAACTCGGTTTCCGTTAAATGATCGTATTTGGGCACGCCCTTGCGGAACTCGGCCACCGCCAAGCGTGCAATAGCAATGCTGCCCTTGAGCTCTTCGAAAACAGCCGGGCACTGCTCATAGTCGTTAGCGCGTACCTTGATGGGATCCGTCTTTTGATGCAGTGCCTGCAGGCGGCTAGTGTAGGTCTCGCGCTCGCAGTCCTCGCCATCCTCGTATAGCCAGTTTTCGAGATCATTCAACTGGGCCACGATAGCCTCGCGCTCAGACTCCACCACAAATCGCTCCAAAGGTCCATCCTGGAAAGCAAAAACGAGAAAGAATTATTATCATTTCAAATGAATTTAAATTGTAAGTAGGGAAGCGCGTATATATTTTTCCCCATAACGGGGTCCACCAACATGTCTTTAGTAATTCCAATGACATAGTTCTTACCTGCAGTTTATTGCGCATATCGTAGACAAACTCTTCCAAGGCATTTTTGGCATCGATGCGTTCCGTCTCCTTTTGATCGTTTCCAATCATTTTTGACTCCTGCTGTGTGAAGTTGCCCAGGTCAATGGGGCTGAAGCCGTGTGTGGTGCACTCCAGGGGCAGTTCGGTAGCCTTGGAGGCCTTCTTCTTCTTATCAGTGCCCTAAGCAGCGAGAAAAAGAGATCGAGTATTTTATTATTATTTTACAGTCAACTATAACTGGTGTAGCAAATTAATTCAATTCAATTTATCCCAATAGGAAACGGATATTGGAGCAGCAAAAAATGTGACACATCAACAATAAAGCGAAGAGAGAAAACAGCTCCAAGCGACAGCCTACAATATGAGCAGCACAAGGAATTTCGTGGGTGTTTGTAGGGTTTTATGGAACAGTTCACACAAAAAAACTTGTGACAAATTTTGTTGAATTTTTAATTTTGAACAAGGAGCGCGTATTGTTTTCTCAGGTATTTTGCACAACAAATAATAACAGAAATGTATATTTGTGGAAATAATAAATCAATTTGCAAATGGTGTAAGCTTGTTGAATTACTGTTTACGTTGGGAGCACATAGGGTAGGCGGCTTATGAGCGGTCTTCTTCATTCGTTTCATTTTTGGTGGAAATGAGAGATGCAGACACAAAAATTTTAAAACTCACACTTGTTTTCATTGTGTGCTTTAAATTTTGGTTCTTTTCACTCTCATTCGTTAATTACAATTTTCCAATTTTTTGACGCACAAATTTTGGGAACAAAGAATTTACATTATTTGGTGTATTTTGTTATAATTTCTTATTTTTGCTTTTGAATTGAAATTTGAGAAATTGTGGAAAACGTACCGAACTAAACCAGCCCTTGACCCGCTGTGCCCACCCTTGTCCGCCAGGTGATGAGGCTGTTGATGTATTATTATCATCCTCATTCTCACAATATGCCTACGAGAGATCAAAACGCGCCCGTTCGCAAGCAAACATATCCAAAACAAACAAACGAAATCAAATATTGGAGTGGTATATTTATATATAGATATACATATATATATATATATATTAGTGATTTATATCAAAGACACATACATCATACATACATATGTGTCTGTATAAACACTACTGCGATACAGCCCCGGTTTTCACATGCCCGGTTATGGGTAACACAATCAATAAATTCGATTTGAACAATTTATGGCCCTGGCTCAACTAGAGTTGCTTTTCAAAACATTGAAAACCGGGGCAAGTACCAACATTTCAATTTGAAATTTTCATTTTAATAGTAATTTAAATTAGTCGATAAATGCGAATCGGCTACTAGATTGACCTGATTAAGTTAACCTATTGAACTATTAATTGAGATGGGCAAGCACCATGAAACTACGAAAACCATGAGAAAAAAAAAAACAACTAAATTATATAATGGGTTAAATTAAAATAATAAAACAAAAGGAAATGCTGATAACCAAATTTTACAAAAGCTAAAAATATCAGTAAAGTGGCTAGATTTAGCCGCAAAAATGTAAAATATGACCGCATTGCATGTGAACAAAATGATAGATAACTAAAAAAAAATAAAATGACGAACAGCAGATCAATGCCTATCCACAACACAATATTATGATGAGTCTGTGAGTAGGTTGACAAAATAACTTAAGGCGGACTCACCTCCGGCTGGCCGTCCGTGGGTTCACCGGCAGCATTAGCGCCTCCAGCCTGCTCGGCGAGCTTCTCCTCACTGGCAGCCTGCTCAGCAGCTGCAGCTTCTTCCGCTTCCTTCTTTTCCACCAGGGTGGCCGAGGAGATCAGCACGATGCCGTTGTTGTTAATGCGCACCTTCAGTTTAACATCCTGTCCCTCACCGCGCTCCGTCGGCTTCACATCCTTGACCTTCCACACACCAATCGTTTGATCTGGATATGGCACTTGCTGTCCATAAACGATCGAAACGTTGAACGGCCCCTTGCGGTTGATGGTCAGCAGGCGGCTGAACGGCGACGCATGGAACTGCGGAAAGATCTCGATTTCTCCCGGAGCAGCGGAACCCTCACCGTCCCACAGCACTTTCACGGCGTAGTTCTGTATGTCTGTGACGCCAAACTCGCGAACGCGAACCGCCGGCGACATAATGGCGCACTGCAGAGCAGCACCGCGGGAAACAGCCTCGTCCTGGTTCAGAGTAGTGCTGGCCGGCTTGTTGAAGACCTAGGGAAGACAGTAAAATTGTTGTAGATTATAGTACTTCATTTTATGCAAAAGTAGGTGAAACTCACCTGCTCGATTAGCTGCTTTACTGCTGGAATGCGCGAGCTGCCACCGACAATCTCCACCGAGTGGATGTCGTCCAGCTGCAGCTTGGACTCAGCCAGCAGACGCTTGAACGTCTGCTCCACGCGCTGGAAAACGGGAGCGCAAAGCTCCTCCATCTGCGAACGTTGCATTGAGGACGAGACATCGATATCCTCCAGGAAACATTCAATGTTCAGCGGCAGCTTTGTGCTGTTGGCAGACATCTGCTTCTTTAGCTTCTCAATCTCGGTGAGCAAACGCAGATTGGCACGGGCATTGGTCTTTGAGTTGATCTTGTAACGCTCCTGGAACTCCTTGGAGAAGTAGTCTGCCAACGCAAGGTCAATGTCCCGTCCGCCGATCTGGTCCCAGGTGCTGGCCAGCATCTTCAGCTTGCCTTTGGTGAAGGTACAGGCACTGACCTGCAGTGACGAGTGCCCAAAGTCCACGAAAATCACGTTGCGCGGCTTGTCCTCGAACAGATCGTTCTTGTAAAAGCCGTAGGCCAGCGCCGTGGCCGTCGTTTCGTTCATCAGTCGCAGAACGTTCAGCCCGGCGATCTGGGCAGCATCCAGCAGGGCTCGGCGCTCTGCGTTGGTAAAGAACACGGGACAGGCGATAACGCAGTCGTTAACCTGCGTCTGCATCGCGGCCGCCGATGTCTCCTTTAGCTTGGTGAAGAGCATCGCCGTCAGCTGCTCCGGCCCGAAGTGCTTATCCTCCCCCAGGTAGTTCACCTTGATGCCGATACTGCCGTCGCCGCGCGCCTCGACGCGCGCTGGAATGCTCGTGAGTTCGTGTTGTACATGGGGATCGTTGAATTTACGGCCGAGCAAACGCTTGAATCCACCAACTGTGTTTTTCATGTTTGTCACCTGCTGGTTCTTGGCGGCCACGCCAATGATCCGTTTCTTTCCATCGAAGGCCACAAAGGAGCTGCAAAACGTAAGGTTCAAATTATGGGTTAGCGGTTGGCTCAACTGAACAGATCATACTAAATATGGATATAAATCGAGAAGTGTGCGTTTCTCTCTAGTCAACCATCGTGTTTAAGTGGAAAGCTACTAAGGCGGCAGCTGTCCACGATTAAACTTCATACTGAACAAAGTCGAGATTTTAATTATTTTTTAGAAATTTCAATTTGCAAATAAAAAGATTAATTAAAAATTTATATTATTTAAAGAATATAATTATTGAATTATAAAAGTATTATTCATGTATTCCGTGGGCGTATGAAAAAGATTAAAACAAATAATTCCTTAATCGGCAGACCAACATATGCGGGCTCCACTGTGTCTGTATACGACAGTCTGTTCTTATGTGTGCTGTCTGTGTTTGCCGGCTTTGGATTTATTTTTGACAGCTTTGCACGTTTTTTTTTCCCTTTACCCTATCTCTGCTACTTTGCTCTCTTACTCTCTTCACAACAGCTGCTGCTCGCTGCTCTCGCCTCTCACCTTTGATGCTGCCTTTTTGACCGCATGACGCATGCAGCGGCCGCTTTTTGCGTGTGTGCGGGTGTGTGCCAAAAAAGTAAATTCGGACAAGTACAGAAAGTGGAAATCGGAATCCCACGCATTTAAATCAAAGGCACACAGGCACCCATACAAGCGCCTGATTGTGTTTTTAGGCAGGGCAATAAATTGGAGAAGAGAGATGACGAGCGGTGCGTGCTTGTTCGAATTGCAATTTGCAACACTTTTTATGGAAGCGCAGTTGTCCAAATTTAGGCCGCCTATACCAAATACATAATGTATTGTAGACATATTTGTATGAATAAGCATACATGTGTATATATGTATCAGACTGGGCTGGATACACGTTTGTTTTTCGGAGCGTTACCCATAACAACCATGGAATTTTCTAGGCGCGCTCTCTCACGGGCACACACACACACACACACACAGACGCGAGGCATGACTTACAAACTCGACATAACCTCAAAAGCCAAAAAGTCGAACGATTATGCACACGGCGAGCTTATCAACATAACTGGGCCAATAGGAGGCCCGAGAAACATAGCCGGAGTACTTACGGAGTGGCCCGGAGACTGTAGTCGTTGGCCAGCGTCTCAATGCCGCCGGACCTGGCCGCCGCCACATAGCAGCCCTCGTTGCCAAAATCGATGCCAATCACAGACATTTTCTGCTCCTCCTTGTCGTCTGACCGCTTTTCCAATTAAATTAATTTGGTGGTGTTGTAGCTTGTTTCAACTTCGGGGGGCGGAACAACGCGATCGCTTAGTCTTCTTCGTTTTTCTGCTACTGTAAAATATATTCGTACCCAGATAGAGAGACGGGAATTAGATAAAATATGTAGTAAACACAGGCACGCACGTGTCGTTTAGCTATCCGGTCTTTCTTTTTTGACAATAAACTCCAGAAAGTTCGATTCAATATATGCTTTTCACATTCACATTAATTATGGATTTCGGTTTTCGCCTGAGAATGGAAATTTCTAGCGTCCGGCCTTCAATCTTCCTTCTCGCTTGCACGCGCAAACACCGCAAGGGAAGGGAAAACTCGACTGTAAACCGATTTTCACCTAGTTTATCAGTTATTGATCGTGGGGGATTAGTTACGCACGTTTTCGCTGATAATGGTCTAACACCTCCTGGTTGACGGTAATTCTTTGCAATTTTATTTCGGCACCGCACGTTTCCTTTTCTAACTTGCGTTCGCAGTATGACCGTTGTAGGAAATAGGAATATCACAGAGTTAACGACGCGATTTATAACAAAAAATACCAAAAAGGTATGAATAAAAATACCAGTGGTGTGCGGTCCCACTACTCAACGAAAGAAATTTAATTTAATTTACACAATTTAAATTTAAATGCCAGGCACAAATATTTCAAATGGGGTTAAATAGTCTTCGAAAATATAATCAGGAGATTACCTATACGACTTAATAAGTGCAGCTGAAAACAGCTGTTACCATTCAAATTGCAAAATACGAAAATTCAGTTATGACAGAATATTCCAAGAAAACTCATATAGATTATTCTAATCCGGTGAACTTATTCTTGTAAAGACTTGTCTGTTGATAATGATAAATTATATACATTGTATGTGTAGTAAAATTCTGAAACAATAAAATTCACTAAAGAATTGAATCTATTCTTGTTTAGTATGCTAAATCTTCTAAACTGTTTGAGTAGCATTACTGATGCACTTTTCATTCGATAGTTTGGAAATGCAGCGTAAATATATTCGATAATAGTTTTCTTAGAACACTAAATTGTCAATCAAAAAGAGAAATATCGAAAGAATTGTTTCACCCGGAATCGTAGCATATTAAAATTAAATATGAAAATATCAAGTGCAAATATCCCGGAGGAACAAAGTGGATCTTCGCTTGGGTCTTTTACTGACACTAATTCTGTAAGGCATAATGGCATAGGTGATTCCAGAAGTCTAATTTCATATTTCAGATCAGCGGCGACTCTGACCTAGACGCTGTTTGTGCAGTAGGCGATCAAAATGAGGTGATTGAAGAACTGAAAACCACAATCAAAAGAAATCTGAGTCAAATTTCGGACCTCGGGGCCAAGTTAAAACTGAATGAAATACATTTAGCATATCAGAAGGACAAAGTCAAGGACAAGGACGAGTTAATTAGAGTACTTCAAGACTCGATTGAACTGATAAAAAAAACAAATAAAATAGCAATCAATCAAGTGCAGAAGTCCGAAACGGGATTCGGCACTGCCAGTAATGATAATAATTTTCAAAAACAAAAAGATTCTCTCGAATCTATCACTTTAAAAGATGATGTCAATAATTTGGCAGCTCAGCTGAAAGAATGGAAATGCCAAGCCAAAAATTCGGATGAATCACATGGAAAAGACGATCATTTAGAGAAATTACAAGCACAATTTGACAAGTGCAAAAAACAAAATTCTGAATTAATGGTAGAACTTGACGAATTAAAAGCTAAAATCATTGAATACCAAAAGACTGAAGATGGTCTAAGAAAACAAGTTTCTGAACTTGAAGATAATTTTCTTAGCGTCTCTGCTAAACTTAAAGAAAGCTGTGAAAAACTGTCTGAAAATACTTTAGACATTTTTAGCTCTTCAAACAAGAAAGCAATTATACCGCTTAATTATACTAGAAATCCAAAAATACGTGTAATTGAACGAGATGGCATGCAGCCTTTCATGGCGGTGATTGAGGATATCCCTTCGGCTGGGTCCGGTTGGATGGTTATTCAATGCCGTATCGATGAAGACCAGATGACGTTTGGTGTAGAAAAAGAGGCTAAGTATCGCGATGGCTTTGGGGATATAAATAAAAGCTTTTGGCTAGGCACTGACATAATACACAAATTAACAACAAGCCAATGTCATGAGCTATATATTCAACTTGTTGACTTTGATAACGTATCTGCATATGCTCGGTATGATCACTTTGAAGTTGGAAGTAGAGAGGAAAAATACATGATCAAGTCTCTTGGTTCATATTCGGGAAACGCTGGTGATGCTTTCAGAAGTCTTCAGAACGCTCCACTTAAATTAGTGCCTATAAATAAATCATTGTATTTCTGGTGGTTAAACGCTCAGACTAATTGGTAAGCAAAAAACAAGAAGACGTCTTTTTTAAATAGTTATAATATTAATTAATTTTACATTTACTCATTTAGCAATTTGAATGGCACTTATAAAAATGCGACCCGATTCGGATTTTATTGGGGTAGTTGGTCTCTAGATAAAAGAGGATGTATTCTAAAGTCCTGTCGAATGTTAATAAGACCAAAACCCAAGTAATCCAAATATTTGACATAATTCAAACAATTATTCGGGGTAATTATGCTAAAGCATTTTAAATGCTCTAAGTTAAACGTAACGTTCTGTCAAATTGTTGGGCCACTGGCGATGTGACCTGCCTCAAATGAATGATTGAGTCTATGATAAATAAGATTTAAAAACATGCAGTAATGCAAAAACCCCTTCAATAAAGAAGCAATAAACATCTTTAATTTGTATTTACTTTGTTGAATATATTAAATTACTTAACACCATGTATTGAAGAAAAAGAGGTATTAAATCGCATATGCTTAAAAACCACAATGATTTAATTTCTGTTATAAATATTTCCTAATAATTTCTGTTCTGTTTCGTTCTTAATATACGCTACCTAAATGAAGGCCCTTTCATTCAGATAGCTCCTAAATTGGGTAAATAGTTCCTGTTGGAATGGTTGTATCAAATATTAATTCTTAATATTTATATTTATTGGGTCGAAATTGAGTTCTTTATCATGTAAAATAAAAATATGAAGCAAGAAGAAAATACGAATAAGTACGAAGCAAGAGAATCAATTAAAAAAGACTACTTGTTTATTTTCTAATTAAGTTTTCAATTATAATCAAATTCTGGTAACAAGGTAACTTTCAATTTATAAATCCTACCACCTTGAATTTAAGAAAAAAGGCATTGTTAAACTCGTTTAAATGTGTTACAAAAGCGTTAGGCCCTTTCCACTTAGTACAATGTATCATTATTATCTGTTTGATGGGTCCGGATTCTCCACTGTCTCCTCGATCAGCAGCGGCGAGCTCCAACGCATTAGGAAATATGCGGAACCAGACTTGTCGTTCGTCCCGGACAACCGGTTTCCGCCAAAGGGCGTCAATCCGAGATTGCTGCCAGTGCAGCGTTCGTTCACATATAGATTGCTGGCCGACATGCGCAGCTTATTGAGGCAGTGAAGGATCACCTCGTCTCGTTTGGCGAATATGGAGCCGGAGAGAGCGTACCTGGATTGGTTAGCAGTCAGCTTAAGGGCGTCTGCGAATGAGTCGTCCGGGTAGACGAACACCGGCAAAAAGGGTCCGACGAAGGGTTCGCACAGCAGCGGGTCCAGTGGATCGTCCACTCTGATTATAGTTGGATGGACGAACCTTCCGTTGCTGTTGTCGCTGATACCTCCGCACAGCCGCTCCATGTTCTCTGTGCGCTCCATCATTTTCTGCATTTGATGGAACCCCTCTACGTTAATCACCGCCCCCATATCCGTTGTCGGCTCGATGGGATCCCCGATGTGCAGACTTTTCGTGGCCTCTACCAACTGGTCACGGATGCTCGGCCACAGGGATGTGGGCACGTACATGCGGGACAACGAGTTGGCATACTGGCCGGCGTATCCGAAGGCCGCTTGCACGGAGGCCGAGACCACGGTCTCCACTTTGGCGCTCGCATGAACAAAGTGAAAGTTCTGGCCGGGACACTCTGCCACCAGACGAGGGAAGCAGATGTATCGCTCCAGCTTGTCGCTCACTATTTTGTGCACATGCCTGTATTCCGAAGCACTGCACTGGCAATTGAGTCCGGCAAAGTGCACAGCATCCGTGATAGTGTCCAGGAAGAGCCGCTTGTTGGCCGGCACAAAGTTGATGACTCCGGCAGGCAGGCCGGCCTCCATGAAGGCACGGTGAATTAGAAAGCTGACTGGGGCCACTTCCAACGAGGGATTCCACAGTACAGTGTTGCCCATTAGAGCCGGACAGAGGGCCAAGCTTGCCGACAGCGCCACCGATTCGAAGGGGGCCAGGGCGGCCACGAAACCGTCCATCGGCCGCAGGTGGAAGCTAGGAAAGACGTTCATATCCCCCTGGATCTCAAATCGCAGCTCAGAAAGGTGCTCCAGGTAGTCGGCGTTGGCCCTCAGGGATCTGAGCAGCCGCCTAATGTCCCGTCTAGCATCATCCAATGTTTTGCTGAGACTCAGCACAAGGAAAACGAGCAGACGTGACTGGTCCTCCTCTATAAGGTCCGCGGCTCGACGCCAAATGGCCAGCCGCTGAGGGGTGGGCACCAGGCTCCAAGTGTTTTGCGCCGCCAGGGCGGATTTAATGGCACTCTCGATTTGCTTGCGATTTGCGTAGTACACCTGAGCCAGGATCGTTGTCAGTTCGTGGGGAGAGGACACTCGCTGATTGTCCATGGTGTACTCCGGTTCTTCGCCAATTATTGTGGGAACCTCTAGCGGCTTGCGTTTGATAGCCTGCACGATGTGACCGAGCAGCACTTTTTCGTTCTTGCGCCTGCTTGGAACATCCTCCTTCAGTTGTTGGGACAGCGAGTCTACCTTTGGCAGAGACTTCTCCTTGTCCAAAGCGTCCCTTGCCCCGCCAGTTATGCTAGCCAGGCGACGAATTCGGGCGACACATCGTCCCGGGGCCAAGGATCTCAAGTTAAGCATTATTGTGATAAATATAAATTTGAAGCTTTCAACAGGAATTTATTCTACATCTGCCAGTTTGTAAGTACATAGATATGTATATGCGTATACTTAATTGTAGAAAAATATATGTAGGTAGGCATATAGACATCTATGTTACGGTTAGGGAAAGGCAACACATACAAATGTAGTTTTGTTTAAATCATAAAATCAAGTGCGAAAAACAAATTGCGAGGATAGTCTTAAAATTTAGAAATGGTAATTTAAGGAAATTTCTTTAGGACAAAACAAATGTACATACAAATATTTATGTGCATATTTGGGGTAATACCTAAATTTGTACCCTAATCAAGTTAATATATTAATTACCAAAAGCAAGGCCGCCAATAATCAAGTCTTTAAGCCTATTTCAAGTAGGTTTTCGAATACACCCTAGATTTTCTAAAAATACATACAGTGAGACATACATTCACAAATGTCTCTTGATTGCGCGAAAATATTTTGTTAAATAGGTTGGAATGACGTTCCGAAGTACATAACATATAAAGAATGAGTGTTTAACAAAGGACTAGGTTGCATTCGTTTTTTTCGGAATTTCGATGCTGTTGCGTTGGGAATAATACGTACATATATGACGATGAGTGGATCAGGGCTGAAACTCATCTGGATATGTCTTGGGTCATGGGAGTCGTTGTTGAGCATTTCGTCAAATTTCTGAGCTAGAAGGTAACGCGTTTCTAAGGTCACTAAAGGTGCTAAGAATGTCGAGTCCATCCTTCGGGAGTGGGTTTACATCCTGGCCTTCTATTCGAGTCTTGGATTGCAGCAGGTTTCTAGTAATACTAAGCAGTCTTGTGGCCCCGCCGCCGACAACTGTGTCTACAACTGCGCCGCCAGACCGGAGGCGGAGATGTTGTCGCCTGCGCCTGCCGTCTTTCTGGCCTCGCGGCAAACCAGCACTGGCGCTACACAGATCTCGACCTCAAGACGCTGCCGCTGGCGGCCGTACTCAATGTACTCCCGCCAACATGGCACCGGACTGGCAGCGCCTATTCTCATCCGAGGAGCGTCCTCCTGCGCTGAGGTGGCAAAACTGTCGTCCAACACCTGCAGAACTGCCTCCGGATTTATCTGTCAAAGGGAGTTTACTAGAGGACACATTTTCTCTTTGCATAACAAATAAAGAAAACTCACAAATTGTGATTTGCAGACGTAGCGGTGAGCGGTGAGGGCTGCTTTGGCTGCCGCTGCCCTCGTGTTTTTCCACTGGGAGCCGGCTGTGGTAAGAATTGCCTGATAGGCTAGTGTGTGCACGTGAATCCGTGATATGCGTCGCCTTCTGGGATCAGCTCTGCTTTGCTCGTCGAAGTCCTCAAGCAGACTGATAAATACCTCCCGCATCTGGTCAAGGGTGTGGGCAATCCGCGGATTCCAATCAGTTGCCAGCACGGTGCGCCCGTGGGCCAGCACCTGCTGGAGGTTGGCCAGCTCCTGCTCGTTCATGCCCAAGGAGTCCACGTAGGGCAGGACAAAGTGTCGCAGTTGCTGCAGCAGCCGAAGCTCTACGTAGGAGGCCATCTCGAAGTGGTTAAGAGTGTCCAGAGGCTGGCTGGTTAGTTGCCGTTGTACTTGCTCTAGACGCGCCTCGCGTTCACCGGGATTAAACGTGAACATGTCCATCATTTGCAGCCCACTAACCACTAACAACTGCGGATGATAGACCTTCAGGGCGTCAGTTAGCTGCTCCAGGGCTCTGAGGTGCGGATTGTTCCGGTCGCTGTGCAGAATGTAGCGATTGGCCCGAGGTGCCACATAGGAGCCCCAGGTGTCGCCTGCCTTGTACTCCAGTATCAGATGTATATCATCGTCAGGGATCTCGTCACCAGCCAGCCTAATCTCCTTGGGCAGCAGCGGGCGCAATCTGTAGAAGATTGTGTATTAAATTGCTTATTTTGGACATCAACTACTTACTTCTTTGACATGTGGGCACCTAGAAGGACGTCGGCTCCCTCCATAAAGAACCGCACGGCCATCAGCGGTGCATTGCCGCCCATGAACCATTGAATCCCACTAGTCTCTTTCCCCATTTGTTTTGCGTACCCCACGAGCTGCTTGAAGAGCGTACCATTTGCCATTACCCGTCTGTAAGAGCGACAGTTAGATAGAAGGTCTAATTGGTAAAATGCCCAGCTCCTGTATCCCGTACTCACTCCGCAGCAGCTCCGTTCTGGAAATAGTAGGCGAAGGATTGCAGCAGCTCGTCCTCGTTGTTGACAATCTCTCGGGAGCCGGCAGTGGTCGCGGGAATGCGGCGGCCATAGTAGCGCTCCAGGAATTCTGTGGCGTTTATCTGGAGGTCGGTGCAGGCCCCGTAGCCAATGGCCACCTTTGGCGCCGGCTGCACGGTAGACCGTTTCAAGGACCCTTCAATGGCCAGCAGACCGGTGAGCAAGACCGTCGTCCTGTTGAGCGCCTGGAGTGAGATGAACGCCTGCCAAATGATGGACACGAAGGCCGTGAAAACGGAGCAGCCGGTCAACCATCCCATATAGCGCAGGACCGTCATCTTGGGCGTCGTCAACATTTCAAAAAAGAAAAAAAGCGGCGTGCACTTGTATTTATAGGTTTTTCCAAAACGAGCAGTGCTGCTGGCTTGGCTTGAAAATAGCTAAAATAGCTACTTTTCATTCAGCTATTTTAGCCTGCCGGTAATGCAGTTCGTAAGGAATCCAAGCAGATCCATAGGAAAGTAAGCAGTGAAAAACAGTTCCAAGCAATGTGAACTAGTTTCAAGAAGTTCAATCAATTTGTTTTTGAAATTTTGAATTTTGAAGGAGGAAATATATTTGAAATTGTAAGAAAAAATGCAGCTGCCATCTTACCATTTTCGTCTTGGAATTATTTATATTTTTCTTATTTTATGTCATTATTATCCAATTGTTGGCCTAGTTTGAACATATCTGTATGAAGATATTGCTGGTTTTAATGGTATTAAATTAAATTCTATTGCACTTACTCTCTTGATCTCCGCAATAATCCCTATTAATAGGGGCAGATCGCAATTAATATTACTAAAATTACTAAGAAACGTTTTAAGCACCGTAGCCCGAATCAAAATTTTTTTATTATGGTATTATTATTATTATTATTTTGATATATGGAATATGGCATAAAATCTTAACACTATTTCTTGCTTAGTGCTCTTACCAATCGCACAGATAACACGCGTGCTAAAGGCTTATTTGCGGACGTTGCAATAAACTTTAAATTGATTTTTATTTATAAAGAAATGAAAAAGAAAACTAGTCAAAAATTATGAAATGCGGAATTTTCTGAAATGGTGTTAAATTACAATAAATGGCTAAAAGACTTTATTTGATTCTTCTGCTTTTTCTGTCTTATTAAGTTTGTTTATCTCATAAAAAGGATCCTTCATTTGCATAAACACTGTGATTTTGCGCAGATGTTTCTCCCAATTACCATATTCATCCAGTATGGCAAGACAGTAGAACCATCCGTTAAAAGAATCACAGAGGCACTCTCCTCAGGATCCGAGATTTTTGTAGAAAATATAAATACAGTGGGGACCCGTAAGTCGCAGCAAAAACCCAATGATAAGCTGATCTACACCACGACATGGAAACTCCATTTGTAGTTGATATCCTCAATAAGTTGGCGATCTCGAATGTTATACAAAAATTTGAGCGACTTTTTTCTTCATGGCATGCCAACTTATTCGAATTATAGCTGAGAACAATAAGATTGAAAACCTTCAGTACTTTGGGATTCTGCCAACACGGACAAAGTGCAAATGGCAACCATTAACTATGATTTCAGTTTTATATACAGACAAGGGCAGTTACATAGTTTCATGTAATAAGTTTCAAGATAATTTGAACATTCAAAAATCATTACGCAGTTTAACTCACCATTTCGAACAATTGAAAGAAGTGTGCCGAGACTTCTTCCAAAATAGTAAAACTATGACTTTCGAAATTGCAAATAATTATATAAGGAGAGCCTCGGACGAAAGCTTAATGGCTTCGCCAAAGTCGGATAACTTAGCCTTAGAAAAAAGTCCCGTGTTTGTAGTGATAGATGGATTGTGGTAAGAAGTTATATTTATTATGCTTATTAAATAATTATTAAGTTAATGACCGTTGATGCACTATGGTCAGTACCGTATGGAACCAGTCAAGTGTCTATTGGTTTAAGTGTTGGTGGGCGCGATAGGAAATGTGTTAATTTACAAATAGGTATTGTAAGATTATTATAATTAATTGATATTTATTATTTTATTTTCAGCATAACACTAGAAACAGATTTATAGCTAATACTTTTGCCCTACAGTCCAATGAAGTATTTGTGGTTTCAAGTGCTATTTATTGATTTAAATTGGATAAGTTCAGATCAAAGGCTGTCTACTATAATGTCGTACATTAGTGATCATCTCAAGAAAATAAAATTGGATTATCTTTTGGCCATCATTTACGATCACAACACAATTAATTTAATTATTCATCAAAGAATCCCCACCATCCCTGTACTTTGGGATGCAATATCCTTTAATCTCTTAAAATATATGTATGTTTTTTAATCTTCAAAAAACCTATATTTTTAACTTTGAGTAAAGAATAATCATTACTTGTAATTGTAATAAAATCCAACATTTTAAATTTGTTTTTTTTTAATCTTCCAAAACGTTTTAGTTTCTTTCAGTTTTCCTGTTTTAATTACTACGATTTGAGTAATCCGCCGCCGGTAAATTAAGTGATATCATGCTTAAATCCCGGTTTGGAGATCCGAGATTATCGTCGGCACTTGCTTGGATCGTATCATCCTCCAAAGTGACATCTAGTGTACCTTATTCACGCTGAGGGCGCTCTTAGTTCTGTCTGCCTACGTCATAAATCAGCAAAGAAGCTGACTTGATGTGGCTGTATTTCGTTGTGTTTTGACGGCTCCTTCTTGACGATTGGCCTCGTTGATTTATAACAAGTTGTTGCTGCTTCTTCTTCAGATTTGAATTCGGTGTTTCGCATTAATTGCTTCTTGCCGTTATTATTGTATCGATACAAGGTTAGTCAATTGCACCTACGAAAGCTACGCAGGCTGTCTCCGGACTTGTATAGGAAGTGTTTTTTTTTTGCGTCTTCGGACCGGATGGGAACAGCTAGTTACTCGTTACCAATCCCCCGGGTGAAGGGAGAGTCTCACTGAGCCCCACGGCAATGCAAAAGATATGTTTATAGCATTCCCGACCATCTTCCAATTAGCGTCTATAAATGGCTATCGCGTCTGGGCCAAAGTCTGAGCTCTTCTATTTATAACACCAGCGAGGCAGAGTGCCCGATTTCATCCCAGACCGCAAGACACGATGACTGGCCGCTTAGAATCGAGATCGGTTTGCCGGGACGACACGCATGACAGGTGTAATGTGCTGTGGAAACTATTTTTATTTTTATTTTTGCTTTTTATCAGCCCAACGAAAGTGAAATACCGCACATTAAACGCTTCGCAGTGCCCTGCTGTGCGTGTGTGCCTGAGTCTGGGTCTGGCTCTGCGTCTGTCTCTGACAGCCAATATATTTTGTTGCTGGCTTATTTTATTTCACTTTTGTTCTGTTTCGCGAGTCTCGAACATATATGCGATTATTGTGGTTTTGTTTTTAGTTGTATTCCATTCCGTTTTATTCTATGCGCAGCCGTCCGCTGCCCACTGGGACTCCGTATAAAATCAGCATAATCAGAAATTCTACCGAGCAGTTGGTTCTAAGCCGTTGACGGAGCCGGACGAGCTCATCGCGCCCCTCGTCTGGAATAATTGATCAGTTACCCATCAGTTCACCGCCTCCTACCTTTGGCCCCGTGTAATTGTGCAGTTCGTGTGTGAAACAAGCAATTGCAAGATTTACACATCAAGAATCGAGGAGAAACGAAACTCGATACTGAAGTGAGAAGTTAACAATCCGCGTGTTATAGTCTCCAGGTCATAATTATAGCTCGTTTGGATATAATTCGTGTATAAAATATACATAAGAAGGTATGTCTTCGCGCTGTTCTATTTATTCGCGTTCGTTTCCTAAGTCTTTTGTTTCGCGTGGCGCTGAAAGGAAGCAAATTCGCTCGGCTAAATGAAATCGAAATTTAAATCAATCTTTATCACAACTGGATTTGGCACGCTCTCTAGTTGTCTTATTATATGGCTCCGTTTCGGTTTCCCTCTTCCTCGACACTTCCGCATGCAGTCCAACATAATTTAGATAACTTTAAAACCAACTCTGTGAACTTTTTGATTTTTGCAATTTTAATTTAAGTCGCTAGAGTTGTCTGCATGCGATACAAAAGAGATTTAGATGTGTCTAAAAATTGAAACAGACAAGTGATATAAATTACAAAGGCAATTAAAAAAATGGTTTAGGTGTTATTATTATAATGGATGCTAAAAACATTTAAAGCATTTATAAATAAATAAATGGTTTACGCTTGCTAAAATGCAAATAAGTTTAAATCACCATCATGTTGACATATAAATCATTCAAAAGCAATTAAAGTTATTTAAATTTTAAATATTAGCATGCTTAAATAGATAATTCTAGCAAATTTGGAAGTGTGAATAATAGTTAATGATGTAGTGTGTCAAATCTAGTGCCAAAAACACATTTTTTTAATATTCCATAGAAATTCTTAGTGGTATTTCGTCAATTCAATACAATTCTCACCTGGCCAAATCGATTACTCATTTCGTTTGTTTCCCGATAGTTTTTCTGACACAGCAATAAATTAGCATAATGTGGTCAATATTATTTAATGCTAAAATGTTAAAATTAGTCGGCTCCGTTCCGCCGCAGCCAAAACAAAAGCCAAAACAAGAAAAAAACATCAAAAGGTGAATAAACTGAAGAGGCCTGAGCTCGGCTTCTGTGTAATGTCTTGGCCAGACATGGGGAACTGGTTCAAAGTCGAGGACGTCATCAACGAAACCGAGAGTTCGGAGAACTCCGCGCTGAAGAGCTTAAACTTACATGACTCTTATCTTATCTTTGATCTTATTCTCATCTGGTTTCCCACTCAGCACTCGGCACCTGTCTACCGAAATGTCGTCGAATCGCCTAATTAGCTTTGGTCTGCTCTTCCTGTTCTCTGTCACCCATGTGACGTCACAGCGCACGTCACTGGACGTGGCCTTAAAAAACTCCTATCGTCCGCTGCGTCTTCTGGGCCTGGCCTTCACCGGCCGATCTGGCGATGATCCACAAAACGTGCAGCGCGTGCGAATGGCAGGGGTAAGTCCACCGTTTAATGCAATCATTGATCCGGATTCGATTGGCTGACTTTCCCATTAGCATTGTCTTTTATTTCATATAAACAATTTATACGAAATTCGGTCAATATACAGTTAGTTCATTTCAATTTATGGGCAACACGCATGCACATGAATTGAAATGCATTTCAACAAAGTAAAATTTAATTTAAAAGCAGTGAGAAGGCCTTTCACTTCTTAATCTTTTGGATTTATAACTAGCTATACCAATAATAAATATTTCCCTTCGATTAATAATAGAAAACCCAAAAATCGAATCCCCGCACTCGTGCCCTGTTGGAGTTCTGCGATGCTGAGCACGGACCCGGCAGACGCAGCCAGGAGAGACCGACCAGCGTGCACAGGCTGCGGCCCGGAGACATCGATGTGATCGGGGCCATGGGCGATTCGCTGACCGCGGGAAATGGGATCTTCGCCACCAACCTGCTGCACGTGACCGTGGAGAACAGGGGAGTGGTGTGGTCCATTGGCGGGCAGTATGACTGGCGCAAGTACCTGACGCTGCCCAACATCCTCAAGGAGTTCAATCCCAATCTCTATGGCTATGCAATCAAGGATGGCCTCTCCACGGATCGCACGTCCCGCTTCGATGTCGCCGAACTGGCTGCCATGTCCCGGGATATGCCATATATGGCCAAGGTCCTGGTACGCCGAATGCAACGCGATCCCAACGTGAACATGACCGGCGACTGGAAGCTGGTCACGATCTTCATCGGCAACAATGACTTTTGTGCGGACATCTGCTATTACCCGGAGCCGGAGCGGACGGTCGAGTGGCACGAGCGGAACATGTTGAAGACCTATCGCTATCTCAGGGACAATGTGCCCCGCCTGGTGCTGAACGTAGTGCCTGCCCCCAATCTGAGGTTCCTCACTAATCTATCAGGACTTCCGCCCATTTGCACCAGCACCCTGCGCTTCGAGTGTCCCTGCCTGGTGGGCAAGAGCAAGTCCAAGCTGGACTACCTGGAGGGCATCATGAAGCGGTGGATAGCCAAGGACATGGAGATAGCCAACAGAGAGGAGTTCAACACGGAGGTAAGTGAGCTGGTATAGTTGTTCCTGCGGATTCCCTAAGCCTTAATTACTTTGAAACAATATTAAAATGGGTTTATTTGTAACTTGCAGACCTTCACGATAAACGTGCAGACATTCTCGCAGTTCCACGACTTCCCCCGAACGCGTTCCGGCCAGACGGACACCCGGTTCTTCTCGGAGGACTGCTTCCATCTCAGCCAGCGTGGCCATGCCGCCGCGGCCAATGCCATCTGGAACAACATGCTGGAGATGCCGGGTGAGAAGAGCGGATTTGCGACCCAGCTATTCGAGACTTTCCGCTGCCCCACCGAGCAGCGTCCATATCTCATTACCAGGGAGAACAGTCGTCCGGACTTTGTGATATAATATAAAGTGGGGCCTGTTCTCCCCTGTGAATTATTCCCTGTGATATCGCGCCTAAGTCTTCTTTCCACGTTTTGCGTATACTTTTGTAGCTTAAATTAGCGAGATGTTAAGTGTAAATATTTGATGATAATCAGAAAGTCAAATAAATAATAATCATGATTTTATGTGAGTGAATGTTGTACGTTGCAGATGGGGCAGGGCAATTTTCTATAGGTAAGTTTTCTCCCTATTGTACACTTTGGGCACGTGTATTTTTTTTGGCAGAGCTTGAAGACCTGGTTGGTAATTGACATCGATTACACGCCATGCGATCCATAATAATGAGTAGTTATTTATATTCCCCACTCAGAAATATCACAAAATCTCAGTCCATAAATCAATAGAAAAGCAACAGTTAAATCATAAAAAATAATAACTCAAAAATTAACACGTGGAGACATAAGAATTAATTTTGTTAACATTTACCACACGAAGTGAAATGAACATAAAGATGAGTATATAAACTACGAACATTTTGCTACATTTACAACTATTTTAGTTTACAAAGCTAAGCTCATGCATTATTAAATTGAATTTATTATTAATCGAATTTAACTTTAATTTAGTTAATTATGACTATTGATGGTAACTTATGTCCTAGCCAAAACAAATTTATAATCCACAACTGTAAAACGATACTACAAATATGTACATAATTAATAGTGTTAATTACGTGCTGCCTATTAGTTTAATCACCTTAACAAATCGTTTCATTTCTGCCTCCATCCGATTTTATTGTTCCGCTTAACGAGCAGAAATAAATAACCCCCTTAAGTGCCGGCAATAAGGCAGTCATATTTTTGTTAAAAAACTCTTAACTTGATTACGAAAAATATGAATTGTATGTAAATCATTTATACTCGTTTAATTTTAAATGCTTTTGAAATGACTTGTGAGAGAATATTGGAACTTTAGGCGAACTAAGAGGCTGTAGTAAGTGGCAGTTAAATGTAACACCTAGCTTTAAAATGATATAATCCAAGTGTATAAGGGTGGCTTTTATATTGTTAATCTTGTCGGACATTCAAAAATTAATAACCCATCTAGATTGTGGTTTAATACAGTTCTCAGCTAGTTAACAAGTTGCGAGTCACCCTCGTGATAAGCGATAAGCGTGGAGCATGTGTGATGACACACGGCAAACATGCCGGGAATGGGCGCGTCATGAAACCTGTTACAGTTTATACTCATTATTTCCCCCAGTCATCATCATCGGGGGGCACGCACCGCCGGACATCAATAAAGCCGGATCATAATTGTCATTTAATTCGGTGGCTGCTTTTAAAAATAAATTGCTCGCCTGTGTGTACGTGTTGTGTCGCCCGCCTAGCTCAACCCCTTGCCGGTCTCAAAATCACCGCTCAACGGTTTCGCCAGCAAGTGCAAAAAATGAAAAAGAAAACAACAAAATAAACAGAAACTACGGCCAAAAGAAACATCAATTATCGCATTTATTTCGAAAGCTTATTGCAGCATTTCAAAGCCGGCGCATTGTCATTGACTTTGAACTTGGGCCCCGTTCTCCCCCGCAACTCGGTCAGCACATTTTTTGGGCTCCGATTTCGGTTCTACGCATGCGTAAGTGAGGCATGGTCGACGAGTTTCTCATTGGCGCATTTTCTGTTTTCGAAAATTAATTATAGTCGCACTGTAATATTGAGAAAGATGTCGCCAAAACTGGTTATCAATGCCAGGTTTTTGTTCGAAAATAAAATTTTATTACGTAATCTGCTAATCTAATCAATAACTTTAACAGTAGCCTTTATTAAATAAAGTTTATTTACAGGATTAATCATCTGTCAGCTCCTCCATTAGGAATTATTTGTTTATATGAAATCACCAAATTATATTCATATGCTCCTAAACAACGCACATGATTTGTTTTTGTAATCTCAAGAAAGTGATGTGATAATGTAATATTAAAAATGGTATAAGAATTAAATAAGTTAATCAAATAAAATGTTTCAACGCCTGTCCGTCTAATAAACATTCAATTTTAGAGCGTCCGATCTCGTAGAGATCTTATTTAAATGACAACAATTAAATGCGAGGCCTGGTCGGCCATATTAATGAGTGAGCGAGCTCAGTTCTAACGGGTATATAGTATACGCGATGGAACCCGGACACTTGTCCAACAATCAAGTATTTATCAATAAAGTCTCATTTGATTGCCTCTGAGACAGCTTATTAAGATGCTAATTACGTGGCTGCCTCTGCAACTTTGTAAAGACCATAAATTCAAAAACTCGTTTACTTGCCGCCATAACACCGCGCCACCTTTGGGGAAAATGATGAACTAAGGCAAAGTACGATATGTATCGCATACGATTTTCTAGTGAATGGCAAATTATTAAATATATTTTTTGGGGATTTACCACATTTTATTCTATTAAATAAACTACAAGCCCAGCGCTTAATATTAAGCGTTATACAATTATTTATTGAATTAAAAATATATATCTATTTTGAAAATTTTGCTAAGAAATAAGTATAACAAAAACTATAATGTGTACAAATTTTTTTTCACAAAAGTTTTAAACTTTTTTATTTTATTTTTAAAGTTTGGTGTTAATTTCCTAAGACCTTTGGCATAGCTTAGGTATGAAAAATGGTTTCAGGTGTTTCGTTAATGAAGCGAATGACCAAAACAGATAAACCAAGAAAACCGTTGACAAAGAGTTCTTGAAATTTTGTGCTTACTTCGCAACCGAAAAAATATAAATTGCAATGCACTTTGCCTCGAGCTGCGCATTTGCTGAAATTTTAAGCCATGAGAGACGACAGACAACGATTCCAGCTCACAGCAGTGGCAATAGTTTTCATATTGGGTAAGGTTTATTTAAATTTTAAGCAAAAATCTATATAATTTAACTTTTAAATTTAACAGTATTTATATAAAAATACATCAACTTTGCTTCAAACAGATGTAAGAATGTTGTTTCTTTCAAGCTTTTAAATGAAATATAAATTAATTAGCTTATACTGCAGTCTTTCATAGAAGTGTTCTAAAAAAGTTATTAACTAATTTCTATATAATAAATGGATTTTTTTATAGCTTTACAGTGCTGTGTTGCCCTACCTTTTGGCTCTGGTTCTGGCAATGATATAGATATCGATGGAAACAACTACAACGCGAGTGGAGGAAGGCCCGTGGACTATCACACGGTTGTGGGCCACTTCAAGGACTTCTTCATGTACCTTCCCGTTATGATGACTACCATTAAGGAGACCATGTCAGGATTTCCCAAATTCGCCGAGGGTATGCGCATCCTGACCTCCGGAAAAGGACGTGCCGATGGCGAGGACTGTAAGTGCAGCCAAAGCGGATTGACGAGTAGTGAAATATTGGATTCAAATGGACGATTCGGTCGATCCTAGCCGGGAGCTGAGCCAGCACAACTGTAGATACTGTATATATAGACAAAAGAAATGTGAAAAAGAAAAAAAGTTATTAAAAAATGTGTAACAAAGAATAATGTGAGGGTTTTTTGGGGCAGAGATTCTTTCTTCCTTTTGAAAAAAATTCATTCATTGAGTGAAATATAACATATATGTATCTTGAATCGTTGAATTTTAAGGTAAACATAAAGGCGAAAATAAATATAAGAGTTTAAAAATGTCTTACTCTTTAAATAAATGACCATGAAGGTAATGGTAAAATATCCAAAATTATATAATAATTCTCTGTTTTCGGCCGTTAAAAGCCATTAAAGATATATGAAAGCAATTATTGTAGTTACTAGACATTACCTAGCTAAAACCCAAAACAATAATCAAGAAATTCAGTAATTTGTTTGCCATTGAAATAAGAAAATCAATTCGAAGCACTCGATTGGCTCCTTTCCCCTTGATGAACTCCCGTATCTCGAGAAGCTTCCATGTCCTTGACCGGCGAAATTGGTTATCCAATGACTATGTAAGATATAGCCCACTTTGGACTGGACTTGAACTACTTACAATTCCACGTAGTCTTTTTTCAAGCTATTGTCCGACTTATTAGCCATAGTTCGCCTGGGAATGCTCACAACCTGTCCCCGTGGTTGGTGGAATGGCGCCTAATCAGAGTCACCAATCTGCATGCCACCCGCCGCCGTAGAGGCTGAAGGGTAGGTGTTATGTCCACCCAAAGGCACCTGCCGACTGGCCCACTGTCATGTTTGCACTTGTCATTATTGTTAATTGTATTTGCTGGGTGGCCGAGCATGCATGGTCTATATTTACATACCAATCCGAAGTCCCTCGGCCGGGCCAAAGGAGCAACTGTAATCCAAAGTTTCCACTTTCCGTTTCAGTGAGCCCCGCGGCGTTGGTTGGAACGCAACTGTACCCGAGAACAGCATGCCCAGGAAGCGCAAAAAGCGGATTTACATCTAGAAACAAGTCTCAATTAGGAAGATCTGCAGGATGGTGGCTGGCATTGAGCTGCTGGTGGCTGCCGCCCTCTGCGCCACCTGTCCACCGCTGAACGAATCCTTGCCACCGAACCTGATCCAGCTGGGAGATGACAACGGCCTGTCCACCGAACTGCCCATTGATATGGATGCCTCGGACGCCGGCCTGAACGGGGATGCCCCCGCGGAGACCCTGGAGACCATTATTGCAAAGAAGCTGAAGCTGCGCGAGATGCGCGAGTGGATTGGAGGCAAGCATCTGCGGATCGCCACGCTCGAGGATTATCCGCTCAGCTATACAGAGCTGCTGGAGAACGGCACCCGCATCGGCCACGGAGTGTCCTTTCAGATCATTGATTTTCTCAAAAAGAAGTTCAACTTCACGTACGAGGTGTTTGTTCCCCAGGATAACATCATTGGCTCACCCACCGACTATGATCGCAGCCTTATCGAGATGGTCAACAGCAGTGTAAGTATCCGGCGGGGTTGTGATTATAAACTATAACATATAACTTTTAGTCATTTTGCAAATATATAAACTTTACTACAAGAGAAACACAAGTAGGTACTCTGCTAGGTGAAGCTCAAAGAAATACATCAATTTTGTTTTTTTGGAATACAATTGGTACTGCTGGAAGTACTATATGACATGTTAAAAAATATATAATTATTGTCCGACTTAAATATCAAAATATTTATTATAGCATATTGTACAGAAAGGCATTATCTATATATGTAGGTACCTTCCCATTATATATGGCAAACTATTAACTCTTTTAATGAAAACCTTGATTAAGTTCTTCAATATCAACATTGTTTATTTTTTTACAATTTCCTAAAATATATTTTTTTAATATATGTATATCTAGACAAACTTCAGCTTTCTATGAAAATGCTGTTTTTTTAAGAGGCTTACTTACGATAGCCACAAATATTAATATTTAAGTGATAAACCGATAGTGAACGATAGAGTAATATTTTTATGAACGAGGTATGATTGTTATTATTTTATGATTACCAAATGCAATAACAAATGCAATAACTGGTACCATGGGCCATTAAATTTCATTAAATATATGCAACTTATAATACATTGTTGTTAAACATCTTACTGTAGGTGCTTATATATAAATGTTATATTAATAACTTACATATTATATGGACAAATATATTTGGCTGAAATGTACAGAGACTACAATTTTACTTTCAAGTTCATATTTTAACACATTGTCTTCTGATAATAATACCTTTTTTTTATTTATTACAACCATTACCTATACAAATATCGGGTATTTTGTGACAACCGAGAGAGTATTTAGGAGAAAGAAGTAGGCTTCTCAGACCCCAATAAGCATATTTATTATTGATCAGCATCACATTTTTACAATATGCATGGCATGATTTTCAGTGTAATATTATATACTGTTTCTCTACTTAGATACATTTCAAATAGTTTAGAATCAGCATCACCTTCTGAGTCTGTCTGTCTATATATAAAATAGAGACTGTAGAAGCTAGAACAACTAAACTATATAATAACATACTTATTAAATTTTGTATAAAAATTTGTCCATGTTAAATATCACCCTGAAAACCTGAGTAGAATCGGATGAGAGACACATCAAGTTTTACCAGGTCTAGGATAGATAGACATAGATCCGCCTTCGAACTGTGGCAATTCAAAATTAAAGTTTCTTGGTTATTTTTAAAATAGTATTATAGTATACCCCTCAAAGGATATAAAAATCTTAACTACTATATTTAAAATTGCTAACTAATTTAATACAAAAGGCTTTGGGCATCAGGTATTTCACAACCTCAACTGTAGCTCTCTTGTTCTTATGATCTGATGATAAGCATATGTTTCGTTTTGGGTATTGATAAGCTAATTCCCCCTTAGGTCGTGGATCTGGCTGCAGCTTTCATACCGTCACTTTCCGACCAAAGGAGCTTTGTTTACTACTCAACCACGACGCTGGACGAGGGCGAGTGGATAATGGTGATGCAGCGGCCGCGGGAATCGGCCAGCGGATCAGGTCTGCTGGCGCCGTTCGAGTTCTGGGTCTGGATATTGATCCTCGTGTCCCTCCTGGCCGTTGGGCCCATCATCTACGTGCTGATCATCCTGCGGAACCGCCTAACCGGCGACCGTGAGCAGCTACCGTACTCCCTGGGCCACTGTGCTTGGTTCGTTTACGGGGCGCTGATGAAGCAGGGCAGCACCCTGTCCCCCATCGCCGGTGAGCTGCAATTAGGTTAAAGTGCAATCGGCCGATTCAGATACGAATCGGCGAATGCTAATGGACACTGGGATTGTCGCCCTTGCATGCGTTTGTCGTTTCATTAAACTCATTAAAAACCATTACACAGACTCGACCCGGCTGCTTTTTGCCACTTGGTGGATTTTCATCACGATACTGACGTCCTTCTACACGGCCAACCTGACCGCCTTTCTCACCCTCTCGAGATTCACGTTGCCCTACAACACGGTCAACGACATCCTGACCAAGAACAAGCACTTTGTCTCCATGCGAGGCGGTGGTGTGGAGTACGCCATTCGAGCGGTGAGTGCTTGATGAGTGTTAACTAATTATCAACCTAAAATTAATAAAAGAAATTATATAAATTTCTATACAAAATACATATACTATATGGCGTCTGATCTCTTTTGTCATTTCAGACTAACGAGTCTCTATCCATGCTGAATCGGATGATTCAAAACAACTATGCCGTATTCTCGGACGAGCCCAATGACACATACAACCTGCAGAACTATGTGGAACGAAATGGTTATGTATTTGTGCGGGATCGGCCGGCGATCAACATAATGCTGTACCAGGACTATCTGTACCGAAAGACTATAAGCTTCAGCGACGAGAAGATTCACTGTCCATTTGCCATGGCCAAGGAGCCGTTCCTCAAAAGAAACGCACTTTCGCCTATCCCATTGGCTCCAACCTAAGCCAGCTCTTTGACCCGGAGTAAGTGAGTCTGCATTGATTTCCGCCCAAAATGATGAGACTTTACATTTTGCAGGCTACTCAACCTGGTGGAGTCGGGCATTGTGAAGCATCTCTCGTCTAGAGACCTGCCAAGTGCTGAGATCTGTCCACAGGACCTCGGCGGCACCGAACGACAGCTGAGGAACGGCGACCTGATGATGACCTACTACATCATGTTGGCCGGCTTCGCCACCGCGCTGGCCGTCTTCAGCACGGAGCTGGTGTTCCGCTACATCAACAGCCGCCAGGAGGCGAATAAATGGGCGCGTCACGGGATCGGCCGCTCGCCCAACGGTCAGTCAGTGGCCCCCTCCCGCTGGCTTCGGGGCTGGCACCGGTTGGACAGCGGTCACAAGCGGCTCCTTGGTGCACCCACCCATGGTCAGAATGTCACCCCACCGCCACCGTACCAGAGCATTTTCAATGGGGCTCTCCACGGGGAAGCATTGAACCGTTGGCGGCGACCCCTAGGGAATGGCAGCGGGATCGGGAATGGCGTCCTTCTTGGCAACGATTCTGAGGGCGGCGTCAGGCGATTGATCAACGGGCGCGACTACATGGTATTCCGGAGTCCAAACGGCCAGAGTCAGTTGGTACCGGTGCGATCCCCCTCGGCGGCGCTCTTTCAGTACACTTACACGGAGTAGGAACTACCTTACAGGGAGTAATGAGGAAGAACCAACAATGCAACAAATTTGTTTAATATTGCAGAGGGGTTTTAAAGGAAACCTGTAAGATCTTAAATTTTATATTATACAAACGGCTTTAAACAGATTTTATACTTAAGAAGTGAATGTTGTGAAATTACTTACCTACTTGAGTATATTTATAAGAAATACGAATTTGCAGATACTAGGTTACTATAAAAACCCTGAATCTGTAGCACAAGTAAGCACCGCACTTGAGACGTAGACATTCCGTATGGCATTTCTATACAGAGTTATCTAAATAAAGTGCACTTGTCTTGAAGTTAAATCCATTTTATGGGCTTAAAGTCACGTTAAACTTTAATAAGTACAATTGTTCTAAAAATATGGCCTACAATATTTCAGGTATTTATATATGTTAGATATTGATATAGTTGCAATTTGACAGATTTTAAGCATACAATCTTAGGTTTCATTAAGGACATTCGGCCGGTCTCTTGAAGGGAAAAGTGCAGACCAGACAGGAAACTGAATGAGTATGAGGTACATCCCTAAATCAAATCCAGTGGTCTCCTGGAATTTTACAGGGACAATCCCACTTTTCAGGATTAAACAGTTATCCCCTCAACATTTGTTTTTCTAAGCGTAGAACTGCCTTTATAAGGACTGTTCCTTCTTGGAATTAAAAGAAAAACATTTTGTTCTAATTATACACATATCATTTTTAAGCTCTATTTCATAATTTAAAAGTGTCATTTGTCCGTATTTAGTTACTTTATAGTTGCAATTAATTTATTATTGCAAATTGCATTTTAGTTATAAAAGCTTTTGATTTTCGCGAAACTTGAAGTTGGCAAAAAATAACCCGAAAATTTAGTTCAACAATTCGTATTCCGGCCTAGTCCAGCGTCGAGTGCGGGCTAAAGGTGTAGGTCGATGACTGCATGTCCAGGCTGCTGTTGGATGAGCACGAGCTCACCGATGGCGCACGGGTGGATCTCTCCGAGGAGGCGGATGACGGTCCACTGGATGCAGACGAGGAGGATGAACTGACCCAGGCATGGCCACTCCGCCGCCGCCGCTGCCGCACCAGGCCCAGAACCGATCCTGCCACCGGAGTGGAGGTGGAGTTGGCCGACAGCTGTCGTCGGATGCCGACATTCAAGGAGATTTGAGCGGGAGTGACCACTGGGGCTGTGGCCGGTCTTTGAAGCGGCGAATCCGACTCACTGGAGGCCGGAGACGGAATTTCTTCGATCTCTTGCGGCGGCGCGTTCAGTGCCTGTCCGTCCAGCAGAAGAAGCGTGGGAACACTGCGTGCGAGGAGTGATCGGTACAGGGGCAGCCGGCAGACGGGATTGCCCTGCAGCTCTACCTCCTGCAGCTGTGGACATATGCCCAGGAAGGAGAGCAGTCCCAGCTCACTGATCCGGTTGCCTCGTGCCCTCAGCACCCTGAGGTGGACGAGCTCGGCCAGCGGGTCCACGCGCTGGATCATGTTGCCGTCGGCGATGAGCACCCGGATTCCGGGAAGGCCGCTGGTGCCATCGAAGCTGTTCAGGCCACAGTTGCTGATGTCCAGCTGGGTCAGCTGGACCAGTCCGTAGCCCAAGTCGCGCAGCGAACTTAGCACGCTGCCGCTCAGGTCGAGCGTCTGGAGGCGCGGCAGGAAGAGCGACAGCCGGGACAGACTAATCGTGTAGGAGATCACACGCAGGCGTACGGATTCCACCGCCTCCAGGTCCGTGCGCTGTGTTACCCTGCGCTGAAAGTTAATCCCATCTTTGTATTTATATTTTTTCAACTAGAAGCCATTGAGTTACGCCTACCAATAGCTCATCCAAGGTCGGTTCTGGCGCCTGCTGGGGCAACACCACTGGCAGCAGATGCACAAAGGCCGGAAAGTGTTGCGTCTCCTCGGTAATAGCCACATCCCGGTCGAAGGAGTTTCGGCGGGCCAGCTGCCGGCGATTTATCTGAGCCCGTTGCTGCTGCTGCTGGCCGGGATTCTGTTGATTGAGCCTCACCTCTGGCGGTGGCATTCGGATCTGTGCCAAGGCTGCCGGACCCGGGGGTGCCAGTAGCACCGGCAGCTCCGCCTGCAGGGAGTGATCCGGTGAGGGCTCCAAGTACTCGGCAGGCGCCTCTAGCAAGGGCATACTCGGATTTACTAAGGATTTTTAGATGTCCTTTACTCCGCAAGCCTGTATTTTGACTGGATTCATCGACAAAACAGCGAAATGGTTTCCATGGGCAACGCTCAGGGATGGTAAGTGAGTCCCATTCTTATTATTTTGCTTGCTTATTAAATAAGTTATCTTAATGCAAGGTATTCCAGGGTTACAATGAACAAAATGATAAGTTGTAGTTTTGTCATTTTGATCTTTATTATATACATTTGAAGACTATATATGTACATATATGGCGAAGGACTGGGTTATTTTAAATTATTTCAGATCCTAGGGTAATATTTAAGATGTTGACATTTGCCAAATGTCGCAATATGCCGAAATATACTCACAATATCTCCACATATCTACACAATTTCCCCCCAGGGCTGCCTGCCCTTAGAAGTAGGCAACAGTATTCGCTAAAGGTGGGTACAAGTTTTTAAAAGCAACAAACGAAGGTAAATAATATTTTTTAAGATACGTTTTTATTATTTTCATTAAAGTAAGTTGTTATTTAATATATACATCATTAGCTTAAGTTTTTCAATTGAAATCCGTATGATTATGAGTGAATAAACTTAAGCGACACATCGTTCGTTTAAACGTACATATAGTAAAATCTTGTAGCCTTACTAATGTCTTATATCGATCTGCCCTTTGGTTGCAGAATTCCGTTGGACGCCTTCATTACTCCGTAAAATTTTTGGCATAAGCCCACTGACGTCAGTGTGACGTCATGGTCGTGACGTTAGCTGAGCAGCTCTCTCTCGGAACCTCCTTGCCTCTGTTGGGATGTTTTGTTTGTAGTGGGAGAGCAGCGAGAGCCACTAAAGTCAGGAGCGGAATAAAGGGAATAACTCTTCTGAGCCCCTTTGAAGGATGCAGCAAATAATAATATAATTTATAATTTGGAGCATGGGCATTTCCATCTTAATACTTTTTTTCTATTCACAACATTTTACCAGAAAATATCGATTATTTATCTATAAAGTAATTTATGGAGTATTTATGGGAATTACGAATAAATTGTGACGTAGAACATCTTTAATTTCTGAATCCGACACCGTCTCATTGCCTTTTGCCATTTCAAGGGCCATTAGCTTGAATTCCTTTTCAGCTTTCTCTCTTTCTCGCGGCACCTTTCTCTTTCTGCCTTTCTTTCTCTTTCTCTTGCGTTACTATAATCAAATTTGCCTGACGCCTAACAAGCTTTTTGCCGGCTTTTGTATATATTCCGGAAGGGGGAGGGTGTGGCTCCTGGGGGAGGCACTGTTGTTGTTTTGGTTTTCGGCTAGAGCTTTTTCCATTGACGTCATCAGAGGTGAAAGCTGCGCAGTGAGGCTGACATTACCACGCATTTATCGATTACACAGGCGAGAGCGCGGCAGAATGGGAGAGGATGAGGAAGTGGCAGAGGTGGAGACAGGATGAAGAAAGGAGTGAGGAAAAGGACAAATGAGTGGGCGAAATTGGTTTTTGCCTAAATTGCATGACAGCTGCGAAAAAATAGGACCAGAAACAATGCAAACAAAATAAAATGCATTTCAATGCAGTCTTAAACTGCAAGAGGCAAATATTTATAAAATGAAAGCAAGCATCCGAAACGTAACCCCATTAGCCATGTTGAAGCATTCAATTTTTTCTAGTTTTACATCTCAAGTCACACGACCTTTTCTTGCAGTGTAGTCGCAGCTGCTTTTCGAGTTTGGGTTCAGGTGTTGCGAATAAAATTCCATCTTCAGCTCGCACATTTTTATAGATGCCTAAAAATAGAATTTGTCAATAATGCCAACAAACACAAACACACACTCGCAAACCCCTACACGAGCACACCACACACACACATACACCAGCGGTGTGTAGGTGCACGAACACGCACTGTTGACGTCATTGTCAGAAAAGCTGACGCTCTCTCTTTTCGGCCCGTTACTACGTTACAAGCCAGCCGAGCTACCTTCCAACTCTCGCCTCTCTTCTGCGCTCTCAAACTTTCTCCTTTCGCGACGTCGTCGGCGTAGCAGTCGCTGCCGGCGTCAGCGTTCTTTAAAGCCTTAACAGCGGTTTGAGTCTGAGCTTAGGCCAAAAGTCTACATCATGTCAACAAAGTTGCAGTTACAAAGTCGTTCTTAATTACTAAAATAAGTCACAGTTTTATGACTTAGAAAGATCTTCCGGTAAACTATTTTTATTTTGCTTGTTTTAAACAAATTTCAAATAAAAGTCTATGTATATTTTAAAATGTCTTCTCGTGGCGTTGGTTTCCTAAAACTAGCTTCCTTTTTTCGTCCCTCATTCGGTTTCTTTACATCTTGTAGTGTTCTGTGTTCTGTATACTTTATTATGTCCCATCAATTTCCTCTATCTTTCTCTAAGCATTAATTTATCTATATCTCTTTTCCTGTTTTTTTCTTATTCTGTCTCACCTGACTCTTTGTTTCTCTCTCTCTCTGCTATTGCCTTACAATTAGAGACTAGAGTCTTTTTTCTCTGCCTTTATCTCTATATCTCTTTTTCTGAATCTTTCTGTCTCTCTCTCATATCTGTTAATAGTGTTAGTGTAGTGAGAGTGTTAGGTCCTGTCGTCTGGATAATCCGGGGGTTTCTTGCTCTAAGTAATTTCTAGAAATCCTATGAGTTACAAATCAGCACCAGTTAGTACACATTAACGAATGGAATAAAACTTTAAAAATTACAAGAATTGTAATGTGTAGACAAATCACGTCTGAAAGAATTAACCGCAGGCACAAACCTTTGTAAAGTATTCGTTAAGCGCAAAGTATCGCTGGCTTACAGCTTTGCAGTTCTGTAATCATACCCAGTGCTAGAAATATAAGATGGTATAAGGTGTTCATGCAATCGCATCTTGATTTTGGAATCTGCATAAAACTTGACATCTTATAATTTCTTAAGGAATCTCCATGCCACCTAAGTTTTATTTAATTTAAATTATCAGAATTTAAACCCAGATATGTAAAGTTACAATGCCAGAGTATCGTATAGTCGATACACTGGACTAAAGCGATTTAACTGGTTCTCTTCGTGTTTAACAGCGGCAGTGACGCGTACGTCGACGTTGACGCAAAAGAAAGCTCCCGAGAGCGAGGACTGCGAGAGCGACGTCTATTTAAGTCGGAGGCAACGCTCAAATCGTTGTTATTGCAGGACAAATTCTGACGCGCGCTGCTAGTGTTTCCGGTTCCGTTCGCAGTGGAAAATATTAAAAAATATCCCAAATCGCCATGGATAGCGTCGAGTAGGAATAACACGCTTGGCCATCAAATAACTATTGACGTCTGGATATTTCGGTTGCAATTTCCGCGCGTTGCTGGGATCGAATCGAATAGAAAATTGAGCCGAGAGCCTTGAGGAAATGCCACCAGCTCGCAGCTGAGTTGCATTCGCTGTTGTTGTAGTGCTAGTGCTCGCGAGCGTGTGTGCGTGCTTGTGTGTGTGAGTGTGGCTGTCTGGGTGTGGGTGTAGCTGCCAGTGCACCGTTATTTGGGTCAAAAGCTGCAGCAGCACAAAGTTCCAGGGGTTTTCCACCTGTTATGCAGCTGGCCTAAGGAGCGTACGCAGTGCGGAGTGACCCATGGAGGCGAAGGTACATCGCCAGCATCAGCGGCAGCGACGGACGGAGGCGCGTCAGAGGCGCCTGGAGCGTGAGGCGGCTGCAACAGGGGCGCCACCCGCTGGCAATACCACCACTCCGGAGCGGGAGGAGCGCGAGGAGGCCCTGGACTGTGCCACGGCCCTCAATGAGTCGGTGGCGGACTTGGGCACCGGAGGAGGAACGCCCAGCAGCGCCGGTCGCATCAGTGCCCAGAGCTCGGCGGACAGCATTGAGCTGGTGGGTTCCCCCAGCCAGACATCTCAGCAGACGGTGGTCCTGGTTAATGGCCATGCCCCGCCCACGCAGGAGGACGGCGCCCAGGAGAGCGCCTCGCTGGGTGCCCGTGAATCGCCGCCGCCGCAGCCGCCTAAGCAGAGCGACGGCAGCCGCAACTCCTCCGGCGACGCCATGAGTCTGCGAGAGACACTGCAGCAGCTACCGGCCACCCATCACCACCACCATCGTTCCCGGCGCACCCATTCCCCGCAGGCGCCGGCCCTGGAGCCGGACGCTTCCTTTCACCGCGGCATTCTCGGCTACATAGATCGCGAGCTCAAGCAGAGCTCGCCCACGCCCTCCAATGGCACCGGAAACGGAACTGGCGCCTCTCGGAAACAGCAGTCGCTGTCGGATCCGCAGGCCAGTCCCGCCCAGCGATCCTTGCGCTCGCGGAGCAGCTTCGACAAGAGTCCGCGCCGGAAGCGTAGCAAGTCCGAGTCCAGGAGGCGACGGGAGCGAAAGCTGATAGCCGCCGGCGAGATGGAAGTGCGGCAGGCGAACGAGACCCTGATGCGGTACCTCAAGCAGTGCTCCGACATGCACGACGCTTCGCTATCCGGCGAGCTGGAGATTGACCAAAGCTACGAGGAGAGGCGCGTCCATAGAAAGACCAAATCGCAGCGGGACAAGCGGGGCCAACTAATCAGTAAGTGAACTCTGAAAAGTATGCTTCAAGAGCAGTTTTATTATTTCACTAAGTGGATAAACTAATTAAATACAAGATGCTATTGAAATTCAAGCATATTGTATTTATTAAAGTTAAATGTGAGTTGAGGTGCTACAAGCTCAATTTCGACTAATTGAATTCTTCGAAATGTGATTCTAATGTGATACAGCAATTTATACTCCAAAAAGAAAATAAAATAATTTTAAAAATTTCAAGTTATCATCACTTTTTTATATTTATTGTTATTAAGTTTATAAGAAAAAAATAAGAAATGCTAAAGTATTTGAGTAACATACATTTCGTGTTTTATAATATAAAATTCAGTAATAACTAATTGAATTTGAATAATTTAATTTAAATAAATACACGTACGTAGACATTAATTATGTGAACAGATCGACTAAAAGTCCAGACTAAAGAATAATTTTCCGTGTATCCTCCTCGATTCCCAGTTCCCTGTTCCTAGTTCCCATTGAGTAAAGCCAGCTGGGCCGAAAGCTCGCTCTGCCCACCTGGTCACCCACTCACGCTATTCTCGATTCTGCGCACTCTCCATATAAAGGACTCGGACAAAGGACATTAGATATTGTCTTACGATTTAGGAACTTCTATTGTATTCAGAGATTTACTATTATTCAAAAATCATTATTGTTCCACCCTCAATAAAGAAACTCTTCTGATAAGATTGTTCAATCTTAGAATTAATACATGAGAATTAGAGGATATTAAAGAGTTTTTTAAATGTGGTTGGGTTTTGCTATAATATAAAGCATTTTGCCAGCTTAAAAATTAGATTCACCATAAGTTTTTACAAGAATTAGTTGTATTTTTCTCTATATACATATTAAAGTATGATAGAATTTTTCTTGATTATATTTTATATTATTATGCTTTACTATTCCGTACTGTACTCAATATATAATATTATTTATAGTTCATTCAGTTCCTCTTTTGCTTCAAAGTAAATTTAAAATATTTTCAAAGATTTTGTAACCCGGCTGAAAATTTCTTTTAAATATTAACAACTGAAATTCCTTCAATCGCTATCACTTTAAATTCTTTAGGTATTTATCTCGTGTCTTAATTTCTTTCGGTGCAGCTATATAATGTCTTTCGTATTTGCTTTCTCCCTCAGGCAAACTGTATTCGGCTGGCGGCATCTCCTCTATTCTGAAGGAACTGGCCGACGACATTGCCCCCGCCGATGGGGAGGAGATCTACAACCCATTCACGCCGGTGGTCTCGCCCACGGACGATGCGCCCGCGCACATCGACAAGATGTTCCTGCAGACGTCATCCGGCTATCGACCGGTGGAGCATAGCTACTACAAGCGCTCCTTCCTGGGGGCCGCAACCCGTGGCTCCGCAGGCGGGGCGGCGGCAGGCGGTGGAATAGGTCGTATCGATGGCATCTCTGCCGCCGAGCTGGGAGGCGCTGGTCGCCTCTTCCGCTCCAGCGGCAGCCATGTTGGTGGCGGAACTGCCGGCGGCTCAGGAAGCGGGCGGGGCAGCTATGGGGATACCCGTTGCCTACTCGATGCCGATTTTAATCGGTAAGTCCACGAAAAATAAGTCATTCTTTTGATTTTAGCAAGCCATTGGTTGAAAACTGAATATAACGTAATTGAATATATATTTTAATATATGTATATTTATATAAAATACATAATGTATCATCAGAATTATGCAAGAATCCAAGTTTCTAACCCCTTAATAGGAGATAAAGAAAATATAAATGATTATATTTAACATATATGTAGGTAAAAAGCAATAGTCACATACTGTATACAGACTCGATACATAAAATGATCCTTTTAAAACAAAATTAATTTGATTAACCTGAACAATATACTAAATTTCTGAAAAATAATTTATTTAATTTGTTTAATGTGGATCTAATTTTAAACCAAATCTCGTTTTAGCAATGGCATCACCAGCAGCATACAACTAGCCTGTGTAGTTCAACGAATCTGGCTGCTCATCTCGAATATATGCCACGGCCTGCTAGCCGGTCTAGCGTTGGCCCATCTACTCTTCGTGCTGAGCAGCCATCCCATGGATTGGGCCAAGGTCATCAATGGCATGAGTCTTGCTGGCGAGACGATGTCATCCACCACATCAACCCCATCTTCGGCGACACCATCGATGACGATGACAACACTGGGCGTCAGTCCCGGCGATCGGGGTACGGAGCCAAGTGGAGCTCCAGCTGGAGCATCCGGAACGGGGGGCAGCGAGGCTTTATCACTAATAAGTGATTATGCGGGATTTGCAGAGATCTACTTGAATACCTTCTACTGTTTGGCCATAATCTGCCTGGTTTCTGTTTTCGATCGGTAAGTACAAGAGATTATAAAGAAACTGATATTCAATATATCAGCTTAGTGTGATTTTTTTTCTTTATATCGTTTTTAATAAAGCAATAACTAAAGACATTTACCCTTGAGAAATCGAGAAAATCCTATCACCAATTTGCCTTAAGATGATTTTGTTGTATTGATTTAAGGCAAAACCGGAAATTAAATAATAATAATAATAATTTATAAACTACAGGCAGCATACATTCGAGTGCAAAAGATCCTATTCATCTTATTATAATAAGGTTCTTTTGGTTTATGCCTTTACTCCGAAGAGTCCTACTCCACTCACTTAATTTCAGTACTTAAAATTTGCCCATCTAAGCAGCTAAGCTCCTTCTGTGTTGTGCCGTTCTATTTCTGTCAAAGTATTGCGATGTCCTTTGGCTTGATTAAAAGTCAATTTGGGATACCCGCAACCTTCGTAAATATTCTACTAAAAATAGAAACCATTCGGTTACACAGCCAAGGAGTTTGCCTCGAGGACTCATTGACCTCAGGCGTGTAGGCCTCGCAGCGAGTTTCATTGAGCTGAAAGTCAGCCGGATGTGGGTAACCTTCCCACCTGCCCTACCTGGCTCCTGGTTGTTCGTTTTATTTCGGACTTTCGAGTCTAGACAGGGGACTCTGGACTGGTGGAGGGGCTGTCTAATTGAACTGTGACCTCAATTCAGGAACATGGAACTTGTTCGGCTTCGCGGTCGCATAGAAATAATTTGTATGGCTCTCATTGCGTGTCGCTTTCATCAGCCACAAAATATTTTAATGCCCTTAAACTTTGCTCTTTTTGCATGCCAAAGTCGCTGCCCACACACACACACACACAACCACTCGAAGTCGACGTCGGCGCCGTCGTCGTCTCTGCCTGCACTCTTGACCTTTAAAGGCTGCGCCAGTCGATGCCATAAGTGTGTGGGTGGCTGTGGGACGGATGGGTGTGAGCAGGCGGCATTGCTGGTGGTGCCGGTGGTGGTGGTGCCAGTGGTGGTGGGGAAGCGGTATCACAGCCGCCGTCTGTCCCCCTGCTGGGCACAAGTGTGAAACTGTGTATGACATTTCGTTTCGTTATCCCAGTGCCAGCTGATTTATGTGCGGGTGTAGCTTTGCTAAATGTTAAGCAGTTCCTGGCACCGGAGTCTGTGTGCTGACCTTTGCCCCATGCCAAATGGAGTGCGTCGCAGGATTTACTTTCAATTAATATGCATACTGCTAAATGTCAGTCCTTGTTGTGTATATTTTGTGGGTCATCTTTGAACACGAATTCGCTTTTTAAATCACGTAAAGCATCTACATACATTTATCTAGATTAGTTTGAATAAAAGACCACGAGCTGTTATTATTTAGCATACATTTTCTTAGCTTTATTTTTAAAATAGGGTTAAATCATTTTACATACAGTTTCAAAAGTAACCTTCTGCTTTCTTCCTTCAGCATGGATATCTGCCGCTGGAGCTTCTCGAATGCCAGCGAACTGATTTCGTTCCGCTGGCTCATCATAACCATGATCTATGTGGCGACAATAATCCTAACAATTTGCTCCGATTCCATCGACGAGAAGCTATACCTTTTCAATAACAATTCCAACATTACGCTGACTCAGCAGGAGATGGTGAGCGTTGAATTCCCTCTTATCGTTATATATACAGACTAATTTATTCCATCTCAAATTCCTTTAGCTAAGTAACAGTGTGCAGAGCGTTTGGAGTAGCCTGTCGGTGACGCGAAGCATTGCCGCCATATCGGGATGGATTATGATCGGACTGACACCGCAGGAGGATATGCTGTACGAGCATCTGGTGGATCTCACCAAATATCAGTTGACAAATAATTGAATTTAAGGCGAACGCGATATTTCGACAAGGTGTAAATATTTTTGTAGTTAAACTCTTAGCAGCTGTTGTTTAGTTATTGGCTTTTTATATGGCATAATCGAAGCGCAATAGGACTCTTACGTATACCCAAATCTTAAGCTTTAAAGTCGTCTCTTAAGGATTCACATTGATGCCCTTCGCAGGCCGCTAGAACAAACCGAAACAAAGATGAAAACCAATTATTTAACAAACAAGAAACCTAAATGGTTACCTTAAAGCTAGTTAACTAAGACATATAGCAAGCAAAGTATAAAAATGAACATTTAGAAATACCTATATATACCAAATAGTTGTATCCGTGTACTTATGCATATATATACAATGTGTTACCTATATAGATATACACCTAACTATACAAATACTGATATACATTATATATATGCGAGCATAGAAATATTTACAGTACTTGAAGTCATTTTTCGTACACATATCGTCTAATGAAACCGAATCCTTAGTTTATTCATCGTTGCGACAATTTCGAACCAAAAGGCTTCCCCAAATGAAATCTACAGTCGATAAAGGTTGAACGAAATGAATAATAATTTAGCAGATGTCTTTTGTAAAAAGCTAGAAAACATATTTATGTACATACAAATCAAAAAGTTAGTTATTTACAATGAGAATGATATAGTGAACACCAAAATATCACTCCAGAGTCGAACAACTTCAGGAAAGCATTATATGAAAACTATTATTTGCTATGCATATTTTATAAATTCCCTTTTCTTTGAAATCACTACAAAGACAATTTGGAATCTTACCTGAGCTGTACATAAACCGAGTGCAATAAAAAAACGAATATTAATGTTTTCTTATATATATAATAAAGTGTATAGTGTATACACAACAATATACAGAGGCGAATGTAATGAAATTAAATCGAATTGTAAGCTAACGAATCGAGAAAAGCGAAAAGGCAATAATCTCATTGTAAACTTGTATATAAAATATATATAAACGCAAATAAACAAAAATAATATATAAAGGCAAAGAATGCTTGGTATGAATAATTTTTTCTACTTACAAACAGGGCGATAGGGGAGGCTTTTATCCTGGTTTGAAGTAATTTTCTTTGTTGTTTTAACATAACAGGTGAGTATAGCCATCACACATCCTATGTCCTCTGATCACCTTCCTGCGATGCTTCTCCCCCCCCAGAGTTTCCTACATGGTCATCTCACTCATACACAATCATAATCATAATGATAGGACCTTCTCCATCCACATCACCCGAACCAATCGGAGGAGTTCTGTCTCAACTGACTTAAAAATTCCTCCTCGAAGCTTCGTCTGATACGGAAGCGAGAAATTGGCCTGGCTATCTCGCCCCAATTTGGTTCGCCATATATGGAATAGCTGCTGAAGTCCACTAACAAAAGATAAAGATATTCCAGAGCAACTTCTTAGGCGAATTACCGCAGCAATTCGCAATGCTGATCTGCACCGAGACTGGAAATTTACTTTGTAGGTAATGTCCTTAAATGGAGACGATCTCGCACAGAACAAGGCTTCAAACCACCTTAATCAATTTACCAGGAGAACTTAATTTGTTACTTCTAGGAGAAGACTATAGTTCTTCTTTCGGGCAGCTGCAGTCACATAAATTTTCATATTGCACAAACAGATTGTTAATCTACACTAAAAAGTGCAAAGTGTCAGAAAATAATAGACATATGTCAAATTAAATGTAGTCAACTACCCTAATTAATGAAAAAGGAAAAGTAATAACAAATAATTTGTTTCATTGAAAATACGGTTGTTATATTGAAATTTCTAATTTCTCATCAGGCAGTTTACTGACCATGTCGAAAAATTGAAAGAAGTGAGTCGAGACTTCTTCAAAAATAGCAAACCTGTGACTTTCGAAATTGCCAATATAATATACGGAGAGCTCGACGAAAGCTAATGGCTTCCAAAGTCGATAACTTAGCCGAATTGGTATGGCTGCTGGAAGAGCCCTGCAAGAAAAGTTGGAGATGGTTCCCGGGAACGCTGCTCCTGCAGAAGAAGAATTTGGAAATCCGAAAATCATAACGCAGTTTAATGACCATTTCGAACAATTGAAAGAAGTGTGCCGAGACTTCTTCAAAAATAGCAAACCTGTGACTTTCGAAATTGCAAATAATGATATATGGAGAGCCTCGGACGAAAGTCTTACCCTTGCAGGGAATTTAAATTTCAGTCAGAAGTATTTATATTCTTGAGTCGAGTCGATCAAGCCATGTCCATCTGTCCGTATCTATGTAAACTAGTCTCTCAGTTTTTAACCCATTTTGTAATATGAAAATTTAAATTTAATTTTATGAAAATCGGGAAAATTCTCAAGAATATTGTAGAATGTCCCGAGTTAAAATATCTGAAGAACAAGTTCATATGAATGTTGGCGGGAATCCAGACGATAACGATAAGTTCCAGGCGATTTATTTTAGACAACGAAAGGTATCATAAGACTTCATCAGAACATAACATCAGAATTGATAACTGATTACTGCCATCATTGATCGGGAATCAAGTTTTTCTGATGAACGCAATTATAAACGGTCGTGTCGATTGTCTAAGAAACTCGATATATCGATAGTAAGGTCAGCGGTTGTCAAAATAAGTCTGTTGACATGTATCTTACACAAAATGTAAGTATGTAGTGGAGTCATACAATGGCGGCGCCACTTCCTAAAACACCAGTTCCGTTTTGACCAGAAGATGGCTGCACAGTCAAAGATCAAATTCTAATACGAATAGTAGTAATTAGTATTTATTATTTATCTTATTATTTCTTCTTTTCTATTAAGTCAAGCAAGTTAATTTTATAGAGAGAGAAAAATAATATATTTTAATAGTAACCAACCAGCATTTTGTTGCTTAGAAATGCTCCAGCTTTTAACTTTGTTAGTCGTTTTGAAGACACACTTAGGTTTATAATTTATGTTATTTTTGACCTTATTTTTGTAATACCTCATAAAGTTCAATATGGACCATGTGAAGCCCTCCTGCATGAAAGGAGGACAGACAACCGAGCCATCCAAGAGGCAGTATTGGAAGGTGCAATCTAACAAAAATAATACCATTTAAATATGTTATTTTACTTTAATTATGAAAATGTAATCTGTTGATATCTAAAGTTGCCAATAAATGACTAAAATTGATATTAATGGCAGCTATTTAACAGTTGTTCATTACACACTGTTCACTGCTCAAGGCTCATTGTTTAGTTGCTCAGTTAATAATTTATTCCATATTCATATATAGACAACTAAGTACTGAATTTTAACGATTAAAAAATAACTTTGAGGTGTTTTCCTGATGCCTTTCCAAAATCCTTAAAATGTTTTCAAACGTCCTCCTTAATTTATTAAAAACGTTTTAAGAGTTTCGCCTTTTGAAATAATTGTGTTTAAATATATGTAATTAAACAATATTGAGCATCTGAACAAAAATGAGCCAAACTGAATAGCTCAACAAAATTAAGCAGTTGACAAAATTGAGGAGAGTATATATATTCCCAATGAGTGTATAGGCATGGTCATCCCATTCCATTTAAGACAATATGTCTCTTTTTCATTCGAAATTTCTTAAGAATTTGTTCCAACTAAAAATACTAAACTAAGTTAGTTTATTGCAAATGGTCAACAATTGAACCATATTGCCTAAACAAATATATATGTCTAGAATTAACTCTTAAAGTAATAGTTATTATAGTTAATTAATTATAAAAAATATCCTTAGGTCTATCCATTTCACAAATAGCGTATGGCAGAATATTAACTAGGAATATAAATACCAAGAATGATGGACTTGTCAACTCTTTTCTGAAACTTTATCAATAATAAGTATTAAAATATGTCATTTTTGGTTTGAATATTATTCGCTGTGAATTGTCGATATTCTTCCATTTCCATTTGCTTTATGACACAATGAAAGCTAATTTGTTGTCAGCTTGTGTTGTTAAATCAGACTTCCCGCAACCCGCAGCAGCTCAGTAGGAGGAACCAGGGCTGAGTCTGTGTCTGATCTTTATGTTTCTGCAGACAGCAACCCGGCAGCTAATAAAACTTTTAATGGGTCGCTAAATGGCTTCAAAGCGAAAACAAAGCTGTTAAAATAAGCACAGCCCACTTTTACAAAGGGGACTCCCACGAGGTGGCTCCGGACTCAAGCCCCACCAATTTCAAATTTAAATGTTCCACTTCATTTGCAATTAATTTTTTTGTTGCTATTTCTCCACTCAAAATTATTGTCATGTCATGTTGTCTTTGTCATGTAAATTTAGAATGTAAAAATTCATAATTAACATTTTGTGAAGTCTGTTGAATACTTTTTCTTGGATCTTGTTCGAGTTTACATAAATGATTTTTAAACAATTTTTGTGTCCAGGAAAAAGTTGCGATGGGCGCGCAGGAAAAGTTTTTGGCCTTTTGCTCTGAGGGAGCAGAGAATTTCCATCAAATGCATAAATCTTTATGTTAGTCTCTAGGTGTCATATAGAGTTTCTTTATCCAATTTCGTTTTAATGCATATATTTTTGAAAATGCCAGCAGGCAAAATGGGCATTTAGTATGTTAATGATGTACACTTTGAGAAAATTGAGTGCCGCGTAATTAGATGGTCTCTGGATGTGGCACAAGTCATCGTCATCCAACGTTATCGGCGTAAACGCATTATCATCATTAAACACTTGCTGCAATTATGGCACTAATTGAATTTCTAAATGAATATAATGACTCAACAACAACAAACGCAAGCGCAGCAGAATAGGCCAGGATATATGATACTTTGTGGCCTAGCATCCCCGTTACAGGACTCACAGGCGTAGAAATTATAAACATAATGAAATCAAATATCGACTAGTTGATGCCCTTGATTTTATTACTTAATTTTTTCTGTTTGTTTTAAATCAAAGCTTTTTCCAGAATACACAATTACAAATTTGGTTACTGTTTCCATAAAAACTTGTTTAACGTATATGCTTACTTAAACAAATTTAGAGTAAATTAAAGATGTAGGTAAATAAAAAATGAAAGCATTAAAAGTATAACTAGCTTCATGAACAAACCAAGCGCACATCCCAATACTCCCTAAATCCAAAAAGCATCCTGGAAGCAAGCACTGAGTGAAAAGGACGAGTCCCCTGTAATTAGGTTAAACACACACGTGGCTCCAAGTGCCTGGCTGCGAATGTGTGAGTATGTGGCCAGGCTGCAGATAAAACGCTGCAAAAATGAGGTGAGAAAAGGAAATAAAACAACCAACGGCTGGCCCAACGAATAAAAATGGCGCGTAATTTGCACGTTTAACCGCATGACAGCGGAAAAAATTACACAACCCATACACAATAGACAAAGAAACAAACACGTACGGATATTAGCAGAGGCGTAGGCAGGATTAAAAAACAAAAACACTCAGGTTCACCTTCTTTAAGCCTTCAAGAATTTACCTTAAGATATATATTTAATATATTAATGTAATAAGGAATATAAAGGCATATATTATAAAAGAAAGTTACTCATCTTGTAATTTTGTAAAATTGAGAAACAGCTTTTTAGTCTATTCTGAAAAGGTATTCTCCAAATATAGTTAAAGAAGTTATACAAGGCACTGCAGGCGATTTAGAACCGATGGAAATTATTTGTTAAATTTACTGCATAATGTTAGACTCCTATTTTTCTAGAGTTCAAAACCATATATACTTCTATGGCCTGCAGGATTTGCATTATTGATCAACTTTGAAACATCGGTATCAAAAAACATCTTGAAACTTGAATGTTTCTGGGCAAAATAATAGTTTAAGAAGCCCGATTGACAGCTTCTTCTAAATATGATCCAATACCCCCCTGGGCCAGAGCCCTGCTGGCGCCCCTGTTCACTCCTGTGAGCTTGTGGCGTCTAAATTACAATTACATGGCAGCAGCAAAGGCTAGAGCACTCAAGTCGCCCAACTGGCCTTGGGTGGGCTGCTGCTGCTTCTG